TGGCGGGGTCGTTCCTAAGGCCCGCTGGTGTATCTAGTTTGGTAATTCTGCTCCTTGTTTTATGAGAGAGCAGGGCTCATAACCTGTTAAGACTAGATACAATGTTAGCCCTCAGTCGTGATGGAACAGACTACAGTGGCTAAAAAAAACTATCCACATGTTTGTGCTATTTTCACTATTTACATTATTGTATATGAATGGACAGGTAGACCAAGGATATGCCAGTGGGGTACTCTGTAGTACTCCTTTGGGGCATGAAGTTGAGCCCTTGCCCATGGGAATTCATGGTAATCTGGTGGCACTATAAGCCTTACAAAATGATGACTCATGTGGACAGTTTTTTGACCCTAGATTAAAATGATATAAATCATTAGTTATGATACCATAAAGTCATGCCACTATTAAATAAATTATGAAGTGGTGTCATTATGACATTATTAAACCTATCTCTAAGTATATAATGAAGTGTGTCCCATATATCATAGTCATAATCACCATGAAAACCATCTCCTCTACTCAAAGGGATAATATCCTTTCTCTGTCTACTGCTGGCCTCTCTACTTGTCAAATAGCCTCTAGAACTAGTGTATGCAAGTCTACTGTAGCTAAGCTCATCAAAGAATGTCACCCAGACAAGGAAAACTCCAGTGGAGGTCATCCATCCAAACTCACCTCTACTGATAGGAGGGTCATTATCCAACATATCACCACAGGAAAGACTAATAATGCTGTCCAAGTCATTCATCATATCAATTCCATCATTACTACTCCAGTTTCTTCACAAACAGTGAGAAATGTCCTCAAGGAAGCCAATCTTAGGGCTGTAACAAAGAAGAAAAAACCTCTTCTTTCCATCACTCATAGGAAGAGAAGACTTGCCTTTGCCCTAGCCCATCAAAACTGGACTGTAGAGGACTGGAAGCGAACCATATGGTCAGATGAGACTAAAATCAATAGAATTGGGTCAGATGGGAAGGTATATGTGTGGAAAAAGAAGGGGGGCCCTCTTACAGACAGAGAGATTAATGGAAATCTCAAGTTTGGAGGAGGTTCTCTAATGGTATGGGGAAGTATGGGGTAGAATGGTGTGAGAATGCTTGCAGAAGTTGAGGGGAGGATGGATGCTGAGCAGTATGTGGATATCCTCAACCACCACTTGCTGCCTAGCATGGCAGAATCAGGATTTGATGAAGAAGACATTATTTTCCAACAGGATAATGATCCCAAGCATACATCCAGAAGAGCCAGAGAATGGTTTGAAGAGCACAATATTCACCTCCTTGACTGGCCAGCACAATCCCCTGATGTTAATGTCATTGAACATCTCTGGGGAGTACTCAAGAAGAAGCTTTTAGCCTATGAACACCCTCTGGGAGAGAGTTACAGTGGAGTGGGGAAAGATTACAGCAGAGGATTGTCAGAAGTTGATTGAAAGTATGCCTAGAAGGATAGAGGTAGTAATTAAGGCCAAGGGAGGTCACATAAAATACTAGAACACCTAATTATCTATATAAAATACTTGGGTCAAAAAACTGTCCACATGAGTCATCATTTTGTAAGGCTTATAGTGCCACCAGATTACCATGAATTCCCACGGGCAAGGGCTCAACTTCATGCCCCAAAGGAGTACTACAGAGTACCCCACTGGCATATCCTTGGTCTACCTGTCCATTCATATACAATAATGTAAATAGTGAAAATAGCACAAACATGCGGACAGTTTTTTGAGCCACTGTATATTAAGTACCTAGATACAATGTTAGCCTAAGTGATCGTCAGTATCTAGCAGCAGTTCAAGTAATTAAAAAGGCTTACCCTCAGTCATGATGGAACAGACTGAGGGAAGGTGAGAACATGAAAAGGTATATGCATGGTGGTTCGAATTCCAAACTTCAACTCCACTTATCGTGTCGGCATGCTTAGCATCAACATAGGAGTACTATCATAGCAGGTTATATATCATAATCTCAGAAATGGGCCCACTTCTACTAGGGCTGATAATATATCATTCACATGGTAGTATGATGTATAGTGGCTCAAAAAACTGTCCACATGTTTTCACATTTTTCACTATCTATGATATTGTGTGATAATATCCAAAGACCTCAAGGACATGCTGGTACCATATTGTAGTACTACTTCAGGGCTTTCAATTGAGCACTATGCCGTGGGAATTGGTGAAGATAAGGTGGAGATATGAGGCTTACAAAATGATGACTCATGCGGACAGTTTTTTGACTCAAGTATTTTACAGTGATAATCAGGTATTCTAGTACTTTGTGTGACCTCCCTTGGCTTTAATTACTACCTCTATCCTTCTAGGCATACTCTTGAAACTATATCTAACTATATAAACCAGAATGTCTCTTGTGTCATAGTCAGAATCACCATAAAAGCCATCTCCTCTGCTTAAAGAGATAATATCCTCTCCCTGTCCTATTCTGGCCTCTCTGCTCATCAAATTTCCTCTAGAACTGGAGTATGCAAGTATACTGTGACCAATTTTATCAAAGAAAGCCACCTGGACAAGGAAAACTCTTGTGGAGGACATCCATCTCTACTCATAAGAGGGCTATCATCCAACATATCACTACAGGAAAGGCTGATAATGCTGTCCAAGCCACCCATTATATCAATTCCACCATTACCACCACTGTCTCTTCACAAACTGTGAGGAATGTTCTCAAGGTGGCTCATCTCAAGGCAGTAACAAAGCAGACATACCTACCTATTCTCTCTATTATACATAGGCAGAGAAGACTAGCCTTTGGCTTGGCCCATCAAAACTGGACTATAGAGGACTGGAAGCATGTTATATGGTCAGATGAGACCAAAATCAATAGGATTGGGTCAGATGGGAAGGTATATGTATGGAAAAAGAAGGGTAATTCTCTAACAGACAGAGAGGTTAGTGGGACTGTCACATTTGGAGGAGGTTCTCTAATGGTATGGGGCTGTATGGGATGGAATTGTGTGTGTATGCTTGCTGAAGTTGAGGGGAGGGTAGATGCTAAGCAGTATGTGGACATTCTAAATGACCACTTGCTGCCTAGCATAGCTGAATCAGGGATTGAGGGAGAAGACATCATTTTCCAACAGGATAATCATCCCAAGAATACATTTAGGAGAGCCAGACAATGGTTTTAAGAATATAATATCAATGTTCTTGACTGGCAAGCACAGTCCCCTGATGTCAATGTCATTGAACATCTCTGGGGAACACTCAAGATGAAGCTTCAAGCCTATGAAACCCCCCTAAAGGAGTATGGGAGCTATGGGAGAGAGTAGTAGTGGAATGGTGAAATATTACAGCAGAATATTGCCAGAAATTGATTGAGAGTATGCCTAGAAGGATAGTGGGAGTAATTAAAGCCAGGGGAGGTCACGCAAAGTACTAGAATACCTGATTATCACTGTAAAATACTTGAGTCAAAAAACTGTCCGCATGAGTCATCATTTTGTAAGCCTCATATCTCCACCTTATCTTCACCAATTCCCACGGCATAGTGCTCAATTGAAAGCCCTGAAGTAGTACTACAATATGGTACCAGCATGTCCTTGAGGTCTTTGGATATTATCACACAATATCATAGATAGTGAAAAATGTGAAAACATGTGGACAGTTTTTTGAGCCACTGTATCATAAAATTCAATATACCAATCTCTGGTGGTAGGTGATGTATCACCCCCTGTGACTGATAGTATCAGTGATGTATCATAGAATTCAATATATTGATCTTTGGCGGTAGGTAATGTATCACCCTCTGTGACTGATGTATCATCGTCTTACAGTTTCACTCAAAGGCCAGGATGTATTGTGTACCTTCTACAATGATAGGTAATTAATAGATCATAATGACACTATCGCCTGGGAGTCCATGAGGTCCATGATGGAAAGAATTGGTAAGATGTGAATCAGAGGGAGGGAGGACACCTGCTTTCGATGGGGAGGATCAAAATCAATTTTGACCGAAGCTTGAAATGCTCTTGCTCTCGCACCTCATGTTCACTACTCATCATTGTGACTAAAGTGATTTCTACACCTCGAGTGCTGGCTGTTCTCAAAATATACTAGTTTTAAAAACCCCCAGTTGGTCAACCCTACATGGAGGTGTTTAAAGCTGCTTATTTTGCATGATATCTGCGTCAACATTGACACTAGGTTATTGTGCATGTTAGCATGCAAAGTGTAATACTGTCTCAGTGTGTCCATCTGAAACTATTTATATGAGAATACCCATGGATTGTTCAAACCAGTTCTACTCTGGAGATCTTCTCTCGCATCTCGTGTTTGTTGTAGCACTTGTTTGATCAACAACTTCTAATTGAGGAATCGAGTGTCTTACATCAAGCACAGGCTGTCCGCGACATGCTAACTTTGAAGCTTTGTTCTGTTGAGCTCTGACAAATCGGGAGGATTGGAAGATGAACTGAAGAGGCAGTTAGCGATGTCAGAGTGAGACATGTCGAGCACAACCAAGCTGTATGATGAGGCGATGCAATGACGTCGGCCGAGGCTCATCATTATTGGACTACTTTATTTCTATGACATCCGTTATTTAGTGTATCCATACTAACTATGTATAAAGCTACGAGTCTGGCATTCAAGCATCTCAGTTTCTAACAGATACTGAGATGTAAGCCGTTATATTTTCCCTTATTATACAGAGTGCTAACGAGACGTAGAATACATTCTCTTATCAGGTACTATAGCTGTGCTACAAGTTTCTAACAGATACTGAGATAATACATTCTCTTATCAGCTCTTACCCCATTCCCACTCGCCTGTGATAACCACATGTTTGTCATTTCACTCACTTAATTTCACTAGGAGCACTAGTCGAGGAAGTCGAGGAGTCCTTTAACAAGCCCAAGCTAACCTCCTTCTCAAAACACGCCAGTTTTCCATTGAGGACTTCCACGCTGCTCATTTTGCACCATGACCGAGGAATCGTGATGATGACCATGCAAAATACAAAGTCCATATCATAGAAAATACCCTTGGATCTAGTACTGCAGAAACCAATACTCAGACCCTAACTGTACCCTAGGGATTAAATCTATATGTCCTCCAGTATGGACAGGGTATAAATCGGGACTAGATTGAGTCTGGATAGGGTATACAACAAAATTTATATGGTAGATCCTTCTACGTAGCTACCCCTCAACAAACTCTGCAGATGCTCCTAATCGAACCTCCATGTCGTGCACGTCCTCTCGCTTGTACCGATAACAGCGCCAGCCAGATGGTGCCAGTGCGGTGGGAAAAGAAATGTAAGCATTCCAGCTGACGTTGCTCTTGGAGTGCGAGTGTTGATCCCTGAACAGAGCTGTAAAGAATTGAGTAAGGGGTGTACCAAATGACTGAAAACGTACGTGATAAAAATATGGCAACCGACTGATAGACAAGTTTATAAGTGCGAAGACCGTCACAATCAAGTTCGCCAAAACCTGCAGTGAATAATGTGAGCAACGCCGCGAAGGAAAGGCACATAGCACACATAGTACGCAATAGTAAAGTAGATCAATCAGTCTCTAGATACTATGAGCTCAATAGGTTGGAGGGAATGTCGGTCGCGAGCACAAGTTTCCGGCCCATTAGACAGAAGACTGCAGTCACTCGCCATGCCAGAGTAAATGAAACTGATAGAATGTTGTTGTCCGTGCGCATTTTCATGTAGTTGGTTGAGTATACCCACAAATAAGCAATGTGTTCGTCTTCGAACGTGCGGTTGTGTGCTTGGATCAGACTAAAGAGTAGACTACGATCAAGTCGTGTTTCGATCGGAGCTTGAATGACCCTTGGTATTAGCACGCGCTTAACTCTCTCGGGTTACCCTCACTAGTACTGTAGGTCTCATCGAGGAGTCAGGCGAGTCCTGCGACGAGCACAGGCTGTCCTCCTCCCTCTAACATGCTATTCCCTGTGAAAGATGGGGCAACGGGGAATGGTTTAATATTCACAGCATCGAATTATGGGCCCAGGCCCCCGGGTCAGAGTAACGACTCACTATCTTTGAGCGTTTCTGGGCCATCACAGCTACCCGGAGGACTGTATCGCGGAATTTTGGCGGAGTGCAGAGAAAAGTACACTAGTGTAGTAGGGTGTGCATGCTTTTTGTGTTCGACTAAGCCCTCCTCAGTTCACGGTGACTTGTTCACGTATGCACAACATCGAACGTAGCCTGAAGTATAAATTACACAGAAGGGTGGCATATGGGATAGGCTGCGTTATCACAGGTGCTACAGCGTAGTACAAATGGCCTCCGTTATAGGAGTTCCGGTAGCGCCATTTCTACAAGTTAACAGTGAACACTATGTGGGGGGAAATAAGGATGTACTGATATTCTGTGCTTCCTGATACGAATTCTCCGCTCCAATCTGGGCTGGGGTCAACGAGTCGAATGTCGGGCAAAGATCGTTCCATGCATCTGTGTATACCATCAGTTCAAGAATATAAGACAGACATCGAAGACAATTACTAGGTATGTAGCCCAGATGCTGCTGAGTCTCCGATGGACTTTCGGCCATGACTACAGCGAAACCACTGGCAACATAGTCAGATTACTGCAGAGTTTCAGAGAACTCGCAAAACGCACGCGTCAAGATGCCAGTCAATGTGACTAGGTGGACGATAATATCAGTGCTAGTGCTGGATCCATAAATGTCGCAGTGCTCACCAGTGGAGGAACCATGGGCCGGAATTATCTGTGACAAATCTAATCACCATCTGTTGGTTTCGGACCCCTCCGGATACTACATCCCTGCGCACGGGATTGACGTAGTTGAAAGAGCTATTTCCGGCGCTCTGCACGACATCAAAGTTATGCTATAATTACAGTGAGTAATTTAGCGCAAAGGCATATCCAGAAATACTCACACCGTGAAGATGAATCGGATGCTAGGAGATGCTATGAGATGTATGTAACGTTGCGAATGTGCGTGAACCTTACAGGACCACCAAAGGTACTAGTCAACATCGTCAGTTCGACGACCTTGTTGGCTTCTAAAACATACACACTTCCATTCGGAAGGAGTTCGGTTGCATCTTGTGCGCCACTGAGGATCTGGAGCAGCACGGGCACCGTGGGAGGTTTGTATGCTACGTTGTTGATGGAATATATTCCACCTGTGTTGCCGACCACCATCATCAAGTTGATGTCTGCCTGTCCGTACTCTGGAATCCCGGGTGCTCCGGGATTGATGAGCGCGTGCAAGTTGGTCTCGACTAACGGCATGGTACTTGTGGTCTGGTTCGTATTCGGATCTGCAACGGGTGCACCATTGTATCGCAAGATAGCAGAGTTCTGGCCATTAACGAAGCTTGAGCTTGGAGTGTCTGGGACTGCGCGTATCCAGTAGTTGTCGACTGGCTGAATCGCATTGAGCACAAAAGAGTATCGCTGTCCAGCGAGTATCTGGAGCGAGTCCACGAGAAGGGGTTCCGTCAGCTCACCGTCCGCTTCGATGATCGTCATGTTGTGGTTATCGATGGAGAATATAAAGTTGGAATTGCAAGACATTGCTATCATGCGTAGGCGGTATCGTTTCCCGTACTCGACGTTGACCACAGCAAGGTCGCTGTTAGGTCCCCCTTGATATCGGCCAAGACCATTGATGAGTGTCGCATCGCCATTGATGGCACCAATATTTAGATGGCTCAAGACAGGGGCAACCACATGGTACCTATGATCAATTAGTAACGCGGATTTAAGTCGCAAATAGTTCTGAGATGTACCAGTCAGCGAGGGTGATTACGGTGGTCTCTGTGAATGGTTTAAATGAGTGGATTAATTATTATGGCATCGATCACTATACCATCGTCAACATCGTACAAATAAGATAAAGGATCTTCAGGATCGTAGATAATCAAAGGCCCACGCAGGCCATCGCTAAACAGTTTCGGATTATTTATTGCAAAGTTAAAAACACTTCAAATGAACAAACCACTGTTGTACCGCATAGTGGCTATGATACCAGTAGGTTCCGGTCTGTTGCCCAGAATCGAAGGAGTGCAGAAAGGAGTGATTTTGCGCAATGGGACACTGTGTGACGAACGAGACTCCATCTACCTCGTTGGTCCCGTTCTGATGGATTCCATGCCAGTGCTAAACAGAGCGGGTAAGCCTGGCTTATGAGTGCTGAACATATATATACCCACCACACTGGTGCTTTTGAGCATTTCATCATCAGTGAGGCTGTTCACGACGTTGATCGCGAAATTATCTCCCTTCAACTATAGTCAGTTCCCGAAGGCTCGATCGAATGGGCAAAAAGAAACCTTTATGGCTGCGATAATTGGACCCGGGAATGTCCCTCCAGCGAGCGTTGCACTATAACAATAGTTAAGGTGCAGACAAGACATCAGACACAAACACTAACGAGCGCAGGAAACCGTCTGGAGATATGACTTGATTAGAAATTGTTAGATTGGTTATAGGACCTATGGTATTCGAACGAGCGTTGAGTGGATAGGAAGTGGATCGCGAGATGATGGATGCTCCATGTGCTAGATGAAGGCAAAGAAGAAAAATGACATTAAGGGAGAGCATTGTACGAGAAGAAGTAGATGCTGATACCAGCACTCAATAACGAGTACTCACCCCATCATGGTTGCTCTTATAGGTATCCGGCACCTGCTCTTGATCCCGACTTCCGCTACAAGGAACACGCTGAGATGTCACAGAAGTACAGTCCAGTATAGTCCATGTCAGGTCCCAAGCCCCGACGGGTTGGGTAGCATCTGCCGCAGAAACCCACAACGTCAAGCGCTTGGCTATAACACCAACAAGGGAACAATGAAATGCTGAGAGCGCACTTAAGTTCGGAAATGAGGCCGACAGAGGGGCGCTTTCATGTTGGTAAGTTCTGGTCTGGAAGTTCGGGATTTGCCCGTAATCATTGTTCGACGGATTAAAATACTCGCCTGCCATCAGCCGGTTTGCAAGAATCCACACACACCGGTTCAAACCAGCGGTAGATCTCGGTAAAATCCTTGGAGCACGCTTAATCGTTCGATCTGGCTGCTCGAAACTAACTGTGCGTGTCCGACAGGCCCTGATAAGTGTCTCCCTGAAGACCGTTCCCTGACCATTAGTATGAAACCCGGAATTTAAAAATGAGTCTTCCCTGGTTGCCTTGTGATTGGAGGCATGATTTGATTGATCTTGCTCAGCTTGGGTCAACTAGTACACAGACCTCTGGATTGGGCGAACATTGGGCGTTAAAGGTGATATTTCACAACCGACACCTTAGGATGCAACATGTCCATATTACACCAGTTTACACGATGCGCCACACTGCCAAATGCATCAATAGTCATTACAGTAAACTATCTTATTTGTAAACCAAATACGGGCACCTGTGAGCACAGCTGCCAGATGCCAGGAACTGCAATCTAGTGCAATGAAATGGATGGAACCAAGGGCTTAGGGCTGTACTGCCAGTGGGTTCCTAAGGTGGTGATGGTTGTGCAATAAGGTTTGAGATTTATGGCTGTACTCAAAAAGGAAATTCAGTAAGTGCTCTTGACCCTGAACGTGCCGTGCAAACTTTGAAGATAACGGTTGAAGTGTATGCGCCATTGGCAGGGGACGTTGAAAGCCGTTGAAAGCTGTAACGCAAAACCGTGGGTCTCGAGTTTATAATTCAGTGAAGCTCGAGCGCGAGGTATTGAAAGAAAGTGAGAGGAATACAAAGAATCCCCCCGTTTGGGGGATTTCCGGAGGAGCTGCGATGCAGGCACCCGCGCATTTTTAACATCATCTTCGGCTGAGCTGGATGGCGCAAATAGTGTTCATTAGCTAAGAACAAATTTAAATATGCGAAGTTTAGGCCCAGTGTGCGTGGGAGCGTACCATGGAGCTTGAGTCGATAGTGACGGCCGGCGAGACCAGGAGAAGAACATTTGTAGATTCCTTGTGGTTCTTGTACAGGCAAAAGCTCATGAGGAATCTATACAGATTCTTCGCGCATCGTGATTGAACAAACACGGAGAGGAAGGTCCGTACCTCGGTGGTCCATGAAGTCAATATTAATGACATATTATAGGAACAGAACATAATCGATCTATGTACAGCCATGTGGCAAGAGGCATGGTGCACACGGGTGCCGAAATGGTTTTCGCACATGCTTCGCCTTCGATAAGGGGGAAAGGCATTCAATAGGGACGGGGCTCAAGTGGAGTTCGCACACGCGGTCACGCAAATCGCCTCTGCGGAACCAAACAATCGTCCGTAAGATTAGTTAATTTGTGCTGATCGGCAGGTGGGTTGCGCGTACCATGAACAAGGAATGGCAAATGGCGGAGTATGATCAGAATGAGGACGAGATCGTATGAGATGCTGTAGTACGCAAGCGACATGGAGAAATGTTTCGGGCGGCTGGAACTGCACGTCGCGTGAGGCGACAAGCTCAGCTCCCAAGTATCTGGTCTCTGAAGAACAAGCATCAGTTTTGTGGTCATGTAAGGGAGGCGGTGAGATGAAAGATCAGATGTGCCAAAAGAGAGACGATATCCGCAAATCACAGGTGAAACCTGTTACTCAGAAGAACGAAGGTTATTGGTAGAGATTCATCCGTCAAGCATGACGGAAGTGGAATGTATGACGCACCGTGATCACATCAGAAGCGGGAAAATCGATCTTTCCAGGAAGCATAAGACGTTGTTAATATCATAAGTGAGTCCGCAATGGACGCGGGAGTCCATCCTTATAATTAATGGAGAGACCATCTATGCATTGATAAGATGCGATATGGGAGACGGCGTCGGCCGCGGAGGGAAAGAGGACAAGTAATTTCGATGGGCGAAGAAATTTTGCCATTGATTAATATTGTTTCGATCGGAGCTCCCTCTCGCATCCCAATATTATGTAATGATATGTTCGTAGGCGAAGGCCTGGTAGGAGGAGCCGAGCGAGTCCCACTTATAGCAAGCACAGGTTGTCCTCCTTTTCGCAACACATTAATTTTGAAGCTTTGTTCGTTGTTGCACTCATCTGCCCGCTAGAATACATGATTCGGGAGGCCCTGTAACGATCTTCTCGAAACACGCTAACTTTGAAGCTTCGTTCGTTGTACTTAGCATTCGACCGAGGGTGGGGGCGTTGGGCGGGTTCTACAACAAACAGATGTGTTGAAACACGTAATACTAGGTTCTCGTGGGGAACTTCTAAGCTGCTTATTTTGCATGATGAGCATGCAGAGTATATACTCTCTCAGCGCATCCGACATCTGAGAATGACCGTCGATCATTTACGCGCTACCTGGTCAGCCCCTTGGCAAATGGAGTCTAGACCACCGAGCCTTGCTCCCTTGGCTCGTCAGCCCATCCCGTCAGCCGTGCATTGCGATCGAGCTTCTGCTGTCCACCAGGTAATCTACATATTATGTTCTCTGCTCGCGCTTCTATCGCCGCACTTAGTAAAGCCTTCGTCACCGTCCTATTTTCACTACCCCTTCGACTATGCACGCCCACATCATGCATATCCGCACCGCATCTACCCTGCCCCATCGAACGCTCGTATCGAAGAAGACATCCTATCAACTGGAAAAGCGCGAACGCCAGGGTCGAAAGCAACTTTCGCCGACGCTCCGTACCCTCGCTTCCTGTACCTCAATACGGACGCATTCCCCAGGCACATAGACCTGCCGTACACGTCTTCCTCCTTCCTCGCCATTCCGAACAACACACCCTCTACCACCTCACTCCCTCCGCTCAGGTACGCTCAGCACGTCCAATGGCGTAGGATTGCACACGCAAACTCGGCCAGGACTTGTAGGTCTCTGTTTCGAAGGCCTAGAGGCAGAGACGGGGTATTTGGAAGGCTCAGCGACTGGGTTAGGTCATCCGATTCCTCATCTAGCAAGAGAATTCTCGCCGATCTAGCGATCCCCCACGCACAGGTCCAAAGCGGTTTAAACACGGCCCAAGAAGAGATATGACGTGTTCCTCCCGTGCCTGCACCACTTTAGGTCGTTATCGCCTGCATCGTTCCTAGCACAGGCGCTTCCCAACACTGCAACGGTGCAGTTCTGCATTCGCCGTCGTGTTGAGGCTGTATCACCTCCACATGCTCCTCCGTTGAAACTTCATTCGTTGTAGTACTCGGGTGAGTTCCAGGATCAAGAGTACAGGAGTCAAGCGCGTCCTACAACGAGCACAGGTTGTCCTCCTTTCGAAACACGCTAACTTTGAAGCTTCGTTCGTTGCTGCACTTGCCTGATTTCTCGGAGTACTAGTTCTAGTTGAGGAAGTCGAGCGAGTCCTGCCACGAACACAGGCTGGCCTCCTCAACGCACGCTAGCTTCGAAACTTTCCGTTGAGGATTCCTAAGTTGCTTATTTTACACAATGATCGGGTCAAAGTTGGCACTGTTATCGTGCAAGATGAGCACGCAAAGTCCAACACACCCTCAGTGCATACATCTGAACTATATCATAGATATCGCCCTTGGATCATCTGAACCAGTACTGTAGAAATGAGAAAATGACCATATTCAGACACGCTCGCACCTTAACTGTCCTCTAGCATGGGTTGCCAGACAGACCAGGGAATCAAAAATATATCATGATGTCCTGAAGTATCAATTAGTCCAGGGATAATGGATAATACCTAGTACTTATGGCATATCCTTCTACGCAGCCGCCCCTCGTGCACATCCTCTCGCTTTGTACCGGTAACAGCGCCAACCAGATGGAGCTAGTACAGCGGAAAAAGAGACGCGTGCATTTGAGCTGACATTGCTCTCGGAATGCAGGTGTCCGCCCCTGAGCAGAGCTTTACGAACACATAAAAGAATCAAGGGTTGTACACAAGAGACTGAAAAAAAGATGTCCCCTACCGCATGGACACATTTTATAGGCGTGAAGACCGTCGCAATCAAGTTCACCAAAACCTGCAGTGATTCAAATAATGTGAGCAACGCGAAGGAAAAATATACAGCATACACAATAGTAAAGCAGATAGACCAAGCAGTCTCCAAATACTATGAGCTCAATAGGTTTGGAGGGACTGTTAGCCGCGAGCACAACTTTCCGGTCCGTTAGCCAGAAGACTGAAGCCACTCCCCATGCCAGAGTAAACGAAACTCATAGGATGTTGTCGTCCGTGCACATCTTCAGTTGAACCATGTAGTTAATTGAGTATACCCACACACAAGCAATGTGTTCGTCTTCGGACGTGCAGTGTGTATGGCGTAAAACAGATCGGAGTAGACTATGCTAACCGTCTTTTTTTCTTCATTTGCAGATGAAATAGTACTTGAGGATGGTTTCGCACAATGCAAAGTGCCCTGCAGAGTTGAATATGCCGTGCAAGATACAACACACTGAAGTGTATGTGCCACCCGCAGGGGATATTGAAAGCCATTGCAAGGGCGTAATACTATGGGTTTCGACGAAAACTGTATGGATTCGCAGTGAAGCTCGAGGTATTGGAAGAAGGCCAGAGGGATACAAAGAATCCCCCATTTGGAGAATTTTCGGTCCAGAGCTGTGATGCGTGTTTTTAACATGTTTCGGTTGCGTTGGATGGCGCAAATAGTGTTCTTAGCTAACAATAAAGAAGGCCCGGTGTACGTGGCACCATGTCATGGGGCTCAGTGACGTTTAGCGAGACTCGATGCAGTGGGTAAAGGACATGTAAGATCTTTGTGAAAATTTGCTCTTCACACATTAACGCACATATTCTTTACACACGGCGATTGGACGACCACTGAGAGCAATCTCTATACCTCGATGTCGCTGTCCGTAGACCGTGAAGTCAATATCGTATACAGGAACAAGAGACGGAGATGTGACCTCATGGAGGAGTGTCTTGGGCGACTCGAACTGCACGTCGTGCGAGGTGACGATAGCGACAAGCCTTGCTCCCCAAGTATCCGGTTTCTGAAGAATAGGCATCAGTTCAACTTTGACGCGCCTTGGTTCCCAAGATCCGCCTCAACACCAAGGACATCTGAAACAGTGTGATGGAGAGAAGACGACAGGATCCGTGATGAAATTATTTTCGTGTCTTTTCACAGCTCCGTGGCTGCTTGAGATTCGGAGGACTGGTTGTGGTGAATAATACCAACACCCTACAGTGCGAAGCTGATGGCCATGTTGATCTTGGTGACGGTATCCATAGGACTACTCATGAACGGAGTTCTGAGAACGACATTACGAGTGACTCTAGGGACTATCTGGATTCTGCGATCACATCAGAAGCAGGGTTTAAGAGAATTTCAGTCGTGTTTCGATCGGAGCTTGAATGGCCCTTGGCACTCGCATGCCACGTTCGTTGTAGCACGCGCTCAATTCTCTCAGGTAGCCCTCAATGTAGGTCTCATCGAGGAGTCGAGCGAGTTCTGCAACGAGCGCAGGTTGTCCTCCTTTTCGCAACACGCTAACTTTTGAAGCTTTTGAAGCTTCGTTCGTTGAAGCACTCGCTTGAAGAGTCGAGCGAGTCCCACAACGAACACAAGTGTCCGAACACGCAGGTTCTCGGGGAGAATTTATAAGCTGCTTATTTTTCATCATGACTACGTCGAAGTTGGCACTGTCGTTGTGCATGATGAGCATGCAAAGTACGATGTCTATTCTCTCAGTACGTGAATCTAAGAATGCTCGTGGATTATTTGAATTGAATCTAGTTTGATCTAGGTCATCGCTATGATTTTGCTCACGTGATCTATACGCGCTTCCTGGTCAGCCCTCAAGAGTCTGGGTCACTGACCATCCTGTCAGCCTTGCTCACTTGTCTGGTCAGCCCATCCCGTCAGCCATGCATTACGGCCAATACATAAGAGCTGCGCTTCTGCTTTCGACCAGGTAAGCTACCTTTTTCTGTATCTTATGTTCCCTGCTCGCGCTTCTATCGCCGCACTTAAAGCCTTCGTCACCGTCCTCTTTCTGCCTCAGTTTCACTATCCATCGACCATGCACGCCCACACCATGCATATCCGTACCGCATCTACCTCGAGCTCTCTCTTGGCCCCACCGAACGCTCCTTGTATCAAAGAAGACATCCTATCAGCCGGAGAAAGCGCGAATGCCAGGGTCGACAGCTACCCCTCATCCGCGATCCATACCTTCGTTTCCTAAACCTCATTACAGGCGCGTTCCCCAAGCACCCAGACCTGACATTCACGTCTTCCTCCCTCCTCCGCCATACACCGAGTCTACATCCTTCCTCGCTGTTCCAAACAATACACCTGCTACCACCCCACCCCTCCCTCCACTCAGCAGTAGCAGCAGCTCCGACGACTCAGTTGCGCTCAGTACTCCCAACGGCGTGGGTTTGCACGCGCAAAGTCGGTCAGGACTAGTAGGCCTGGGTTTCGAAGGCCTAGAGAAAGGCCGAGGCGGGGTATTCGACGGGCTCGGAAGGCTCAGCGACGGATTCAGATTATCCGATTCCTCATCTAGCCAAGACTCTTCACACCGATCCAGCGATCCCCCGCGTACACAAATTCAGTCCAAAGCGGCTTCAACACGACCCAAGAAGAGACACGACGTGTTCTTCCCGTGCCCACACCACTCTAGGTCGTTGTCGCCTGTATCGTTCCTAGCACAGGCGCTTCCCAACACTGCGATGTTGCAGTTCCGTATTCGCCGTCGTGTCGAGGCTGGATCACCTACGCCTGCTCCTGATATGAAGTTTGATCCTAGTAGGAGCACGGTGTCGACTGAGCTGAAGCGAGCTGCGGGAATGGAACGTCGGGTATCATTGAGTCGGTATGGCAGTGGACGAGTTGCATGGCGGGTGTAGGATAGAGATGATAACACCTAAGGACAAATAAGCAAGTTGCAGTGTCACAGCCGGATTCATTTGAGCAGGCATAGTCTTTCAGGCAAAGCCGGTCTTCAAAAAACGACAAACGACGTCCAACGAGCACATACAACGTGCCGTGACTCATGAACCACCACGGCAGCCTGACAGACGGCGTTGCTGCAGATGGCGAATGTGCACAAAGGTAAACTCATTAGTTCATGCTTTACGTATACTGATAATATGCATATGCACTATTCCTATCCGCAGGGCAAGCACCCGTATTGTCTTGGTACCTGTTAGCATACGCACGACAAGAAGTCGGAACTGTTACTCCATTCGGGACTTTGCGCAGCTGAGCTAAGGAATTGAGAGGACTGCGTTTTCCCTGAAGAACACTTGCTACCAACTACTTACACGACAATCGTAGCCCGTTCCTCCATAAATGTAACAACTTCCGTGCTAGAGGGCCGAGACGCTGCATCTACCGACCAGCATCGCTGGATGAAATCCCAGTCGCCATCAATGATAACAGGTGTGTCTGGCCTTCGAGGCGTAATTCCTTGTAATATTTGGCGCATTACGCCACCGTTGGGGATGTAGTGGTATGGGACCTTTCCCTCCAATACCTGAAGCTGTGGGTGAGCATTTTGTGTAACCGTAGATTTGCACCTTTAAATGTGGGTGTGTGGAAACGGCATTTGGCGCAGGTGCAAATACACTCGGATGGCAATCGCACACGCACCTGAAGCATGATCCCCCCGAAAGAATACACATCGCTTGCCTTGAAGAACACAGACAGCATATCGCTCTCATCGGGCATCAGGTTTTCAGGTGCCATCCATCGCGGAGTGCCTCCAACAGCAGTAGGCAATAAAGCTTGGCTTGCTCTAGCTGAAAGGAAAGCAGAGAGACCAAAATCGGTGAGACGCGCTTTTCTATCATCATCGATAAGGACGTTGAACTAAAAGGCTTAAGTTAGGGAGTCACAAGTTTGTTGAAGGTGCACGTACGCCACTCAAGTCTCCATGGACAATCGATTGCGAATGAACTACCAGATCTTTGTCAGCTGTGTCGTGTTAATTGCAAACATTAGACTTACGATACTGAAGGCCACGAGCTACATCCCTAAGCTAAAGCATCATCAGTACTATGGTCGCTGCGGGGCGACGACTTCAACGTACCAGTGCAAACTTATCGCCACTGGAAAGCTTTTCGTGCTTATCCTCCAGATAGTCGGTCAAGGTGCCATTCCTTAACCACGGTGAAACCAAGGCCGGAAAAACTCCAAATTGACGTGTGACACCCCAGAGAGGAACAATATTGTCATGATTGAGTACGGACGATATTTTAATCTCCCTCAACAATCGCTGGTGAAGTAACAATCAGTGCAATGGGAGCACAAAATATTTTCAACCAACATTGATCATCCTGGGTGTCTCGGCAGCCCCCATCGGTCTTAGTGCCTTGACTGCGACCTAGACTACCGTTGGAAAAGTAGGAGGAATTGTTTGTTTAAGGCTCACGTCAACACAACCAAGAGTAACCTGGTAACTGGAAACAGCTTGCTGTATGAGCACGGTCGTCGAGTCCAAGGCAAGCCGGCACATGTGGATATCCGCATATCCCCCGCAGTTCTCGGGGTACTTGTTGTCCCGAATGATAAAGTTTGTCAAGTCAGTAGCACTGCGGAAAGTAAGCAGTGAGTATGAAAACAGATGTGCATGGGAGATGACCTACCCAACATTCTGGACTACGAAAAAGCAAAAGACATCCTCAATTGACGGACGAGCGTCGCTCTTAACTGACAGACATTGTTGTCCAAAAGTCAAATGCGTTTCATTGGTCTCCTATTCGTAGCCGGCGTCGGCGCTCCAGCACAAAATTCTGTAGGAAACGTACCTGTGTAAGGCGGAAGGGCTGTGTGCTTTTGACTCTTTCTGGAAGTACTTCGTTGGGATCATGAATCCACTCGTAAGGTATCTTTCCTGATAACACCTAGGGAACGTCAGACAAAATGGCTGGCTTCGAGTAGCGCAGGAACACACCTGGATCATGAGACAGCCAAATGAATAGATATCTCCAGCTCTACTTGGTCTCGAGGCTCCTGCATCTGCAATAGGCGCGAGCAATTCGGGCGCAATGTACCTTAATTCGAAGGCATTAGCTGAGCCAGACGTGGAAGTTTGTGTTTGCGCAAAAATCTTGGATAGGCGACCGAAGTAAGCAATGTAGACCCTACCAGAGCCGTCGAGGAACACATCATCCTGAGAATGTGGTCAGCGCATGACGAATAGAATCCACACGATTTACACTTGTCAAAGAACCATGAGTGATACCACCGCCGTGCACTAGACAACAACCTTGAGTCCATGGTTGACGTTCAGGAATACCACTTACAGTGCTTAAGCCCAGCTACCACTTGGTTTAGCTGTCATCAAGCTCAGAGACGATCATAATCATGCTACTTGATGGGCTTACGATATCCAGTTTCCTGGTTGAGGATAGACGGGAGAACTCCCGGCGTAGATAGTCGGACAACGAGCCATTGGCCATCCAGGGAGACATGAAGGCGGGAAGAGGTCTGAAATAAGGGATTGTGTCATACAGCGGCAATATATTATCGTGTGACGACTTGGCCCAGGCGAGAGCCTCTTGAGTAATCATCTATCAAATAAGAGGTATAGTAAACCCCGTTTTATCGAGCGCAACGCGCCAAAAAACTAACCTTAATTACTTCATCTCGATCGCCTGTGTGAGGAATTCTGACTGATTTGACTGCAACCTGAAATGAGTGAATTTTGGCTTCGGACATATAAAAGAGTACACTGACTTTAGTCTCCTCTGAGTTCTTGCACCAACTGCATTTCCAGATATCGCCGAGACCCCCTGCCGCAGTGCCGCGATGTTCATATGCTGTGATCACCTCGTTAGGGAGTTCACGAAGGCTGTAGAACGCAAGCCAGTCAGGAGCGCCTGGTAACATCTCATTAATGATCGCCGTAGTCTTTTCTACCGATGGGCGAATTTTGGGTTCGATTGACCAGCACCGTCGCATGCAATCCAGGTGATGTGCTTCAATCTTCACGCTGCTATCAATGGGCTCGAGGTCCTTGAACCTAGCTGAAACGACGTGAATGGGAGTCTTCAACCACCAATAGGGTTGTTTCCCGTACAACACCTGTTGCACCATGTCAGTGACACAAACAAGATAAATACGAGACTGACCTGAAGCATGATACCCCCAAAGAATATATGTCACTGGATTCGGTAGCGCATTGTATAGGCTGATCGTCCGGAGCGTTGAGAGCTCTGGAGCGGACCCAACGAACTGTACCAGGTGTGATAGGAGAATGCCGGATTGGACTGTACCATGATATTCGAGATACCGAAGTCTGCCAAGCGCGGGGATCCATCGGCAGCTACCAGGACATTGTACTACAACCACGATCAGAATGATAGATACACAGCGTAAGTATGTAAACTTACACTGGATCAGGATCACCGTGAATCACGTTGTTGTCATGGACTGTCCACAATACAACCATCAGTTACGTCGATTACTTCCCAGTCGATTACTACTCACGATACTTGAGCCCCTCGGCGATTTGTCGAAGCTATTGAAACATGGTAAGTTCTCGCAATCGGCTTCGTAAATAAAACTCACCATGGAAAGCCTGTCCATTTCCGTGAGATCCGCATGATTTAGGTAGGAGTCCAAAGTCCCGTTTGGCATCCAGGGGGTGACAAGAGCGCAGAATGGACCGAAATCTCGTACAGTGCCATACAAGCGTAATACATATGGATGCTCTAATACGGCCCAGATTCTGATTTCGCGGTCAAGGCTCTGCGTTCAAAGTCAACGAAGTTCAGACACTTGGTAGTTACAGACGCTATCCAAACACACCTTGTTGATTCTGACGACCATTTGACTATCAATTTGAGTTGGAGATCGTGGAGATTTGACTGCAACCTGAAGATAAAGGTGAGCACATGTACAGAGAATATGAATATCCGAAGTACTTCTTCCGACCCTGCACCACGGTTCCATGTACATTTGTAAACATCTCCAAGACCACCCGAAACGGTCGGGTAATTGGTTTGCCTGATGATATTACTTGATTCGATACAAAGGACGTCTGATGTCCGAAGAGTTGTTTTCTGAACTGAAGAAGCGACTGGCGATTTCTTTGCGACGGGGCTGCGTTCACTATGGTCATTGTCAGACGTAGAGGTCCTGCTTACAAAAGGTGGATCAATAGAAACTTCAGCAACAGATACTTGGCCTCCGCGCAACCGTAGCCAAAAATAAAATAACATCTGTCATTTATAAGGGTGAGTTGAGTCAATTGAACGGTGGATTAGACTCGACATACAAGAAATATCAAGCAGTTTTCAATCGTCGGCATCCTAATATATGACAAATGCAGAACCAACTAAAAGCTAGTTCAGAACTTAGGCCTGTAGTGTCTGAAGTGATGACAGTCGCACAGCAAGATTCAAGTGGGACCCACTCGAAGCTTACTCAGCTCCCTCAACGCATCACTGCCTGGTCATGCCAGGCTGCCATGAGGCGGCGACCTATCCAAGAAAGGCCATCATGTCGAATCACGTCATTCGAGCTTCAAATCGTACAAGCTCATCCTGTATATAATATATGTAGTATGTACTTATTGCACAACATGAGCATTGACGGTTTGCAACAAGTTACTTATTCGGAACGCTCGAGGATGCTAATCGGAGCTTGCTCGGTTCCCTCACTCATTGGAATACTGTTACGACATTCAATCTTTGGATGAAAGTCGTATGAGATCGTTGTTCCGCATCCTAAACTTCACTATAGACGAGCACCCAGACACGTCTCCCAGTCCACATCCTTCCTCACCATTCCAAAGAAGACGCCCGACCTCCCTCCACTCAGACTCAGCGACGGATTCAGATTAACCGATTCCTCATCCAGCCAATTCTGGCCGATCCACCGATCCCCCGCATCGGTCCAACACGGTCCAAGAAGAGTTCTTCCTGTGCCCGCACCACTCTAGGTCTGTATCGTAGGCGCTTTCATATTCGGCGTCATGTTGAGGCTGGGTCATATCCTTATATGAAGTTTAACTGCAAGGAGTGTAGTCTATAAACAAAGACAAACAATGGAGTTGTGTGTGGTTGTCATGGGAATTTGAATTCATTGCGTGGTGTACTTGAGTTGTTTCAACTCTTTCAAAGTCTTTTCGACTGTTTTCGTGTATTTTTTGCATTTTCATTGAGCAGGTCAGACAAAGCAGGTCTTTTGTCTGAAACGAACAAACCACGACCGACGAGTACTTATAGTCAAACCTTGCTACGACTCCTACGAAAGCATACACAACGAGATGGCGAGAGGTATGTAATGTACTTTATCCTGATGCAATAGTCATTTCCTAAATAACTGTAGATGCTTTGCGTTCTTCACCACCATTCCCTTCTCCAGGTTCTTCTTTTCTTCCCCCGCCCACTCCAGGGCCACATGAGTTCGCCCGCCCACCTTCAGCAGGCAGGAAATTATCAAAGAAAGACTTGAATGATTTGGCTGGCGTCGCTTCTCATACCGCTGCCAATGGCCATACCTGCAATGGTCAGGCTAATCCAACCACACCCAACGGCGCGGTAAGTCCCCCACGAGCGTCTCTGGCTTTCTTCCGCTCCTTCCTTCCCCGCTTTATCATTTCCATGCTGAACGTACCTCGCTCTCTCTTCCACGTCATCTCCTTTCAGGAATCACCACCGCCCATTCCTACCACCGATTCTTTCCCTGGAACTTACTTAGACCCCCGTTCTCTGGGCTTGCGAGAAGGTCCTTCTGCACCCGCAGATCCACCCCCACCTCCCCATAGACTCTTGATCAATCCAGAATCTCACGATGTAGATGATTCTAGAGTATCACCACAGCCTCCACACCGCCTTAGCACGCAGTCTGTCACATCACTCACATCTTCCCGTCCTGCACCCCCCTCCCCAGCAATCTCCCGCCGTGCCTCAGGCCTATCCCGCACATCCTCCAAATCCCGTTCTCGCCCAGTCTCAGGCGTCAATTCCCGCCCAGTCTCTAGTACAACTCGCCCCATATCAGGCGCACTCTCCCCCAATGCAGTTCTTAGCCGCACCCCGAGTGGACGTCGTGCAAAAGATGTCCTCGGTATGTCAGCGGTCGTAGAGAAAGAGCCAGAACCCGCACCTGCAGACTCCAAAGTCCTTATCAAAATTCGCGACTTTGCATTTGCACCTTCAGATGTCCGGTTCTCAGGTGAAGGTCCAAACGTACCTCGCCCCAATCGTCCCAAAGTTCTAGCCCGCCGTTTACGCGGGTCGTCCTCGTCGACGTCCTCAATGACCTCCAAGTCGTCGACAGAAGAGGAAGACGAGCAATGGGAGGACGAGAATGATAGTAATGGTTGGGGAGGATTCAAGTGGGGACTTCAGAAGTTGCAATCTGGTTGGGGATTCGCCTCAAGCTCCTCCTCTTCTACAGAGGATTTTCCCTCTCGGACTGATTTTGCAAGGAACTTTGGAAATGGTGTTGGAGATGATGATGAGAGTGAGGTGTATGACGAGCCGGATGATTTCTTCGAGAACCAAGAGGAGAATGAGGAGATGGGAGAGCCCACATTGCACCCTGGCCTATACCGTGCGCTGTATGCTTTCGAGCCAGAAGGAACGGCGGAGATGAAGCTCGAGGAGGACCAAGTGGTCCGTGTCGTCGGACGAGGAGGCGGGGTCGGATGGGCCGTAGTTGTGAAAGATGGCCTCAAGGATACAGGTGCGCATGCTCTCGTACCGGAGAGTTATCTCGAAGTCGTGAGACTCGATGGGGATGAAGAGGACTGAGTGTTCGTGCAGGCGCGGGCCACGTTGATTATCATCCTAGTTCTCGCTTTCTTACGCTTACTATTTCTGTTGTATGTGGAACTCCGTCATTTATCTGCTGTTGTTTGCATTACATTCCCCGCTCATATTCTGATAATGATAATCGAGTTCATGTATACGATGCCCTCAATCCACGCGACAGATGATTTCGCCGTTTAAGATCGCGAACCAGCCATCCTCTGATTTCCCCCACTCCATCCACGAAGCTGCGATTCTATTCAGCTTCTCCTCGTCCGCAAGCCCGCTCTTGAGCGCCGTCGTCTTGAAATTCGAAGAAAGCGTCCGATCAGCCCACAATTTACTCCACCACTCCCTCTCCTCCGGCGTACTAAAACACCACGTCCCAGCCGAAGTCATAATCTCATCCCTAGCAAACCCCGCCTTCAACGCCCAACTCACCAACCTCCTCCCCGCATCCGGTTCTCCCCCATTAGCACGCGCCACAAGCTGATACGTATCCCCCCACTCCTTCATCCCTTCTGAAACAGGAAACCAAGTCATAGCCGCGAAATCCACTTCCCTAGCTGCGATAATCCCTCCAGGTTTCGTAACAGCCCTCATCTGCATCAAAGCCTCAGCTACCCTCTCTCTATCAATATGCTGCAACACCTGATGCACATGCACGATATCAAACTTCCCAGTCCCAAACATCTCTCGCAGCTCAAAGATATCCCCTTCTTTGAACTCCACGTTCGAGATCCCTCGTTCTTGGGCTATTTGACGCGCTTGGGAGAGGACGGCTCCTGGGGAAGGTTCGATTCCTGTTATATGTCCTTCTGGGACGAGTTGCGCGAAATCGAGGGTGATGGTTCCGGGCCCGCAGCCTATGTCGAGGATGTGCATGTGCGGTTTGATGTATGGGAGGAGGTGGGGGGCTGAGTTTTGGGCGGTGCGCCAGCTGTGCGAGCGGAGGACGGATTCGTGGTGTCCGTGTGTGTAGATGGTGTTTGAGGACATGGCTGGTGGTCAGTGTGGTATACCTTGGTAGAGATACAGTAGCGTACAGGGGTTATGTACCTTTATTTTGGGCGGAGTTAACTACTTTCGTTGCCGCGTCAGCGCTACTTTTACTCACCGTCATGATTGGTTTTCGCCGATAGCGCCAACGCTAATCGGATTCAGGGATTAATATTCCGAAGATAATACTGCATGCAATTAGAGTTGGCGCGGGGTGCTCCGTAGTGCTCGCTCCTCAAAAATTCTTTGTAGCTTCTGTCCCTTCAACCCTCAGGTCATCGAGGACGGCTTCATCGAAGTCCTAGATAATGTCCTACAATATGAACTTATCTGGTGCTCGATGATGTCGGACTACTACCCTCCTGCCAACGTTGAAGCGGGTGGCACAGCTGGTTTTTGAAACGGTGAGTATGGCTCAAATGTGGCTCATCGCTGAGATCGATCTACGTCCGACAGGGGAGATAATGGAGGCCGGAGAATGTCGCAAGCGTCTTCGAGGTGATCATCAGGTATAAGCTACAGGGAACACTAGAAGACGCGAGGGTCAAAGAGGAAGAAATTGTCGAGCGGCTTGAAAGAGCTCAATAAGCGTACAGGAATCCGGGAACCTTCATCCGCCTATACAGACTGTGCCTCATTCAACGAGTTCGAGACCAGCGCCTTGTAATGAAGAAGGTTCCATTTGGAAGGCCCAGCGCTCTAGACCCTCCGCATGAGTGATGTCCCGAGGATCTCAATGAAGCCCAATTTACCAGACATTAATCTGCCAGCCATGACCCGTAGTAGCTCCGTCCAAGCACACCAACTTGCTGCATGGGCAGAATTCTTCTGCGAGATTGTTTTGCTCACGTTCCGCTGAGCGCAGAAACAACCAGTCCTTGTTCTGGCTGAATTCATTGAGCGATGCATGCAAAAATGAACAATGGCGCAATTTGGGAGATTGATGTCTGATGTCTGAATCAGTGAGAAATAATCGACTCACTCGTTGCAGAAATCACGGTGGGCGATCATGTGTGCGACATCGAAACTTGATGCATGATGGTAGTGATGCTGATAATCTACAGATGTGATTCTGTTAAGCATTCAACAAAAAGAGTACGATTAGAGACATCATTCACGACCGGCTCCGCGCGCTGAACAAAAAGAAGCTCGATGATCATGCTGGGCGTCCAAAAAAGTTAATGATAGTGGCTGTGATCATGATGGTTTGGTTCGAACCGTGACTGTGGCTCAACATCAACGTATCGATTGTGGCCTTGAAATGTCTAAACAATAGTACTATTGACCTGGCTTATAAGCAAGCCTCAATCTGCATTTGCTTGTCTTCAACGAGTTCGCAAAGATTTCTCATGGTCAATACTCCTGGCGCCACTGCGCCAAAGACGCCTCCCCACGGCGTCGACGCTGTCCCCCAGCTCAAGTCCACCCCAAATGCAGTTGGTTCTGCTGTTGTTAGCGAACATATCAGTACTCTAGGTGTCGAGTGCGTGCACTTTATCTAGTCACCATACACTGGTATTAAACTCTTTCATTCGCGCAGCGTCCACGATATCCGTCTATGGATTACGCGGGACGTTCAGGACTTCAGCAGATGCGAATTCGATGAAATGCTGCGGGAGCTCCTTTATCGCTGCAGAGATCCCTCAAAATCCCCTCCGACTGACAAGTCGACACTACTTAACGATTCCTTCCAAGCCGTCCTACCCCTCTGCCACCAGACCAGCGCCGCTCAGGACTATCAACAGACATTTGTCTGATTTGTGAGTCAAAAGTTCAAATCGTGCGAAAGGAGATTAACGCCATTGTCAAAGTGTCGAATGCACTACAGAAGTGCCCTCTTACGCGCCTTTTATCCGAGCTGCCAATCGTGCACTCCTTGAACTGAGTGACCTGGACGCGCCCGGATTACTTTCTTCCAAGACTCACGACGACTCTAATGATATCTTATTTCATGCTAAACGACCCGATGTTCATGAAACAAACGCACCAAGGCGCAGAGGCCAGACGTAAACCTGACGTCGTCATCGTCTCTCGCGAAAGCGCTCGGAACGTGCGGAAGAATGGAAAGGACTGCAGCAAGGAACAGATGTACACGTGAACAGGCGTGCCGCAAGCCCGATGTCAACTTTCAATGGACGGGCGTTCGATCGATACTGGAGTTCAAGCGGACGAAGACTCGTCTGCAAACGTCCGCCTTCGACTTACACAGTGAAGGATTACGATGCCTCTGACCAGAAGTATATGGAATATCACATTCGGAGTGAAACGAGCGACCCCGCTGAGCCAGCAGGTTCAACGCCTGCGCCTGCCGACGGTCCCACTCAGAGCTCACACGAAACATCGAATACACGTAAGTAGCTACTCCATATGTCTGGCTGCTACCTCCTTCCTTGCTGACATCCGCAGCAGAACCTCCGACTCAGTCTGGGCAATCTAAACGCAAAGGAGACAAGAAGCGTACTTCTGGTCATTTAGACTCCAGCGAGCCCAGCAGCAAGCGACCCAAGAGCAACAATGAGAACCAAGGCAATGAGAAGGAGCCGAAAAGAATTCATCCCATCGTCCAGAATGGTGTGTACGTCGCGGAGATGTTCGCGGCTCATGTTGCTCGGCAGCACGTCATCTCCTGTGTGGTGAATGGTGAGTTGATTGATGGGATGACGCAGACCTCACATAACATTGATCGCTCCTTTCAGACGACATGCTTTACCTCTGGTATTTTGATCGGCAAAATGCAATTCAATGCTCTGGCATCAACTTCGTTCAGGACCTTCCCCGCTTTATGGTCTTGCTGCTCGCCATGCAGCGAATGGCATACGCGCACTGGGGTTATAATCCGGTATTCGAGCCTGAGCCTGGATCTTCGGGCGAGATTCACCACGTCGAGGATCCAAAACATGGCCTAGTCGACCTCAAATTTGACTTGAAGTCAGACGATCGCACAACTCACTTCGGTCTGCGCGGACGCGCAACCACCGTCTTTCCAGTGGAGAGCATCAAGTTATCGAGTCTGCTATCGGATTCTCATAACACAAGCAGCGACCTGGTTGCCAAGCTGTATTGGCCAGAAGAGTCGCGTGAGAGCGAGCCCGAGATTCTCAAGAAGGTGTATAAGATTGCGGAACGCGAGATGAAGGTGAAGGGTCACGTCCCAGATATGGTTTGGTTCCACAAGTTTGAAGGAACATCCACGGCGAACATCCGGAAGGCGCTAGGAATGGACGATGCTGAACGAGGCAGTCGGGTCCTGTACATCATCGTATTCAGAAAGCTTATCCCGATCACGAAGTTGAGCGGGATGGAGTTCCTCACCGCATGGTGGCAAGTTGTTGTCTGTGGGTGTTGCTGCTTTTTGCGCTTCTTCTTGTCCATTCATATCCGCGACACCAGGCCATCATGTCCTTTGGGAAAACGGCGTCTACCACCGCGACGTCAGCCCTAGCAATCTCATGGTATACAAGACCTCAGATGGTCGATGGATTGGCGTCCTCAACGACTATGACCTATCATCGACCAAACACGATGGTCCCAGCGGCAACGAGCGTACAGGGACAGTACCTTTCATGGCGATCGACCTTCTCACCCCGGCTGCCATCAACGGCGAGGTTGAGCACCTCTACCGACACGATGCTGAATCGTTCATCTGGGTCCTTACCTGGGTCTCTCTGCGGTATGAAGGTGGCGAGCTCCTGAGCAAGGGCAGACCCCTTGATGACTGGCTGAAAGTGGACGCTACAGGATGCTCGAAGGAAAAGTCCCACTTTCTATTTGTGAGGCTCAGGGACAACACTCTGCGTCCGTCGGCATCGCACCAAGAGAACTGGACAGTTGCGCGATCTTGCCTTCTCAAATTCGCCTCGTTCTTCTTGGGCCAAACGCCCGCACTGGAAAATGAGTTTGTATTTCAGACGTGGCTGCTGGAAAAGATACCAGATGAGGCAAAGATACCACCGTCGTTCCAAGACTAAAGTCTACTTGTAATAGAAGCAATCTTATAGCAATGCTGAGATACTCAACTTTTTACATGTGCATGCGTGTATTCGAACCATTCCAATGTTCTTTCTTTACATCCAATTAGCCTAGAAGATCTCTTAACACACTAACAAGGCGTGTGCGTTATCTGAACAACTATGATGTGCAGTCGTAGTGATTGCATTGATGATGTTATCCAAGGGAACGAACGTCTTCCTTCTTCTATAGTTTAACTAATGACAAGCTTGTAGCTTGAAAGAGACCTGGTCAGGAATACTCGTTGAGAACGGGAAGGTGCGACCGACAACAACCGGCCCTAGTTTTCGCACCTCCCGTACGTCAAACAAGACATGCGAGCATCACCCTCCCAACCAATCCCAAAAGACACATCACAGGCATCAGTCCGCGCTGATAAATTGTCCACCTGCACTCGAACTCGAACTAGTCGTGAAACTGGCTAGTTGCAGTCGTGTTCGGGTTTAATTCGGCATTGGCGATGTTCTTGGGGGCATTGCCAGCGCTGGGACGCGGATGGTACTAAACATCAAAATGTCGAACATCCAAAATGACCAACGACTTCAATTTTAAGATGACCTCTAACTCGTCGGTGCTATGAGGGCAGCAGGTAGATAGGCGGGTGGAAAGGGCAGGTCCACGGTGAAGATTCAAGACTGTCCAGGCTTGAAGCCTTCGCTCATCGTCAGCGAAGGCTTCAACTCTGGAAAGTCCCAAACGGTGATGGGAAACGTGTCACACAAAGTAGCTATTGTGGTTTTTTTGATGCGGCGTAGCTCGACCTCAGCGGTCTGATCGCTCCGCAGTAACAAATCAGTCGCTCAGCCAGCGACGTTAGCCATTTCTAGCCAATAACCTTCAGTAAAATTAAGCATACCATAAGGTACAAATGGTGCGGGACTCACGCTCAGGCCATCACCAGGAGTGCTGAGCAGACGAAATGTATCATGGAAACTAGTGCAAACAATTAGCACCGTAGCAGAAATTGCTAGGTTTCACATCACCATGAATACAACTTATTCGCGAGGACGTTTAACGTAGCAATTTCTCAGGTGGATATCATTCGAAGTTACTCGTAGATCGATCTCAGCTATGGGCCACATTCGACCCATACTCACCGTTTCAAAAACCAGCTGTGCCACCCGTTTCAACGTTGGCAGGAGGGCAGCGATGGAGCCGTCCTTGATGACCCGAAGGTTGAAGGGACAGAAGCCACAAAGATTTTTTTGGGAGCGAGCACTACGGAGCACCCCGCGCTAACTCTAATTGCATGCAGTATTATCTTCAGAACCCCGAAGATATCACTGAATCTGATTAGAGTCGGCGCTGTCGGTGAAAACACAGCATGACGGTGAGTAAAAGGAAGTAGCGCTGACGCGGCAACGAAAGTAGTTAGCTCCGCCCAAAATAAAGGTACATAACCCATGTATGCTGCTGTATCTCTACCAAGGTACACAACTGGCCACCAGCCATGTCCTCAAACACCATCTACACACACGGACACCACGAATCCGTCCTCCGCTCGCACAGCTGGCGCACCGCCCAAAACTCAGCCCCCCACCTCCTCCCATACATCAAACCGCACATGCACATTCTCGACATAGGCTGCGGCCCCGGAACCATCACGCGTAACTCGTCCCAGAAGGACATATAACAGGAATCGAACCTTCCCCAGGAGCCGTCCTCTCCCAAGCGGGTCAAACAGCCCAAGAACGAGGGATCTCAAACGTGGAGTTCAAAGAAGGGGTCTTTCCAGTGGAGAGCGTCAAGCTATCGAGTATGCTATCGGATTCTCATAACACAAGCAGCGACTTGGTTGCCAAGCTTTATTGGCCGGAAGAGTCGCGTGAGAGTGAGCCCGAGATTCTCAAGAAGGTGTATAAGATTGCGGAACGCGAGATGAAGGTGAAGGGTCACGTCCCAGATATGGTTTGGTTCCACAAGTTTGAAGGAACATCCACGGCGAACATCCGGAAGGCGCTAGGAATGGACGATGCTGAACGAGGCAGTCGGGTCCTGTACATCATCGTATTCAGAAAGCTTATCCCAATCACGAAGTTGAGCGGGATGGAGTTCCTCACCGCATGGTGGCAAGTTGTTGTCTGTGGGTGTTGCTGCTTTTTGCGCTTCTTCTTGTCCATTCATACCCGCGACACCAGGCCATCATGTCCTTTGGGAAAACGGCGTCTACCACCGCGACGTCAGCCCTAGCAATCTCATGGTGTACAAGACTTCAGATGGTCGATGGATTGGCGTCCTCAACGACTACGACCTATCGTCGACTACACACGATGGTCCCAGCGGCAACGAGCGCACAGGGACAGTACCTTTCATGGCGATCGACCTTCTCACCCCGGCTGCCATCAACGGCGAGGTTGAGCACCTCTACCGACACGATGCTGAATCGTTCATCTGGGTCCTTACCTGGGTCTCTCTGCGGTATGAAGGTGGCGAGCTCCTGAGCAAGGGCAGACCCCTTGATGACTGGCTGAAAGTGGACGCTACAGGATGCTCGAAGGAAAAGTCCCACTTTCTATTTGTGAGGCTCAGGGACAACACTCTGCGTCCGTCGGCATCGCACCAAGAGAACTGGACAGTTGCGCGATCTTGCCTTCTCAAATTCGCCTCGTTCTTCTTGGGCCAAACGCCCGCACTGGAAAATGAGTTTGTATTTCAGACGTGGCTGCTGGAAAAGATACCAGATGAGGCAAAGATACCACCGTCGTTCCAAGACTAAAGTCTACTTGTAATAGAAGCAACCTTATAGCAATACTGAGATAATCAACTTTTTGCATGTGTATGCGTGTATTCCAATGTTCTTTCCTTACATCTGACTAACGTAGAAGATCTCTTAACGCCTTAACAAGGCGTGTGCGTTATCTGGGCAACCGTGACCATCATTCACTATGATGCGCAGTCGTAGTGATTGCATTGATGATGTTATCCAAGGGAACCAATGTCTTCTTTCTTCTATAGTTAAACTAATGGCAAGCTTGTAGCTTGAAAGAGACCTGGTCAGTGCCCTCAAGTACTACTCGTTGAGAGCGGGAAGGCGCGAATGACAACAACCGGCCCTAGTTACAGTTTCGCACCTCCCATACATCAAACAAGACATGCGAGCATCACCCTCCCAACCAATCCCAAAAGACACATCACAGGCATCAGTCTGCGCTGATAACTTAACCACCTGCACTCTGGTCATCAAAAGCAAGTATATATACTATGCTCATTATATATGAACAGGTTGGATTATGGATGCAAGGGTAAGATACTGAAAAACATCAAAAATGTCAAAATTGCAATTTGCTATGCTTTTGTTCCTGTAGAAGGGTCCTATGTGTGTCCTGGGCTGGCTATATGATATATCTGCTCCAAATATGCACAGGAACAGACCCCCTACTGTCCTTGAGGTCCGGTCCTACATGAAAAATTTCCACAGGGGGTAAACCACCAGGAGAGGGGGGTACACTATGCAATAAGGGATTCTCCTATGGTCCTGGGCTTCTGATACATTGTTTCTATTGCTGAATAGATGATGGGGATAAAATTTCAAAGTATGTTCACCTAGAAATAAACAAATGAGAACACATTTTGTATTTTTATGTATATATGCTATATCTATTGATGTAGGCCGCTTCAGGGGGTCAAATAAAGTTGGGAATCTCTTCATATATACTCCTAAACATGTTTTGAATGCCCTGGGACACTTCCTTGTCAAAGGAGCAAAAGTGCAAAAATGTTTTGTATCCTACATCATTTTGAATGGGTCCTGGAGGAGCAGGCATACAAATAGACGAAAAAGTTTTGAGATCACGATAGATACAATATTGATTGTTTGACAAGCAAGAATGAAAATATTAGACTTAGAGGCACATGACAGTGGGCACTAAGATTGCTCATTTTATTTGGATATGTCCATGCAGGTTATATATACTTTGTATTACCGCTGGGCTATGTAATCTCCGATATGGCTGACGTGTCCTAGGTTTGTTCAACCTCGACACTCCCCCTCAAACCTAGGACATCCCAAGTTCTCGTATATGTTGGTGATGTGCAGGTTTGGGTAGTGCCTTTGTGAAGATGTCTGCTGTCATTTGTGCAGTAGGACAATATTTCAGTTTTATTAGTCGACTTTTAACTTTGTTTCGGATATAGTGATGTTTCAAATCAAAATGCTTCGTTCTTTTATGATATTGTGGGTTTTGCGCAATCGCCAACAAGCCAGAGTTGTCACCGTATAACAATGTAGGTTCTTTTTGCTCGTATCCTAACTCCAAGTATAGGTTTTGGAGCCATACTGTTTCTCTCGCTGCATTGGAGAGGCAGATATATTCAGCTTCCGTTGTTGACAAGGAGATGGTGTTTTGTTTTTTTGATCCCCACATTATTGCCCCTTCATTCAATAAGAAGGTATACCCCGAGACAGAGGTGTGATCATCGTTATTTGCGAAGCTTGCATCTGAATATCCAATGAATCGGTTTTCGGTCTTTCCCAAGGGTTTAGTTGTTTTATAGGTTATTCCTATATCTTTGGTACCCTTGAGGTACCATAAAACACGTTTTGCAGCAGTCCAGTGAGTTATTCCGGGATTCACTGTATATGATGCTAACCGATATACAGCATATGCAATATCTGGACGTGTTGCCATGGCTGCATACATCAAGGACCCTATGAGGGATGCGTAGTTGTTGCTACGATTTCCTGTTTCAGGTGAGCTGTCTACTAGTTCAAGTTTGATACTTGGATCGAGAGGCATCCCCACTGAATTTGCGTCTGCAAGGCTGTACCTTGCAAGAATTGCCTCAATGTATTTGGTTTGGGAAATATGTAACTCCCCCTTTCCTTGATCCTGATCAATTTCGATACCAACAATTTTGCTTGGATCACCAAGGTCAGTGACTTCAAACATTGTTTGTAACTCATGTTTCAGCTTTTCAATTAGTGCCGTACTGTTCATAAACAGGAGTAGGTCATCAACCCACACAGTAATTATTTCTATTCCATCTCCCGTCTTTCTTATGTATGCGCATGGGTCGCTATACAGTCTATTGAATCCCTTTGCTTCGAGCTGTTTATTTAGCTTGATATTCCACTCACGACCTGATTGTTTAAGGCCATATAATGTTTTTATTAGACGGCATACTCTTGCTGTTCCATCTTTGAATCCTTCTGGTTGTCTCATGTAGAATTCTTCTTTTAGAATACTGTTTAGGTAAGCTCCTTTCACGTCCATTTGCTGTATGTCCCAATCTTCTGATACAGCCAATGCTAGTATTGCGCAGATTGTTTCAAGACATATGATGGGTGAGAATGTGTCATCATAATCCATCCTTGTGAGTACCCTTTTGCTACTAGTCGTGCTTTGTGTTTGACAAGCTCCCCATCTTTATTGTACTTCCGGACTAGAACCCATTTGTTTCCTATGGGTATTCGTTCTTCTGGAGGGTCTACTAACTCCCAGGTTCCCATAGTATTAAGTTGCTCTAGCTTGGTGTTCACAGCCTTCTCCCACTGCGGCCAATCTGGGGATATCATTTCGGCTGCTGATGATGTAACCTCCCCTTTGTCAGGGTCATCAACTAGTTCAGCTAGTTCTAGTGGCAGATCATTTAGCACTCAATAATCGTGCTTTATTTTTGTTCTGGTGCCTCTTCTTGGTTCATCAGGTACATTTTCATCCTGTTCTTGCTTCTGTTTGAGATTAACACTTGATTCACCAGTTTTACTGGTCTGCCTGCCATCAAATTGTCCAGTATCTTCATCAGATTGTGGTGTGTCAATCTCTCCCCACTCCCCCTCACACTGCATATCTGCCGCAATTTTTTCTTGGGGTTTGACTTGTAGGAAGTGATGATTCTGTGATGATTTAACTTGTTTTGTGCACGTGTCGTAATATTTTACAGCTTTCGGCCCATCTAGGAAGCTGACAAATGTATGTTTTTCAGATTTCGCTTCAAATTTTGATATATTCTGACCATCTCTCAATATCCATACAGGTACACCAAATTCCTGTAGGTGAGATACATTTGGTCGTGTTCCTGACCATTTTTCTTCAGGTGTATACTCTTCGAGTGCTCGTGTATGCGCTCGATTGCGTAAATATGCTGCATGAGTCACCGCTTTGGGCCATAGGAACTTAGGTAAGTCATGAGCTATTAGCATTGCTCATGCTAATTTGATTAATGTTCTATTGAAGTGTTCTGCCACCCCATTTTGTGAGGGCGAATATGGTGCAGTTGTTTCCAACTCTATCCCTTTTTGCTGACACCAGTCTTTTAGTGCATTATTTATATATTCTGTACCGTTATCGGTGCAAATATGTTTGGGGAGTTTTTCCCAGTGCCACTCAACATAGGATAGGTAATCTTTCACCTTTTCAGTAGTTTTGTCCTTCGTTTTCATATATTTGACGACACACCTTCTTGTGCAGTCATCGACAAAACTAATATAATATCTTGCACCTGTTATAGCTGTTGTTCGAGCTGGTCCCCAAACATCTGTGTGTGTTTGTTCACCTGGTACTCGAGCTCTATTTTCAGCTTGATTTGGGAATGGGTTTTGAGAGTGTTTGACTTCGATGCACGCCTCACACTCTGGAATAGGTGAACTTTGATCTACGTCAAAGCCATCTACTAACTGTTTTTTCGCTAGTTGTTGTAATCCTGTGACGCCGATATGTCCATAGCATTTATGCCACTCTTCCCAAGTAAGCGAGTCATTTGCTTTATTTGTTGACTCAATTTGGGGCTGAATGGTCTTGGCGTCTAGGATATATAATCTATTTATACGGCGTCTGGTTGCTATAGTCCATCAATTCTGATCAAGCAATGTGACTTGTCCATTGTCAAATTGGGCTCTTCCCCCTTGCTCGTCAAGCCAACTGATTGATATGAGATTATTTACTGCTGTTGGTACATGCAGTACATCTCTTAATTGTACCTTCTTAGTTTGTCCTTGACTTGTGTTTGTATTTTTACTGATCCATGGCCTAGTGCTTTGATTGGCACATTTACGATTCCAATTATGGTCCCGTCGCTTATTGGACGGTACTCTTCAAACACAGATCATTGGCTCACAATGTGGGAAGTAGTGGCTGTATCAGCCACCCACGAGTAAAAGGAAACACGCTCATTGGCATCTTCATTCATAGATACATTCTTGGTTACAAAAGCCTCATCTTCATTCATAGGCTCGTCTTCCTGCAGATCTCTCGCAATATTGGCACATTCTTTCTGCTGATGTGGCTTTTGGGATGATGATCCTGCTTTTCCCCAGCAGTCTTTGGTCTCGTGTCCAAACCTTCTGCAAGACATACACTTCGGCTTGCCCTTGAACTGGCAATCATCTGTGGTGTGATTATTATGTCCACACACATTACACTTTGCTTGGCTCTTAGGCATCTCCACATGCTTTTCAATCTTCCTTTTCTTTCCACTCCTCTCAGCCTTGGCATAGAACCCCTTTTCTTGGGTGTCCTCACCTTTACAATGTTTATACTTGTCGATGATGATGGAGATTAACTCCTGGGAAGTATATCCCTTTATTTTATTGGATTCGACTTTTTCGGCATGTGCCCCTAAATAGGATGCAGTCCAAGTTCCCCACGATTTTGGTAACAACATTATGAGAATGGCTTTGAACTCTGCGTCTGGTATCTTGCACCCCATGGTGTCGAGTTGGTTACGCTTATTCACCATCTCAGTAATGTGCTCCGTAATATTGCAGCCTTCTTTGGCTTGCATAGCATAAAAGGTGTGTTTCGCCATTAACGCACTCAACTGACTCCTCATCTCATGGATTGTCTTTATATTCTCCCATGCCTCCTTTATGGTCTTCACACGTGACACATGGACCACTTTATCATCCTTGATATTGTTCAAGATGAGTGTCCGCACCACATAGTCCTGTTTATCCCAGTATGCGATCTCATCCTCATCTGCCATGGGCCTTTTACAGGTCCCATTGATGTGCCCATGGACTCCATGAAGATTGAGGATAGTTTCAATCCTTTCCTTCCATGTGATCCAATTTATGTCATTTAGGGCCTTGATTTGTACGACGTGACAGGTCCGAGGTTAATAGCAGGATGCGAAGAGGCATGAGCATCAACATCCATGCTTGGGTTTGGGTTGTTAGGATCAGTCATTTTAGATAGGAGTATTTGTGCAGTGTGTTTTGATTATTTTTGATTTCTGAGGCTCGATATGCGATACAACAGGGCTCGTAACCTTTTGAGATCACGATAGATACAATATTGATTGTTTGACAAGCAAGAATGAAAATATTAGACTTAGAGGCACACGATGGTGGGCACTAAGATTGCTCATTTTATTCGGATATGTTCGTGCAGGTTATATATACTTTGTATTACCGCCAGGTTATGTAATCTCCGATATGGCTGACATGTCCTAGGTTTGTTCAACCTTGACAAAAAGCGATCTATTGTATTATCATCAGTGAACCAATGAACATATTAAAATGTCATAGTATACTATATATTCATAACAATCACGCCAATCCCCATAAATGTGGCAGTGGGGTTTGCATATAATTATTTGACCTTACTTGGGAACGATGCATTTTCATGGCATCCAAGCAAGTTCTCCTGTGCTTGATGTACCATCTTCTGCTTAGATCATCCTCCAAACAAATATATGAATGCAGGCCAATGAAGTGAAATGCAAGTCTGTAAGCGTCAGAGGGATGCAAAAAGTTGCAACCAAACATTCATGCAAGGTCCTTCTGTCTCGCAACAATCTGTAAATCAACATGCCTGGTGCGAGAGCTGGAATTTTTTATACTAGTCATGAATTGCTGGTGATAATATTGGACCGGATAATGAGAAAAAGCAAGGTTCACTTTTGACAACATGTTCACTTAGTAAGATACAGGGCACTTCACTCCTAAGCAGTAGGCACTTGCCTAGGCGGACTGAGATTTCCATCATATACATCACGCCCAGTCCTGCAACTGGTTCAGAACATATCCATCATTGAAGTATTGCGTCAATGATGCATTTGCGATGCTGCTCACAAGATTATGGCCCCCATACGATACCAGAGGTTTTAAATAATGTTGCTTGTGACAACCAAATGTCACAATCACAAGGTGGGTGATTATTTGTAACCTGGTTGATCTAGACTGCGTATTGGACGGGAAATTGCCAGCCTGCCACATCTAGCCAGATATTACAGTGTTGCTCAGCCATCTACTTAGCATTATAAAAGTCAATTATCCTTCATGTAGGAAGGAATCTGGACACTCTACCTCAAGGCGTTCAATGAGTGGGTGGAGGAACTGCAGTAGGTGTTTGCACATCAAAATACATACCAGATGATAGGACATTTGCCACCGAAAGTACATACTATGCGCAAGCCTGATGCTGGTACTTACTTTGGATAAAACATACAATATCAGCCTATTTCAAAAATAGGGCAAGTACTAAGCCCAAAGCCCTAAAGTACCAAATTCATGCCTGTTCTAAACATGACCAGAAAGTTCTTCTGCCAGTAAGCCTGGCAGAAATCCATATGAAGCCACATGGTTCTGGGATTGCGTTTGCAGAGCAAGTTGCTTGGTACTGATCAGCCTTGGCGAATAAAAATAATGGCAGCAACAATCATTCCTTTGTCCCACTGGTACACTGGATACATCAAATTGAGTGTGGCAGAATGGTTTACTGCTTGGAGACTGAACACTATGATGATACAATTACATGATCTGCTCAGGTGTAATTGGATATACCAATATCTGCATGAGTTCTGTCACCTACTAAAACCGCCTCTCATGTGTAGTATTTTCAACTGATAGTCTTTGGTTGGAGACTGCAGATGACCTCTCCCACCAGGGGCATTCTACATGGGCAACTTTCTGCCATATGAAGACAACATAATGTTGGTTGTAGCAGTCATGAATACAATGTTTACATACAAAACATCTCTTTGAATTGGTAGAATTGAATGGCATGACAAATCTTGCAGTAGATTACATGTTAAGGAGTATGTACTATGATCTCTGAAAATCATTCCTTCCAATGCACGATCTCAAAACATAATAATGAATGTGGCATTTATGATTGCATTAAAAACATGTATTGTAATACATTGGATAGATAAAACTAGGATCAGGTTAATCTGAGTCAAAAGCAGCATCCTCTAGCCTCTTTCTCTGCTTGGCTAGTGCTGTAACAGACATCTTGGATACAACTTCCGTGTTAGATCCTCTCGATGATTTTTTCCAAAAATCTTCCTAAACAACAATGTTAGATATGATACATAGCGGACCTCAATACTCAATACCTGGTCCACCATTCGAGCAGTTTGGTCACCCTACATCGCGCCACAGGTCCTGGGACATCCTCGAAGAAATCAACGATATTGATCCAAAATGCTTGATAATCGAAGTCACCATCAACAGTGTGCCAAGACAAGACACTGGATAGTGCAAAATGAACTTGGATGATTGTAAGCTAAACATCAATGGTGAATAATCATATGTATTCACTTGACAGACCACATAAGCAATGGAGTGAGGGGTAACTTTCTTCATGTTGATGATCAAGGCCACACATGTTTTAACCTTGAACTGGTTTAATGTGCGCTGGGCGCGCCAGTTATTCTTGAGGATGTTGGCTCCATCACCATCACCATCAACTTCTCTTGCAGAAGATGGAGACGTAAATATGGCTTTGAAAGCCTGGCGCCACAACAGGTTTGAGTAATGTTCCCATGACTAGTATGACTCCATCATGATGTACTGACCTGAACAAGGATCTTCAACATAAAAAGACCCCATTCCAGGTTGCTGTTGTCGAGAGAGTAGCTCTCATACTGTTAAGGTCATGCTCAAGGGGAAGACAACTCAAAGGGCTTCAGCTTCAGCTCATGCGCTGTGCCCCTTACCCGAGTACATGCCCTTAATTTCTGAGGGGCAGAGGGGAAGTCTGATAGAAGTCTGGGGAAGTCTGGAGGTCAGACGTGGGGGGAGTTCAGTGGAACTCCGCAAGACTATGAGAGAACAGGGTAAGGCTACTATGGACAAGTCTGGAGTAGAAGCAGAACAGAGTTTAGACTACCCTAAGGTAGAGCTGGAGATTTAGTCCTAAGGTTTAACCCTAAGACTTGGAGGTAGACAAGAGATGGGACTCAAGTCTGGAGAAGCAGGAATGAGCAGAACTAAGATGATATTTGAACTAAGGAGTTCTGGAGTATTACAGGAGTTTATATACTGTAGGTATCATGTGAGTAAATCAGTCAGCAAAGTAAGGGCTATGTACGAAGCATGTGGAAAGTCTATTAGTAAGTGTATAACAGATCAAAGCAGTGAGGTTGGAAATGAAGTACGAACAGATGGATCAGTAAGCATAGCAGAAAGGATATAACCAGTAGCCAGAGCAATAGCTATTCTAAAAGGAGCTAGGGGTGAGTACGGAGATGAAGGCGGAGCACTGGGTGGAATAACAGGGCGGAGAACCGGACTTTGAGTGGGGGAGATCTGGAACTGCGGATCTGGAGGTATAGGATATGACACATACACAAACAATGGCCAAGAGTTTTCTGATACGATGAAATCTGATGTTCTATTATGGATGCCAGCCTTCACACTGCCTAGGCTTCAGTGTCATGTAGTAGCTCCATGAAGGTAATGGCTTACCAGTCATCACTCCAGTCCCACTCAGCAGGGCAGAGCAACTTCCCACAAACATCATGTGCAAAGCCATGCAAGTGCTTGTCATTGGACCTAAGTAGAGAGGACGGATGAAAATCCTGATTAATCCAAGCGGCAATGAGGTCCTTGAGAGTGGAAGTATCGTCACCACAGGCTGCATTGGCTCCTCTTTTGATCTATAAAATTATGAGTATGCAGCAAAAGTATAAGTATTGAGAGCACAAACCTTTTTCAACATATCTTTGGATTCATCAGCATCAAATTCTGCAAGCTTAGAATGTAGCCATGGCAGAGCCTGTGCAAGCGCAAGGTAGCCATGCTGCAGGTGATCTTGTCTGAATAATAAAATTAAATGTGTCATGAAAAAAAAAGACCTACTTTGTGGTGGTGCCTTGCACCATGCTGTCCACCAAGCCTTCCTCGTACCTGTGATCGTTCTCAGCGATCAAATCTTCCAAGCTAGTATAAAGGACGGCCATTCGGTGAACCACCCTGCCTTGAGCGACATAGTAGGTCATCTTTCTGTGAGCATCTATGAGAAAGAGGCAGTGAGGAAAATGGTATGTGATGAACCTCTGCTTTGTTCCTCTTTCTTGCTTCATCATCTGTAATTCATCTTCCAATGCGGCGATGTGGCATTTGGCCCTGGCCTCTGTGGAGGTAGGTACTGCTCCAGAGAGGTCTGGAAGTGGGAGGGCATGTGTCCCATTTCCAGGCTAAGTCGCGGGACTGAGACTTATTGAGAAAAGTAGTGTTAATGAGTGAGTAGAGGCAGTGCTGGCAATTGCACAGGTACAGAGCATTGCCAGGGCCCAAAGAAGGTCCAACAGAGTCAGATAGTAAAACACTATTCCTTATAAATGACTAGAAATTATACTTGGTGAGTGGTGATTGAGGTCTTGACCCACTCTGCTGACGCGTACCTCATTTACCTTGAGATCTGGGAGTTGCATTATTAAAGTTAGGAATGGAGCAGGGTTGCAGAGTAATAAGGCTATGAGTTTCGGTGTCAGTGGTGAACAACAAAAACGAATGGAGAACCGAACTGCTTAGCTTTGTTCAGAGGGGAATTCAGTTCTCTAGTACTAGTGGAAGTTTGGTTAGAACTGCCAGTAAGGTCTGACAAAGATAATACTCTGGATCATCATCTTGACTTACAAAAGCATGGAGCAACCACAAGTGGCGAGTTGCAAGTCCAGGTCTGAAGAACTGTATATTGCAATGCAGCATCGAGAGGAAATTCTCAAAAGAATTTCTGTAGCGGAGCATTGTGGCATGGGAGTAACTTAGTCCTGACCTCATGGCATGATTTATATGCCCTTATCTTCCAACCCCTCTGCACAGTGGAATGGACACCATCATCATGAAAGCTAATATCGACCTCGAGGCTCCTGGAGCCAGCCCAGTGGATGGTAGCTCGTGGAGCTCAACTCCAGAAAGTCATGAGGCCTGCACTGGATATCATTCGCATGGACAAGGGGCCCCTGTGTATTCCTACGGATGTTATAATTTTGGGAAGGTCAGAAGGTTGGCGTGCACCAAACCTTCTACCCAAGACCCAGAGCAGACCTGTCAGCTTGCACATAACTTGGACACTGAACAATACAAACCACTGGAGCTGGTATGCAATCTGTAGAGTATAACCATTTGTTATTCTAACTGCCCTAATTCCAGGAATCAAAAGTTAGAAATGGCGACGAGAAAGGGGTTGATAAGTTGCTGTCCAATCCAAACTTGAAGAGAAAGGCATCTGACTCCAGTGATGTATGTGGACCTAGTTAGTTTTCTCAACATTAGTGCAACGTGCTCATGGCTGCAAAGACTGCATGAAACTTTGGCCAAGATATGACCAATGCAGGAGAGACATCAATGCCAGCAGTTGAAGCTCCATGGAAGCACAGGAAGCTAGAGAGAGAGAGTTCCAATCTGTAGCTAAGGTTGAGCTGGAAGTTGCTGCAATTCTTGAAGCTGTTCACAGGATGGAGGCAGCTGTTGAAAGACAAAGCAGAATTCTTGTGGAGGTCTGTAACACAATTGAAAACAACGGGATGTAAATGCAGCCTTGTACTGGATCTATATCAAGCGCGCCACAATGTAATAGTAGCCAGTTAGTAGCTGTTATATGCATCAACAAAAGTGTCCCTGGCGTGTAAGGCCTGTTGCTGCCTTGTATGCCTTACAAACCCCGAACAGAATTGTAGAGGGTATGCAAGGGCTTGTATTGCATATGCAAGTACTAACAGAGATTTATGGAATGTAAAGTTTGTACATGAATTGCGTTAAATGTAAAGGTCGTATGTGAAATGTGACAAATGTAAAGCTGGTACATGAAATGTGCGAAGATTGTAGCATGTGTGCAAGCAGTAGCAGAAATTTGTCAAAAACAGGTAATGCAGGTGGGATAGGAACAGTCAGTGGTCGGGGACTGTGCTTCTTGGGAGCATCAAGCATCATCTCAATGCTATCCTGGCTCTTGATGGTAACCTTGGATGTAGAGCATGCATCCGCCAGGAACAAAGTCATAAGTATTTGCATTAAGGTGAGGTGTGTTGGCAGTGGGGAAGATGCGGAGGGAGGTGGTTGAGGTGTATGAGGGGGGTGTGGGATAGCATGTGCCACAGCGGGTGTGCCAGGTAATTGGGGGGCTGTGGGACAAGGTGACGTGGGAAGAGGTCCAGGTTGATGGGGAGGAAAGACATGAGGGATGCGTTGCAGGTGAGGCTGTTGGCGCATATGTTGGGAGGGCATAGTGTAATATGCCTAAGGAGGTTGTGGTTGATATGGATCCATATACTTGGATCATGTAAAACACAGTCGATAAAGGTATTTAGAAAAATAGAGTACTGACGTAGTATCTGTCCCATGACTTGGGCTGCATGGGCACCTGCGGTGCTATACCTCCAGGATGCACTTGATGTGGGTGTGGAGCCATTCAGGGACTGGCAGGGATAGGTGAGCCGCCGGGACCCCCTGGGCCAGCTCCCTGTCAAGACTGGCCTTGCCGTTGGGCACAGTGCAAGAGAATGCAGAGAAACGTGGAGGGTGCCAGAAGGCTGCTATGGTGGGCGCATGCTATTTGGCACGAACTGCAGATATGAATGCATGCCGAGTTGCGAGGGTTGCTCTGGCTGTTGTGACAAAGTTGATGATGGCTGGTGATGTGGAGGTAAATTAGATGGCCAATTGGAAGGATAGGATGTGTCAGAAGATGACTGGGAAGACGACGACGAGGGATTATGGAAGGGCTTTGCAATGTCTGCTCTAGATGGTTTAGGCATAGATGTGGTTGATGTTGCAGCTGTTGAGGATAGTGCACTGGGGTTGAAGGGTGTTGATGATAGGGAAGGTCATGGAGGCTGCTTTGACGACCTTGTGGCTGAAGCAGAAGCTGAGGTTTTGCCATTTAGGCTATGTGGTTGGAAGATGTACCAGGTAAAGACTTTACGACTTCAGTTTTTACAGCAGGAATGGCAGTTGGTGATGAAGATAATGGGGCCAAAGCATCATCTATTGATCCAAATGCAACAGATGCTAAGAGCAACAGTTAGAACTAGAGATGGTTTTGGAGTAATAATAAAATCAAACCTGGTCGTATGGCTGATCCCGCATTATTTTGAGGGACTGAGATGCCATCTTTTATGGACGCACCCTGGCCTAACTCACTTGGACATCTTGAGTGAGAAGTAGCTATTGGAGATGCAATATGAGTAGGAGTAGGAGATTGCGATTGCGGAAAATGAGCTGCAGATGAATTGCTCTACAGTGGGCCCTTTATGCAAGTTAGCAGCCAAGGGGGCAACATTGGAGTCTTTCCAAATGTAGTGGAAACTTTGGTGATTCTACTATAAATGCAAGAAACACATGTAGAAGAGGCACATCCAAAACCAAAACTCAAGCAGCAATGGTTAGAAGACTGGATTAATGCGGATGCACTGTACTTCAACCAACTACTACTTATTATTCTGGCAGGGCCCCTCCAGCTGTTCTCTTCATCCAGCGGCGCCCCTGGTTCTTTAAGAAGTTAACAGAATGGGCAGGACTAAAGAAAACATTGCCCACGTGGCCAGGCATGATGCCTCCCTTAGTCACTCCACCCTCAGACTCCCAATTGCCAATTGAGTGGTATAAATCACCTGCGCGGAATATAAGAACATCTCCAGGGTGGTATCTAGCCACTGGTCAACTCCAATGTGCAGGAAATGGGGATGGTTATACCTGAGTTTGATTTGGAGGTCAGTTAAGTAGCATTCACCACCGCTATATTGACCCATGCAAAATATGGCCGCAGGCCCAGCATCCAACCCATTGCAGTGGGGAAGGACATTTAGTTTCCAAACAATGGCCCTACCCAGCCAAGGACTTGGGTCAGCCTCCAACCAAATGCCAGCCGCAAAGGCTTTGCAGTAAATCTCAAAATCCTTCGGAAATGCAGCTTTGTACATAGCGCTGATGGACATGGCAAGCTTCCGCATGCGCTGCATGTACCATTCCACTGCCATTGAGATCTGGGCATTTCTAATCATGTCAGAAGGGGGCTTAAAGGGACTCTGGCTGTGCTAGCGCCATCTTTAGAATGAAAGTTGGGATTGGGATGCAAAGAGTCACTTACATCACGGCCTTGGTGGCCCCTCATCTGCCATGAATGCATGAGGTGCAAGACTCCAGTCCATTCCGAGGTGTTATTTTCATCCACATACTCATATTCCAAGCCATCATAAGTAAATTGTAAGTGCCCACCATCATAGGATGGCAACTCTTCTGCTTCTTTCATTTTGCTCCCATCTCGAGAGTACCTCATTAGGAAATCATCCCAATTGTGACGGCCATCATTTGTGCTTTTCAATGGTTGGAGAAAGTGATGCAAAATTTGAGTTGCCCACAGTGCATCCTCAATCAACTCCGGCTGCCAAGCCATTAGATGCACCCCTAGTCAGTGCATCTAAACTTACCTTAAGGCCATCAAAGATTACAGCGGGGCCGCCTTCTTTCTCATCTTGTTGGGCCTTCTCGAGATCAGACACTGAGCGGCCAAGCTGCAATGGCATTTGCTCATGGCCTGCATATTCTGGAGCATGCTGTTCTTGCATCAGCCACAGTCAATGTGATGCCAAAAACGCGAGCGCACCTTGCACTCTTGCTCTTTCAACTCAGGCGAAAGCAGCACATTGTGAGTCACAATGTGGATGGAGAAGTATGCCGCCATCAGTGTGCCATCTGTATCACAAAACTTGGCAGAAAAGGCATTAGCTTCCCACTTCTTCATTCTATCCATGACCTCCTACGCCTGGTTCTTGTGAGCCTTGCAGGGCTTCTTTCCGGCAGCAAGTTGTGATAGGCAAACTCCGGGAATGCGGAAGGCGTGAAGCGTGACCAGTACTTTGCCCCAGTTTGGGCATTCTGCTTAAAGCCCTTCTCTTCTTGGTTGATGGGTAATGAGGTTTCGAATACACGTGTTGCATTTTCCAGCTGTGGAAGCGGGACAGAAGCCCCAGCCAGAACTGCACTCTTTTTGGACCCTTTGAGGTTTGCGGCTGAGGTCGCCACAAGCTTGGCATCCATGATGACTTCATCAGTTTTGGCCTTCTGGATGCTTGAAGAATCAGAGCGTGCTCGGTGATATACAAGGCACGCTTACCTTCTTAGCGCAAGAACGCATACTTGGAGCGCAATGAGAGTGTTTGGGCATGTTGAGGCAAGCAGTTGGAGAAAGCAATAGGGCAGGGGGGTTATCACCTCAGAATGCGCGAAGCTAGGATGTGCAGAATCCCCAGCTGATGTCTGGCCAGCTTTGAGTGCTGCCTCTGCAAGGAGTTGCCATGTCTTGGCTGTTAACTGTACATAGGGTTAGAATAGATTGTTAAAAGAAGAGTAGGTAGACATACAAATGTTGGCAACACATTGCTCTTCTTCAAATGCTAGCCAGTCCCTCTGTACTTGAGTCAGGGTTGCTCTAGTAGTCTTTGATGATCCTGTCTCGAGAACACGGGTCTCATGCACCCACATTATTGTAGAGAGGTGTTTCCATTTGCCAGTATTCATTGTCAAACACCTGCTATAGTGAGGGTTGAGAGGAAGGGACTGTGGGAACACTCACCTTGCACATCATGACCTATTGTTTGATGATAGCAGCAAGTAACAGAGTCATGGTTGAAGATGTGTAAGAGATTAGTCAGTAATATTTCATGATAGATGTTGTATATCATACATTACCACTGGTTTGAGGGTGCCATGACAATGGGAAAACAAGAGAGAACCATTAGAAAGAAGTCCAGAAAGAATCCACCAAGAAATGGGCAAGAACAAGGCATATGTTGAGCCTGTCATTGAGGACAATGAGCAGCTAAGTGGGTGATAAGTGGAAGCAGTGACAGCGGTGGGAAACAGTTGATGCTAACACTATTCAGGATTAGGCAGTGGTGACTCATTGTGGCCAAACAGCCATGACCACATTAAGTAAGACAAGGAGGATACTGAAGAGCTAAGGTACTGCTGGTTTACTGGTTTATTTCCTGGTACAGTATAACATAGCTACATGCTGCTAGTTGGTAACGGGATCAGGTACCTGACATAATTACTTATTAGTAAGATAGATAGTGCCACCCAGGTGCGAGCTCTTGAGCAAGCTCAATCAATGACCAAAAGTGGAACAAGGAAGGCAAGTAGCTTCTTATTGTTCTTCAAGCACAACCACAAGATAAAACTCTTGGCATTGCCCCAATCCAACTAGCAAATCACATTATCTTACCTCCACTCTGTTTAGGCTAGATGAGTCTACATTTCAGACCTAATTTAAGGTGAAGGCATTGTCAGATACTTGGAGATATGTAGAGTGGCAATGCTCACTGTGGGTCAATTGATGACAACTAAAGCATTCTAACGCTATTGAATGGGCCGAATACTATGCAACCAGCTGGAATGTAAGCTGCTGCACCAATGAATTACAAAAGGAGCTTCTATACTCTTATGTGCATAATTCATCTAGTCAGCAGTGTCCTTCAAGACAAAAATGTAATGGTTGCAATGAAGAGGCAATGCACCACACATCAGCAAATCACTTTGCCTCTGTGGGCTCCATACAGCTCTGTACAGAAGGGACCAAGCTGTGGCCAGCCATTTTTTTGTGGTGGGAAAAAAGTGTTTTGCTGATGCACAAGGTAGCTGCTGTGGTCTTGATACCACAGGCATAGTTCAGCATCACAGCTCCTCGTGGTGCAGGTTAGCTAGCCCAGTATGGAGTACCTCCAACCGCCAGGGTGAATGCTGGTGCAGACATTTCACACTGTAGCATAGCAGAAATTATTATGTTTCAGCATTACCGCCATGAACACATATATCCACAAGGATGCCAAACTAGCAATTTCTCAGGTGGATACCGGCCACACAAAACAAACAAATAACAACTCTAGTCTCTTCGAACAGAGTATGTGGTGCCCTGTTCCAACTCGGAGCCTCATTCAGTTTCAATATTTGGTAACATTCAAGTCCAAACATCCGGAGCCTGAAACCCCCCCAACACCATGCATTACCCAATGCATCTTTAATGCATCCCACCACCGCATTTTTTAGACTGTGGGAAATTTATTACTACACCCAAAATATAGCTACTTCTGGTCATCTCCTGGATCTCAACATTTCCCACACTCCTCCCCAGCACATTCCTGCCCACCACCATACCATATCCACCTATTTACTGTAGAGAAGTATCAGTGTATGCTATGTACATACAATAGGTCACAATAGAACACTTTTTTGTCTGTTTTTGTCCAGACCCCACAAACTGTGTCGGAGAAAGGCACCAATTTTTTTTTCATGTATTATCATCTTTATTGTCCTAATTAAATGTCTTTGTTGTCTTACTTGTCAAGCTTGTGGTCTTTGTGCACAGCGTCCTCTGCCTTTTTCTCCAATCTTAGTGCCCATGAATGCTGCCATCTCTCTGCATCCTACCTATAACCCTTGACACCAATCCTGCTCCTGCTCCTTCCTGCAGCCCAGCTATGCCGTCACTGCCGGTTGATTTTTTGGAACAGCACATCAAGACTGGGTGGCACTTCCGTGTCAAGATCCAATGCCAGATCACCATCATGCTCATAGTTGACATTTATTGTCTCTTCCCTTCAATCCTTGTCTGTGCCCACCAGTTACCACTACCTGGCATCTTTGCATTCTGTCTTCAGTGATTTCCACTTTTTTTCGTCCTCTCGTACCTTGCAGCTCCACCTGGTACATACTACCCTACTATGTATCAGTGCCTACATACATGTTCCTGTCATTGATAGTCATAATTTGAATATTGCAGCAAACCAAAGACACGGGGATTTAAGTTGGTTTATGATTAAAATTTGTGGTATGTAAAGAACAAAACACTGTCAAGGATATGCTACACTGCACACCCAAGTTCTGTATGGGAGATGGGGACACGAGGATGCTTGAAGAAGCCAAAAAGTGATACATGGAGATTCGAGAAGTGGTGGTTTTTGTTTGTGGCGTCAGAACTGGTAGTACCATGGAAGTTGAAGTCAGGGATGTCAATGTTGAGTATTGGAGTAGCTTGCTGATGTGATGCAGGAGTGGCACAAACACAGGAGAACAGGGCAGAACAGGTATGTGCAAGGGCGGCGACCTTCAACTTAAGAATGACCAGGAAATGGGTTTACCGAGCAGTGGTTGAGGTCTTTGCCACTGATGTAATTGATGCATTCGGGGACTTGTGTTTCCCACTCTGTTGGGAGCCTAAGTATTTCGGAATGGTAACAGGTCACCATATACTCTCAGATATGCACATCAAGATAGTCTGGCACAACATACTCCGATGAGGCTAAAGTGAGCAAGTCTAAGCTGTGCTTGCCTGGTAGCGAAGGATGCAGAGACTTGAACAGAGAAGTCCTGATATACATCAGTAAATTCTCACATTCCTTAATCAGCTTTTCTGGCACTTGCCATTAATTAATTTCCCACAAGAAGCAGATAAGTCCCTGGCAAGGACATGAAAAACCACTTGCCACAAGCCGCCACAAGTTCAACAAGTAGATCCCTCCTCTTGTTTTGCACTTTTTCGTTCTTGTCACAGACTTATTTTACACTTATTTTACACTTACTATTCAACAGAGTTATTTACAAGGGCTGGCAAGTACTTGACAAGCATGGCACTTATTTTCACTTGCTTTTACTTGTGCTCACTTAATTCATAAAAAAAACAGTGGCAAATACTGCATTTCAAACTTGGCAAGCGGACAAGTTGATATAATGTAACAATCAAGTGCTGGTAAGTGACAGGAAAAGTGGGATAGCGATGGTTCAGCTTGAAAATGTGTGAAATTAGTGCTGCTACTACTGCTATTAGATGATGAGAGATGGACAACAAGAGACGGACAACTTGAATGAGAGACTGATGACGAGAGAACAAGAGACGGATGGCGAAAGACAAAAGACAAAAGACGGACAATGAGAGAATGAGAGATGGATGACGAAAGACGGACAATGAGAGAACGAGAGATGGATGATGAAAGACGGACAATGAGAGAATGAGAGATGGATGATGAAAGACGGACAATGAGAGAATGAGAGATGGATGATGAAAGACGGACAATGAGAGAATGAGAGATGGATGATGAAAGACGGACAATGAGAGAATGAGAGATGGATGATGAAAGACGGACAATGAGAGAACGAGAGATGGATGATGAAAGACAGACAATGAGAGAACGAGAGATAGATGACGAAAGACGGGCGACGAGAGATGGACGACAAAGAGCAACAGAAAAATGAGTGAATGTCCTAATATCACAACACAAAATCATAATAGTCAGTTGCAAAACAAGTAACATAAAAAAGAACTGCACTGACTAGCAGATGAGGGCGTGCTCATCCTCTGATTCCTCGTCCAGATCCCTTCGCACACGGCTGGACATCCTCTTCTGAATCCGAAAGCATGATGAAGTCATCAGCATTGTTGTTTCCAATGACATCAAGCTCCTCAGCCATCAGAATTGCAGCGTGTTGTGCCGTTGTGGGTTTCGGTTGCTACTGCATTATCAGCACGACTGCGGCCGATTCAAGTGCGTTCGACCCTATAGGGGAAGCAGTGCAATGCAAACCACCAACAACAAGTTGTATTGTCCAACCTAATAGTTGATGCCAATGCCAATGCCAACTTGGCTGATTGAAGTTGAGCAAAGAGAGAGTGAAGTGGAGCGGTCCTGAGTGATAAATGAGTGAAATAGAGAAGGTGTGTGTGTAGTACGATGAGCGAACGTCTAAGAGAGTCAGCCGACGACTCAATGAGAAATCACACAAGAAATCGTTCCAAGTGAGAATTTGCTAGAGAAACTACTAAGAACATGGGCGGAATATATAGTAAATGAGACTAAGCGATGAAAGGGAACTTCGGGTCGCTTAAGATGCCTCATGGATCGCTAAATACTCGTTTCTCTGCGTCCATGTAATAAGGTGTGAGGTGGGGCGATAAAAGGCCGATAAGCGGTCCGATTATGCGAATGGGGATGGAAAGCGATGAAAGTAAGCGATATACGTACCAGTAGGCGACAGGCCAATGACATGAGATGATGGATAGTGACCAATTGCATGTGCAGACAATGTCCGACTTGGATCAAGTGCAACCGACTGGGCCAATCATCGGCTGACGTTGATGTGGAGTGGCAGCACGGGAAAGTGGGTCGGAGAGGATTGGAAAGATAGGGGATACTAGCTCAGTAGTGATCGGCTTCCTACACCATATTCTGTGGCTCCTCCTTGTCGTCGAGATTGATGGGGGTGATCTTGATGTTTGTACCCTGAGGCATTGGTGAATGTGTGAAATAAATTTACAAATAATTGAACTCACCGCGAAAGCCTTGACTTGTGCCCCACTAGAAAAGCCGTACTCGTTCGATTCATCATCGTCCTCCTCGTCTTCATATAGGTGCGAGTGTTGAATTATTGCGCCATCGTCAGGATCGGGAGTACCTTGAGGAGTGAGTGGGGGTGCACTATTATAGCTAACAGTGCTCCCCTTGGTAAGCCTAGAGGAGGGGGCGGAATTAGAAGTGATAGACCGCTGGACAGAAGATGCAGTAGAAGGTGCGGCCTTAGAAGTGGGAAGATTTGACCTCCAATCTGGAATACGCCCAGCGAGGTTGAACTTTCTGGCGGGTGTTTGGCTAGTAGTATCGATATCATTTATTGCAAGATTGAAAAAAAAAAAAAAAAGAATTGTTTCAGTCAGATGAAGTTTCATTGTTGTTGAACGTCGTTTAAACAAAAGACTTACGCCTTGGCGACAGACATCTGATGGATATCACCATCACATGCCTTTGTTGATGGATCGATAAGGCTCTCAGCGCCTGCTACCGCTCGAATTGCATCTCTCACTGGGGTCTTCAATGCTTTCTTATTGCTTTTGTCCTTCACAGGTTGTGCATCTAATTCCTCGTCGCTTGCAGGGTTATCAATGTTCGCACCGGCTGCCAACATACCTCCAGACCCGCCACACTTGCCCTTGGCGCCAACAACCTTATCAGCAGCGACCTCTGCACCTGCCTCCCCATTAGCCATACTCAATTCAGAGGTCGCTGAGGGCTTCGCTCCCTTTTTTATGGGGCGAGCGCAGGGACGTTTAGGCTTCGGTGCGTCGACACATGCAGCAGCTTGATCTGTTGCCATCTGTTCCTGGAGAGTTGCTATATGCTGATGCCCTTGCTGTATAGCTTGTTCACTTGCCTCTTCTTCCTCGAGCTTGCGCTGCCAGTCAGCAATTATTTGAGCTTTGCTGCGTCTTTTTGTACGACCTTTGGCCTCAAGCACAATGCGTCCTGGATGTTGGGTTGCATTTTTAGGACGAGTTCCGATACGCTGCGAAGCTGGCTGAGACATTGTATCACTGGAGGGCTTGAGACTGAAGGATATGGAGGCAGTGGTGACGAGTGAGTCTTGTAAAAATTTCTAGCCTAAGCTGACTCTGAATACATTGAACTTTATGTGTCCTAACGTACATTTGACCTTACTACCACAAGATTTCGGGCTACATCTTTCTGGAGCTCTCAATTGAAACACTGGGCGGTGCTTTTTTGGCCCGGCACTAGCGTTTTCCTTACAAGACTGTGATGCTGTTTGCCGAACCTTGTCTGAGGACTTCAAATCAGTGTTTCCCGGTTTTCTTCGACATACACTACATCGATGTTCACCAGTAGTACCTTTCCAGTGAGTTGGCCAACTTTTTGACCTTGACAACAGCAATAATCGGGTGCTCTCGTTAGGTCTAATATCGCTAAACCTTGTTAAGTGCCGAACACCGAACCTGGAATATTGAGCCATAAAGTTCTCATTCCAACAGCCTACTAGCCTGTGCTATGACTAACATCGCCCTCAACCCCTTCCAAATCCCAATTTGCATACTTCTAGTCCCTCCTCGCCCTTCACCGTCTCACCGCCTCGCCTCGTTGCGTCTCCCTCAGGTGTAGTAGACATCAGTGTCTACTATCTGTCGTCGACGATCTCCGAATCCGAATGGGACCAGATGCTATCGATTGCGTCAGCATCTGCACCCACACACATATGAGACGGTCCTTACCATGTTTGCAAGGTTCATATCCGAATGATCAAAGTAAGTGATGTACTAGCTAGTAGATGATATGATATAGTGCTGAAGACACTGTTTACAGGTGAATTGTTCAAATTAGTGAAAATTTCACACGCTCGTCGTTGTCCAGAACAGCGAGCGCAACCTGCCGCATCCCCGCTATTGGACTCGATACAAACAACCCGTTGGACATGACGTGAGTAATAGCATTTGTGCACACGTGTTTTTGACCTTATAAATTTGCAGACTGTTGTACAGAGGTGAGATTAAAGGAAAAGGCAGATCTAGTACTAGTAGTACTATACAATATTGCACTTACTCACTTTTTTGTGCTTGTGTGCCACGTGTTTAAATTGCCAGCTTTTTTGTCCTTGTCTACCTTGTTGGCTTTGGCAAATATTCAGTAGCTTGCGAAGGTCACAGCACAAGTGAGTAATTAAAAACAAGCGAAAATAAGTCTCTATTTTTGTGGCAAGTGCGGTTAAGGAGTTTGTGAATTTACTGATGTAGGTCGGATGCGTCCGAACCGAGCTGTGGATTGTATGGGCCTTCGTACAAGCCAGTTCCCATATCCTCACTGACGTTGTAACAGTACCCAGTTGGGCAAGACTGGATAGCAATTACGATCACTATCTCCTTGACGTTTGTGGGCACGATCTGGGAGTGCACGGGTCTTAATTGTCATGACGCTCTAAAGGATATGCGTTTGAAAGCTTACCGCCATGCCTATTTGCACAGTAAATTTGGTACTGGCAGTGATATTGGAGCCAGGCGCAGGCTGGTTAATGTTGGCAGATTGAGCACATGCAGACGCTACCATGAGAGTGGTAGCAATCAGCGCTTTCATTGGGAAGTACATTGCAACTGTAAGTACGGGTGAGTGACAATGCTTGTGCAGTTTCTGGAGGGATAGTGAATGTGCCAGAGGTGTCAAAATTTACATGTGCCGCGGGGGCGCTACATTTGGTGGTCCTTAGACTACGAGCAGCATCCATAAGTGCTGTATCAACGCCCCATGCAACCGTATAGCACTATAACAGGATGCAAATGCTGCGAGAATGAAGTGCTAGCTTATGGTTAACCTGTGAATCCTTGTCATGTTAGCGATGTACGGTTTTCATACTACTTACCTGCCCGACCCCGGTGTCCGCCATATGCAGCAATGAGGCTGAGTTACTACAGTCCATGTCATGAGCTGATCGAGGAAAGGGGAGGGCATTAGTACATGTCTGGAAAAAAATTGTTATGCAGGTGCTGCCTTGGCAAATTCAACACGAACATAAAAATTCGGTCAGGTACTTACCTCTATGGACTGATCAGAGCTGAATGAGTTTATGCTCCGCAGGCTGGTAAGCCACGCAGTCCCGGCGAACGACAACCGTAACACTATTTGGTTAGGCTCAAGAAAAGATGATTGTACATGCATCGCCCATTTCCGTGCATGCAATGAAGGAGTCCATTGTTCTACCTTAAAAAAATGCGATTCAGACGACGAGCGCTCTGTGTTCGGATTTGAGCATGAGTATGAAGCGATGTTACTTCTGATGGGCCATCGTCGGTGCACGTTCGTAATGGTACCCAGCATGATTAAGTGTCTAAAAACCACCTGAGTGACACCTATTCCCACACTTGTTAGTAACGTACATAGTATAACATATTTGTTACTAACGAGGGGGGCAAACCTACGCTGCAGTACTTCAGTGATAGCTGCAACAATCAGCAGTGACTTCAGGAATATTAAGAGGGCGGGTAAATAACATATATATAATATAAATAACATACATTATATAAATAACATATCAGGCTATTGATTTGTCATCTCCCTGGATATCTCCCTTACAACACTGCCGCTATGCCTTCTGATGGTTCCCACGCCCCTCTCTTTCCATCTCCACATCATCCTTGACGACGTGCTCGCTATCCCACTCATCCCTCTCCCAACTCTAGCCGATCTTTTGGTTTTCGGGATCCTATGGACCATCACTCGCTCTCTCAATGGATGCGATGACGTTCTCATGCCGCTCCTTTTGATTGCTCCAACCTCGTGTTGATCGGTCTTTGCCGGCGCTTGCTTTTACTCTTCATGCGACATGTCCCTTGCTCAGGTTCTACACTACCACCATCATGGTTCCCCCGAGAAAACGGATGTCAACATCGTCGAGAGTTACCATGACTCTTCTCAGTAGTTCCATGGATCTTTGTACTTCCAGATCATCACTCTCTCAAATACGAGAGTCGCGGCTTCGCAGGGAGTGAGAACAGCGCCAGATTCGAGGTATGTCACTTATTCTCATGATGGTCTCTTGCTCACTTTCATCAGATGATTCTAGATGCATGCAGGAGCTGCTCGCTGAAGCCGAGTTGGAGGCTGGGCAAGATTCCTTGGAGACCATGGACTTTGGAGGCGAGATTGTTGATGATAGCATAAATGAGTTCGCTGAGGACGAGCCTGTGGGTGGTCCGCTTTTGTCTGAATTTTTCAAGACATGCTCTCAAGAACGGTAAGCATTTTCCCCCCTCTACATAGGTATCTAACATTTATCTCTAGGGAACCTCCTATACGTGGGCGCATTGATGTGCGGACCCGAACAAAATGTCGCCAGCATGCCAATGCCGCTTGGAAGGAGCAGATGCCCACCCTTGTTGATGGCTACTTGGCATGGAGACATGAAGCGCCAACTGGTGAAGACAATACCATGGCGTCTAACATGTTTCACGTTGATGTTGTTGGAATTTCCGGTAAGGTTTCATTCCTTCAATACATGGCCCTTACTTACACTCAACCACATTCAAAGGTTTTGCACATGCCGTCCCGAACTCGTGCACTTGGGCCAGGTTCGGCTTCGCATGACGAACAATCTCATAGGGAGTAGTACCAGGGGTTGCATGGGAAGGGAGTCGGTTCTTTAGCCAAGTTGTGTAGCTGATCGCTTCCGCCCACAGGTACTTCGGCAGATCCTTGGCAATGAGCATTGCACGGGCATGCTCGACAAGTGTTCGATTGAGGTGTTCTGCAATGCTGTTCTGTTGGGGTGAGTTGTGTACCGTTAATTGGCGCTCGATCCCTTGCTGATGCAAGTACTTGTTGAACTCAGCGCTCAGATACTCTCCCCCTCGATCCGAACGGACTTTTGCTAGGCGGACTCCAGGCAATTGACGTGCTAGCCACGCTTCATAGCCTTTGAAGGCGGTGAGGGCTTCACTCTTGAGTTTCAAGAACTGAAGCTTCGTTTGGCGGCTGTAGTCGTCGGTAAAGCTAATGTAGTACAGGCAACCGCCTAGACTTGTCGTTTGTGCTGGTCCCCACAGATCCGTGTGCACCAATTCGCCGTAGGTGAGTGCACGGTTGCTACTCTCGTCCGGGAAAGGCTTGCGAACTGACTTCGCTTTGACACAAACATTGCAGAATTCGGGTTTAGAGCTACTATCGAGTTCTACCCCTGTGATCAAGCCCTTCTTGACCGCGTCTAGGACGGCAGTCTGGGATACATGACCTAGCATGCGATGGGCCTCATTAACAGTAAGCTTGGTCATTGCAACGTTTGCATGATGCTTCTGACAGCTGGTGACGATGCTATATAGCCCCTTGACCTGAGGGATTTCAGCAATGATGCAACGGGAGGGTCCCTTCAATAGGATCTTGCACATGCAGCCCTCGAATAGGACGGCTAGGCCACCTGCTGTGATGTGATTGGTCGAAATGAGGGTGAAGGCCATGGTGGGTGCATATAGGGCATTCTTAAGCGTTACTGTGGTACATCTATTGCCAAGTGGGAGGTCGATTTCGACGTCTCCTCGACCTATCACACTAAGAGTTGAACCGTCCGCGGTATGGACGTCTTGGGGAGCAATGCTGACGAAGTTGTTAAACTTTGATCGATCTGGGCAGAAGTGCGACATTGCACCCGAGTCCACAATCACTCCTCTCTTCTCAATGGGTAGGCCCAAATCCCTTGCTACACTTGCCAAGTCTGAGGTGACAAAGGTGTATTGGTCCTGCGGCTCGCTTTCTGCCGCTGAATTCGCCACCTGCTTAGGTTGCTTCTCCCCTCTCTTCCTCTGCTGGTTGGGGCCTTGACCCTCTTTTCCCCCTCCAGGCCTCCAACAGTCCATTTTATAGTGACCCTTGCGGTCGCAGTTAAAACAGGTGACATTGGGGTTCGTCTTATTGGTGGAGGAAGGTGAGGCACACCCTTTTCCTCTCATCTCCTTCGCAACGAGGGCAGCACTAGCTCCCTTCTTGCTGGGACGTCGATCGGTGAGTTGCCGATGTTCATACTCTTCGGTTATAATGGTGACTAACTCGTAGGAGGTGACAGGGGTTTTCGTGATCTTTGCAGCTGCAGTGATGGAGGATAGGAGTGGGCGGTATGATTCAGGGAGAGAGCCGAGGATAATGGCATGGAAATCAGTATCGGCAATCACTACACCCATGCCCACAAGTAATTCGCGGAGCCTCATGAGGTCGGCGAAGTGGGATCTAACATCTCCTCCCTCGTTGCACTTGGTCTCCTGCATTCAACGTCATAAGTCTATTTGCACAAGCTCCATCTTGCCCTCATGGATCTGACACATTTCTTCCCAGATCTTGGATGCGTCTTTCAGCTTCTGGACACATAACAGCAGCTGATCAGTGATGGTGCTGAATATTTGCTGTTTTACCAGCAAGTTCTTCTGGTGGTACTCATTGATTCTCTTATCGAGATCATCGTAGTCCGCCTGTGTTGGGGTCGTCCCATCTGGCTTCACAATGGCCTTCGTATCCGGGTGAATCGCGAAGGGTTTAGGTTCACTTGCTTGACCATCGGTATACCGCATCAGACCTCTTGCCCCTATGGCTGTTAACGTCCGTTCCTTGTAGGTTATCCAGTTCGAGCCATCTTCGGCAAGCTTCAGGACGTTAAGCAGGGTTGTGTTGGAGCTGGGGAGCGAAGTATCCATGGTCGAGACAGGGCTCATAACCTGTGGTGAGTTATAACGAGTGGGAGCTGACCGCACGCTAATAAAACAAGTATAATCTCAGTCTCTTGAAAGAAGCTCGGTATAACGAGCTATGTACATAATAAAACAAGTATACTAATGACTCGTTAGTTTAGTTTTCTAATCGATATAACGATACTAATAACTCACATCTCAGTCTCTTGAAAGAAGCTGAGATGCGCTCATGCTACTGCTGGCGTTTATATAGTAAGTTGTATAGAAACGGAATATATCAGAACAGAAAAGGAAAACATATTGTAGGACATGAGCTGATGTCAGTGTGTTGCTCGTCAAAGTCCCTTTTGGCTTGGGCTCGGACTTATCACTCTTTCTCTTCTACTATCTCGGATTGTTCGGTTTTCTTCGTCACTGATCCCTCGGATCGTTCGGACTCTAACAGCACCAGCTGTGCGAGCGGAGGACGGATTCGTGGTGTCCGTGTGTGTAGATGGTGTTTGAGGACATGGCTGGTGGCCAGTGGTATACCTTGGTAGAGATACAGTAGCGTACAGGGGTTATGTGCCTTTATTTTGGGCGGAGCTAACTACTTTCGTTGCCGCGTCAGCGCTGCTTTTACTCACTGTCATGCTATGCTTTCACCAATAGCGCCAACTCTAATCAGATTCAGTGATATCTTTGGGATTCTGAAGATAATACTGCATGCAATTAGCGTTGGCGCGGGTGCTCCATAGTGCTCACTCCCAAAAAATTCTTCGTGGCTTCTGTCCCTTCAGCCCTCGGGTCATCAAGGACGGCTTCATCGAGGTCCTAGATAATGTCCTACAATATGAACTTATCTGGTGCTCGATGATGTTGTACTACTACCCTCCTGCCAATGTTGAAGCAGATGGCGCAGCTGGTTTCTGAAACAGTGAGTATGGCTCAAATGTGGCCCATAGCTGAGATCGATCTACGAGTAGCTTCAAATGATATTTGCCTGAGAAATTGCCAGGTTAAACATTTTCACGAATAAGTTGTGTTCATGGTGATGTGAAACCTAGCAATTTCTGCTACAGTGCCAATTGTCTGCACTAGCTTCTGTGATACATTTCGTCTGCCCAGCACTCCTGGCGATGGCCTGAGCGTGAGTCCTGCACCATTTATAACTTGTGGTATGCTCAATTGCATTGGTCAGAAATGGCTAACGTCGCTGGCTTAGCGACTGATTTATTACTGAGCGATCAGACCGCTGAGGTCAAGCTACGCTGCATAAAGGAAAAAATCACAACAACTACCTTGTGTGGCACGTTTCCCCTTGAATATTCATCATAGACCTGCTCTTTCCACACCCGCCCATCTACCTGCTGCCCTCATAGCACCGACAAGTTAGGGGTCATCTTAAAATTGAAGTCGTTGGTCATTTTTTATCTTCGACATTTTGATGTTTAATACCATCCGTGTCTGAGCGCTGGCAATGAACATCACCAATATGGTGGGCCAAATGCACTATAATTAAATCACGTGCACGCACAATTTTCATGCACACGCATGCAGAACAAAATGCACGCAGACACTTCAACATTTTTCGTGTAACGCAGCAATGTATAATAGTTTGATGTAGAGTCAAATATAAAATAAGTGCTTGGGTAAAAACAGTCTAGAGGATTAGGATATAAAGGAAAAAGTGATCAATGTTCAATATTGTCATTTCCTATCCCAGGGATTGGCCTTTGGTTTGACGAGCATCCTGAATACCGATTGAGATAATGCGAGTCAGGGTACGTTGCCCAGTGCCTGCAGATTCCGTGGATGGCTGGAACCAAGATCCCCAGGCCCATGCGCTGCATGAGTCGAAAAAACTGAGATGGAAGCACTGGCAGTACTCATAGTTGTCGAGGTACTGCTGGACTCGGATGCGGAGGGTACTAGCATATATTCCCTGGGAGTACCAAAGCCAATAGTATGATCAGTGTAGTAATCATTGTAGTATTCGTCCGCTGGTGTGACACTGGCAGGCAGTGTGCTTGATTCTGAGTCATCCAGTGGCATGTTCAAAGTTGGTTTGTCTTCAGCTGGTGGGATCAAACCAACATCTCCCAACATCCCAGGCTCTGATTCCAGTTGTGTCACATCAATTTGTGCCACACTGCTCCTCTTGTCGCCATCCAAATTCTTCAAAGTGGACATTGCTGCAGGAACGTCTAACATGACAGGTGCCACTGAGGTTTGTGTTAAGTTAACACCGCGGAAAAAATAACGGATAAGACTTACATTCTATACCTGTGTCTGCCAGTGTAGTATTTCCCAAATCTGACGCTTCTAATTCCATCTGACGGTCAGAGATGACTTCAAAATAGGTAGTAAGAATGCAAAATAATAAACAGAGAACTTGTCACATACCTCGGCGGCGCTTTCTTTGCGGCCTTTTTGTCCTTTCATGCCCATGGCTATGATCTTCCACCAGTACAACATCGGAATCCAAGTCGGAATCAAGGAAAGTCACAAACAGCTTGGTACCACTGGATCGAGTTCATTTTTAAGATTAGGAGAGGGTGCGAAACCTTTTCCCTTTGGGAGCACCGGCGCCTCATTCTCGGACTCATCCATATCATCGCTTCCAACTGTGTCTATGTCCTCCGCCTCTACAACTTCGCTCATTGAATCATCGAAAGAATCCGGGTCCACTTCGAGCATTGTACCTGGACAATGGTTTACACATATACAACATGCCTGGGTAAGTTTCTATCAGGACTCACCGAAATAAATGAACTGATCAGTCCACTTTCGTCCAGCAGAATGGTGAGTCCTTAAAATGTCACTGCCTGTGAGTCCCTCCTGACTGCTCTTGACCATATTCTTGCCACTTTTGACAATCAAATACCAGCGAAACCCATCTGCACCTGCCAGTGTCGAGTTCGAGTTCTTTCTGTCATCATTGTGGTTCTCAAGGTAATCAAAGAGATGAGGGAAGAGAGTGCGCAGATATCCATCAACGTCGCTTTTTGTCATGCCTGGCGCAAACTGCAGATCATCGCCATCAGGTCCCTTGGATACAGCAAGTTTGAGCCTTCGTAGCTCTTCGATCTTGGCTGTGTCAGGTGCGATCTTTCGTTTCATGCAACCCTTTCTATTCTGACCCAAAATGCTTCATGTCAGTGCCCATTTGCCTCGAGGCAAATAATCAGATACTCACAACTCCAACAGTCACCATCACAATTGATCCAATACCCGTCTTTCGGAGGTTTGCTGCAGCCATCTTCTATACACGAATTCAATCAATGATTGATTAAGAGCAGCATTGATATACTAGAGGGTCTTACTACCTTGATAACATCCTTACTACCACTGGAGTGCACCCCAACCTTCGCTGTGCGATTTGTTGCAGCAGACAGGGCTAGGTCTTGCTTTCGGAACCCTACATTTGTCTCTCGATGGGCAATGTCTTCTGACACACCTGTTTTTGACAACAGGTGAGAATATTTGGACATAATTGAACCAAAGCTAGAAGATGTTGGTGGCTGTTGCGGAATGACTTCCTGTGGATGTGATGTGTCATAATGGCCACAGTTTACACATATTGCAGGCTCGTTGTCCTTTTGATCCTTCCTAAGCTTAGGGCGGAGGCATGGACACTGGGAACCATCATTGGTTTTGCCTCGGCATGTTTGTCCGTCAGCCGGAAGCATAGTGCTAGTGATGGTAAGTGATGAGGTGGTGGTTTTGTGTCAGACGAAATTGATTTTTAACTATTCCCTCAGCCACTTTATTTGGTACGTATTTTCAAAGATATTCAATAACTATCATAATTCTAGCAAGTAATGTAATACTGAAAGACCTTGTGCCCAAACGAGAGCCCGTGGCATCCATATTTCGGGTGGGAGGCCCATTGATAAAGTCTTTGTCTTTCGAAAGCCGACTGATATATCCTCGTGAGTTTCATAAGTATCAATAGCCCACTCCGATGCAGCAAAAAATGTGTTATCAGGCCTCAAACCCACAGACTGCACATCAGCAAGGGCTTGGCAAAATATGGCCTCCGCTTCAGGAGAGGGGAATGGATTTGAATGATCAGGGACCGGGACTGGCTGGTCATGAAGGTTTGATTGCACGTCAGCAGCAATCTCTTCTCGTAAGGGAGTCCAAGAATTGTCAGTGTCTTCTTCCGAGTCATTGATGTGAGACAGTGGTGGACCACTAGTACTGTAGTATCGGGTAAGTATATCAGGGTGTACATTGTGAAGAGGATCAGTGATATAAACACCGTTCTCAACTTCGGAGAGAAAACACATGTCCTGTGAGGTAAGCGATGGAGAGTTAATAGACAAAAATAAATAAAAGATTCCTCTACTTACTAGCGGAGATTGGTGGTTTGTTGTTGGACCAGAGATTGGATGATGATTCCATTCCTCCATAAATATTTCGCAATCTATGTTGATCGGATCAAGGAAAAGAAATTGCAGGAGCCACAAGTGGTGGGGATTCTTGCGATTTAGGCCATGAAGACATTCAAGGCGTGTGAAGAATGCCTTCCATCGTTGGGCAAATTGACGGCCAACCTCCACCCAAAGGCGTTCAATTTGGGTGTTATGTGTCGAGCTATCCAAATCATAAGTATCATGTCCAACTCCCACTGCTAGCTTACTAGTATCACTCACGATCCCCATAAAAACGAGCCTCTGTTTGGACCACGGTGCATCACCATCCAAACAGACACCTCGATGTTTTCACCCCCTCGATCCCCTCTCATCCGAAGAGGGACTCCATATATTTCTATTGTTTGGAGAAAGATGGTGAGGACTGTTGAAGCACGGTTGTTGTTACTTGCTCGAAGAGCTACAATCTAAATTTGAGATCAGCGAATTTATTAAATTGTTGAAAAAGTAACTTTCTGTTCGACAGTAACCGTCAATAAGCCCATCGATGACAATTCCCCAGAGGATAAGCTTGTGATGCCCATCCAAATGCCAGAGGTGGTTGGACCGTGGCACGGCATATTTCCATCATGCAATCACTTTTCGCCGCCGCAACATCTGACCAATAATGTCAACTCTATGCATCGAGCTTCTCATTCAATGCCGCGGAACACGAACACTATGGGCTCTTAGAAAGCCAACTAGGTAATGAAGGCCAGAATCTGGTTTATGTATCTTGAAGGTCTTAACAAGGATATCAAGATCAGCATTGGAGATTGCTGAGAATCGCTGATACACATTATGCTTTTTGAGATAGCACCGAAGAGTATTCTGATGCATGCCCAAAGCAGCCGCCAAGCGTTTGAAGGTAATTTTTCGATGAGGAGAGAGAGCATCTTCAAGCCAGTGACTGTCAATAACTTTGCGAGGACGTCCACGTGTCCGGTGAGGTGGTATCTCTGTACTGACAGGATTGACCTTTGCATATCTAGAATTTGTGCTAGACGAAAAGTTCATTAGATTGCTTTCATGTGACATTGTACTGGGAAGACCATTACAGTACACTTTTTCATAATGCATGGCCCCATAATGCATAATTTTGATAATGCATCACCTTTGGGTGGGTCCCGTTGTGGGACGTGGGCAATATGCATACAAAACGCATAACACATAACGCATAAGCCTCCGGGCTGATTTATGCATTATGAGGAGCCTTGGTAACATCAGGCCATGTTCGGGTCAGCATCAGTCACTGTCAGCACCTATGCTAATGTAGTTTAGACTATATAAAGTGCATAGCGGTGTCAAAATTTGTCTTTGTTCTCCTCTCGCATGCCCAATAAGACCCACAAACCATGGGAGAAGCCAGCTCCCTACAAGCAGCGCTCACAGACAGTCACAAATAATAAAGATGCACCCACTACCTCAGCCAAACCTCATAAGGTCACAACTCGAAAAAATCTCACCTTAAATGACTGGCTCGCTGTCTTCGCATACATTGATACCCATCCCCATCAGTCACAAGCCGAAATTGTTTTACATTGCCTTCAATTTGGTGAACTCGAGCTCTCATTTGATCTCTCAAAACAGCTGTGGGCATTTAGGGCTTGTGTGCGCAGAGAGGAAATTCGCGGAGCAAAGCAGACAACAATAGATTCGTACTTCGGCGGTAAATAGAAAATGATATGTTTTGTACCGCTCTCAGTTGTCACACTCTTGAGGGAGGTCACATGGCATCACAATGTGTCACATATGTCACACAACTTGGTTATGCATAAGGGGTGATAATGCATAGCCTGGGAGGGGTCCCGACATTATGCGTTATGAAAAAGTGTACTGTACTGACATATCTCCAGCAGTATCTGATGCCTGCCTCAGCTCGACTACTGTCATAGCCAGCGCCCGAGCACATTCGTCTGTCCATATAGCATCCTGAATTTCCGAGTCCAATGCTTCGAGCACAGGGAGTGAATCATTCAAAATCTTCTTGGCTATGGTCTGTAGTCGGAGTGGGTCATGGTCCTCCTGTCGAAGAATTCGGGTAGCATGATTGTAAGTATCAGAAACTATTTCATGTGCTTTTCTGATGTCATGAGACCAGTGTCCTTGTGCAGGTAGTTCCGGGAATTGTAGAGGATGGCCTTCAAGTTCTGACATGATGCTATTTGCCCAAGAGAATTTCTGAGGCTGAGTCAATTTACTATGACACATAAATGGTCAGTGGCATTTCAACCATGTGCCCATTTTCGTGTTCCTGAAACTGTTAATGCTAGATTTTTAACCTAGTACTGCTACCTAGACAATGAGTTCTAGGGCTCATGAAGGGATACTATGAAGGTACATGCCACTATGCTGCTTTTGCTTGTCATCTGAGTCGACTGTGCTGACTGCTGGTGGTACCACATCAGGAAAATCACAAGTTGCTTATATCACTTTTTTTGTCACTTAAAACACGAAAAGTGACTGATAAGTTGTTTGAGTGAAAAAGTGCAAGCCACTTAATAAAGCCCACTCAATTTCTGGAGATTCGCTTTTTTCACTCTTTTTTCACTTAAAAAAAGCAAACAAAGTGGCACAAGCCTGTCATTAAAAAGGGAGCACACACATAGAAAGCATAAAAAGTGTATATTAAGTAAACTCTGAGAAATGAAAGGCAGGCAAAAAACAGCAGTGGCATAGATGATGATGGCGATGGATATATACTGCAGGACAGCGGAGATGATGGTACAACAAATTGAAGACAAATCCTGCAGCGATACGTGATGTTAGCGGGATGGAATCTGGGTGAATAAAACTTACAAATCATGGCGCGCTCATCCTTGTCCTCGTCGTCCTCGATGAGTGAGCCCGGTGTTTCGATGACGTCCTGTAAGGCAGTGCGTGCCATCTTGACAGTAGCCTCTACATAGCCAGTGGGCTTGCTAAGAATTGACTTGATGTAGGAATTAGTTGCTTTGGACCAGCGAGCCACTGAAAATAAGAACGGCGCATTGGTCTTCTTCCCCGTAGCCTTGTTGAGAACTTTTGGTAGCTTGATCGTGAATTTTCCTCTCGATGCCGACAGCAGAATATCTTGAACTTTGAGTTCCTTGCGTGCGATCATTCCGAGAGCGCGCTCGAGCTAAAAAAAAAATGAGTTTGATTATGCCGTTTGAAAATAAACCTACCGCTGCAGCAGAAAGTGCAAGAACGCGTGACATCCCGATCATGTCAAGTGCTTGCATGTCGAAGGATGGAATCACTACATGACCGTTGATGGCGTTGAGGTGTGCTCTACCATACAGCTGTAGTATGAATGGCAAATGGTAAGCTGTGAGGGGATTGATATTGTCAGGATCCTCATATAAGAATGCCCAGTTGGCGAGAAGGAAGGATGCGAGTGTGCTGGAATCGCAGTCAGCATTGCATGACAAGAAGTCGATGATTATAACGATGCCCGTTGAACCGAAGTTACTGCGCCATTCCGATATACGCTGAGCAGTCTAGTTAAAGATGACATTAGTTAAAGCTAGATGTAAAAAAACGGACTTACAAGTAGATGTATCACACCACCGTGAACTATAACAAGCTTGAGTTCAGGATAGACCACATCAAAAACAAGCTGGACGTGATGGAGGAGGACGTCGTCCGGAATGCTCCAAATGTCGTCATAACTTCCAGCCCACATCATTATGGTAGGAATGAATTTTTTCGTCCAGCGCTGGTCTGCTTGCATCGCCGGAGGCAAGTCGGATGTGCGATATGCACCGCATGATTTCATGTGCTCTGGTGCAGTATCCACGTTCTGCCTGCGTTTTTTAGCAGGAGCCTGATCACCATGGGCACGCATGGTGCCGGAAAATTCAATCTTGACCTTTTTAGCAGCAGGTGGCTTTTTGTCGTCAGTGGTGGTGGTCGCAGATGTCTGCACAAATGTCAGAATGAACACTATTGAGTTTTTGAGGGTACTTACCGATGTCGTCAAACACTGCTTTTTCTCCTGCTTGACTATGATAGGGTCGGGCTGTGCTGGTTCGCTGTCAAAGTCCTCGATCAAGTCGTCAGAAACTTCCACCACATCATCACGATCGATGTCCATGGACCACTGGGTCTCGGCATCACTGTCTAAGACTGAATCTGCACTCGCTTTCCTCTTCAGGGGCGCTGTGGCCATGTGATCGTAGACCTGCTGCGTGAAGGAGGCCATAAGCTCATCGTCTGAGTCGAATTCAATTTGCAGTATCTGCGTGAAGGGAGCCTTGGGCCCTTCAAAGTCCGAGTCCTCTTCAAAAATTGAGGCTACCTAAGCAAATAGTTAGTGGACTGGACCAATTAATCACACTCAAATACCTTAGATTTCCCCTTATTTTGCTTGCTTTCCAGGCAAGCAGCCTCACGCTCCAAGGAATCATCAATCTCATCTGCAAAGCTACCAGTAAGGACATCATCTTCTGGGATGCCATCAGCAATTTTAGCTGGGGCTGTGGGAATCTGAATCTGAGGCTGAGCAGCCGAAGTTGCCGCAGAGGAAGCAGCATCATCTGAGAAAATTGATGTTGGAGGTGCCCAAGTTGAAGCACTGGATTGGCGGGATGTTGGCTCTGATTTTCCAGGCCTGACTCCTGAGACCCAATTGGTCACTCGCCCACCTAACACGAATTTGTGAGTGGTCGCATTGATGCTAGAAGTGAGATTGAGAAAATAAAGAGTTGATTCAGTGAGGAGCAGCATTGTGATGGTGGGAGAACTTAGTCATACGATGATGGCATGGAGCCTTTCCCATCAACACGTGCCTTATCGATATCGTTGGCATTATCACCTTCCGCATTCAATGATGACTCGCTGATCTTCTTTTGCACGTTACTGATAGCATCTCTGACCAACGTCTTTCCACTCTTCTTTGCAGCCTTCTTCCCTTTGCCCGAGGTTCCATGGTCCACAGCCTCAGCAGCATCCTCTGCCGCATCAGCCTCTGGTGCATCATCTAATGTGCTGTTAGTGTAATTGTCACCACTCTTTACAGCACACTTTCGAGCCTTTGGCTTGGGCCGAACGGGAGTCGCCTTGTTGGTGAGTAATTCCTTTTGTACCTTCTCCATCTCAACCTGCATACTAGCCAGGCACTCAACTCCCTTTTGCACTAGTGCTTCTTTAGCTTCTTTTGCTTCTTTGATGGCAAGATCGTCAGTGGCCTTCTGCGCCTTGGTGCACCTCTTGTTCTGCGCATCAAGCACTATTTTGCCAGGTCGTGCTGTTGCATTTGATGCACGGGTGCGGCGGGAAGCTTCTGTGGTGGACATTGCGACTAGGCAGATGAGGGACGGTACTTTTTCTGGAGCAAGAAGGAAGTGACGGAAGTTGGTTGAAAAAACTCATAAGTCTCACCCCCAACAGGCGCCGCCTGTGGCGCTCGCTCACTAATCGGGATCTGTTGCAACATCTCTGATTTGAACTTACTTTTAGTATTAAACACCCCCAGCGCCTCTCTACCAGCAATCGTTGAGTGCTCACATTGTTGATTTTACAGCTGGGATGTCTCAGCGCACTCGTAGGGACCACAACACACTTCAAATTCCATGCGGCTACTTACACTGTGCTCACTACTTCAAGACTCAGGGAGGGCGCAAAAAACACTGGAATGTTTCCCACCCAACATTCAGACAGGCCGCCGTCTCGCAAGATGAGCCCGAATTACTGGTTGACGATTATCCTGCAGGTGACAACAACCTTCCTGCAGGTGATGATGGGCTTCTGGCGGATTCTTTTGACCTGGGTCAGGCTTTCAACAAGCCCGACAATTCGGTTGACGCAGACACGGGATTTTTCGGGCCAGGTGATAGATTATACCGCAACTATCACCCCGGATTGAACGGTATGTTCGTTAGATTTTTCAAGCATGTTGAAACTAACAAGGATTGACATAAGCACGTCCATGTGATGCAACAGGACACTTCCTTGAAGATGGAGTACCTCCAGCGCCACCTCCAGACAAGTCACCTGATGACTGGACTCCATACCGGGATCATGTCGAGTTCGAGACTGTGGAGTTCCTGTACACACGCAACCAAATGTCCACCGGGGACATCAACATTTTGCTGGATCTTTGGGCCACAACCCTCCTAAAACACAACGACAAGCCACCGTTTGCAGACTGCCGCGACTTGCATAGGACTATCAACAGCACACCACTAGGCAACATCAAATGGCAGTCATTTAAGGTACGGTACACTGGGGAGAAGCCAGCAAATGCTGTACCACCCTGGATGGACCAGTCCCATGATGTGTGGTACCGCGACCCCCACGAGGTGATACGGAACATGCTGGGGAATCCAGACTACGAAAAGGAGATGGATTACCGTCCTTTCCGCGAGTACTCGGCTGACGACGACAAACGACAGTGGCAGGACTTTATGTCTGGTGACTGGGCCTGGACCCACGCAGTATGTTTTCTTTCGTTGTATTCTCTAGTGATACATACTAACAATCCTTGGTAGGATATAATTTGTCAAGATCCAGACACTCTCGGCTCGACGTTCGTGCCAGTTATACTCGGAAGCGACAAAACTACAGTATTGGTAGTGACAGGCGCGAATGATTACTACCCATTGTATGTATCGATTGGCAATGTTCAGAACAGTGTTCGGGGCGCACATCGTGATGCCGTTGCCATTATTGGCTTCCTTGACATGCCAAAAAGTAAGTTTCGTACTCCTACTGTTGTTCTGTGCTAATCACGATCGAGAAGCTACGAAGGAGCACGCCGCTGACGCAAAATATCGAAAATATCGCCGACAATTGTTTCATTTGTCTATTGCCAAGATCCTCGAGAACTTGAGACCGGGAATGACCAAACCAGAGGTCATTCGCTTTGGTGATGGCCACTATCGGCGCGTGTCGGCGCGTGATTTACGGGCTTGGACCGTATATCGCGGATTACGAGGAGCAAGTCCTTTTGGCTTGTATAGTGCGCAGCTGGTGCCCCAGGTGTGTTTTTATATTCTGCCTCAGTACTAACTACTAATGTACTACAGGTGTATGTCCAACCGCAACAATTTAGACGAGAAGTCGTTGTGTCGGTGCCGTGACCACACAGAAGCGCTAATCGAAGAGGTTGCAACCTCCCTCGCTCTGTGGGACGAATATGGGATTGTCAGCGACCTTGTTGTGAGTCCCTCATGCTTCTCTAATGCAGCCGAAGTTCAACCCTTTCTAGCCATTTACCAATGACTTTCCTCGTGCTGATATCTACGAATTGATCGCGCCAGATCTCCTTCACCAGCTGATAAAAGGAACCTTCAAGGATCACTTGGTCGAGTGGGTTGGTAAGTATTTGACGCACGTACATGGTAAGAAAGAGGCAGAGAAAATACAAGATGATATAGACCACAGGTGTGTCAATTTGCGCTGGTTTGATGTTTCAACGCTCACGTCAATCAAAGAATTTCTGTGGTTGCCTCCTTTGCAGGCCTTTGCAGGGTCGAGGCTTCAAGCAATGGACTGGCAATGATTCAAAGGCGCTGATGAAGGTAAGTTTTTATTTCTGTGCACTATTATGACGTCACTACCATCAGACTAACATTGATCTAGGTTTATCTACCCGCCATCGAAGGTCACTTCCCAACCGATGTGGTGCGCACCTTTCGTGCATTTCTCGAATTCTGCTATCTCGTATGGCGTAGCATCATTACAGAATCGACACCACTTCAAATTCAGGACACTCTCGACCGATTCCATCATTACAGGACTATCTTCGAGTCCACTGGCGTTATCTTCACATTCTCCCTCCCTTGCCAACACTCATGCTCCCATTACATCCTCCTTATTCGACTGTTTGGTGCGCCGAACGGCCTTTGCTCGTCAATCACCGAGACGAAGCACATCAAAGCGGTGAAGGAACCATGGAGGCGATCGAGTCACTACAAAGCGCTCGGTCAAATGCTGGTAACAAACCAGCGGCTAGATAAGCTTGCAGCAGCACGCGTGGATTTCAAGAGCCGTGGAATGTTGAATGGCACCTGTCTGTCTGCAATACTTCAGAGATTAAGTGAGTTTGTTTTATTGCGCTGTACATTTTCATTGTGTGCTAAATATTTGTGCTAGAGCATTTGCGCTTGAATAACGACCCTGCAGCCACCAATGAGCCCAACCCAACCAATGATAGTATCTTGGTGCTACCCTCCAACACTGACATTACGGTACTCGGCGACAACGAAGAGGGCGAAATTGATGACAGCCCAACGCTGGTGCAGGCTCACGTTCAGCTGGCAAAAACGATTCATAAGTTAGCTCACACTTTGCATTGAATCCTTTCTAATAGAATCCTCACCATTGCACAGAGCGCAAACGTGCACGCACTGTTCCCAATTTATCCACAGAACTCGCTATTCCCCATCTCTACACCCTCCTCTGCCAATTCTTATTCGAACAAGTGAACCCAGATGACCAGCGTGCTCCCTCCGATATCCCACTCACACAATGTCCTCGATTTGACGGCAAGATTCAATTGTTCAACTCGGCATCTTCGATGTTCTATGCTCCCAGTGACCGCAGCGGGATTGGAGGCATGTGTCAGGAACATATCCGTGCCTGTCCTGTTTGGAGAAACGAGGCACCCCGGTACGACTGCATGTTTGTTAACACAGATGCAGGTGTCGAAGGGATGAGGGGCATGGAGATAGCCTGTGTCATGTGTTTTTTTCATTCACATTTGAAGACACCGTGTACCCATGTGCTGTAGTACACTGGTTCGACAAAACCGGTGATGGGCCTGACGAGGACACAGGGATGTGGGTTGTCGAGCCCTTGTTTGATACTGACAGTTCACCATTTGTTGGAATCATTCACATTGATTCGATCTATCACGCCGCACACCTCGTCCCAATTTATGGAGTGCAGGTCATTTCGCGTGACCTCAAGCACTATGATTCATACGACGCTTTTCAAGTGTTCTACATGAACAAATTTGTGGACCATCACGCATTTGAGATTGCGTCTTAGGAATTTGGTGAGTACAACTGGACTGCCTTGCCTACCATCACTCACAAGCAAGTGATTGCAGGATTCAACGAGCATAACTGGACCCCACCTACCATCACTCACAAACAAGCGATCAAGGAATTCGGTCAGCGTAACTGCCAACTGGACCCCCCCCCACTACCACGGCTCACAAACGAGCAATCGAGGAATTCGGTGAGTGTAACTGGCCCACCTACCATCACTCACAAGCAAACAATTGAGGAATTCGGTGAGTGTAACTGCCGACTGGACCCCCCCACTACCACGGCTCACAAACAAGCGATTGAGGAATTCGGTGAGCATGACTGCCAACTCCCCTCCCCCCCACTACCACGGCTCACAAGCGAGTGATCAAGGAATTCAGTGAGCGTAACTGCCAAACGGACCCCCCCCCCCCCACTACCACGGTTCACAAACAAGCAATCGAGGAATTCGGTGAGCATAACTACCAACTGTACCACCTCACCTACCATCACTCACAAGCCAGCAATCATTTTCACTTGTCAGAACTCATCACCAAATCCCCCCGTTCACTCGATTTTCACTCATCAGAACTCATCACCAAATCCCCCGTTCACTCATTGGAACTCATCACTGAGTCCCCCCGAAAGCAGAATCCAGACCGGCCATGTAATACTTATTTGACTTAGAGCCAGTTCGTCAACGAGATGTTGACAAACATCTGGCAAAATAACATCACGTGTGAAGGTTGTCGGCTTGGGCTGTCCCGAGGGTCGGAACTTGAAATCTGAACCTTGCTTCATGTTTCACCTATACATTTTATCATCATGAATTCGTATCCCTTGGACGATCAACGTCGTAAACAGATCTGCACTTGGGCGGCCACTATTACCGCCATCTGTGCCCATTATACAACTGTTCTCATGGCCCAACCAGTTCAGGCTGCCAACAAGGCACAATGGAATGACCTCGAGATTAACACACTACTCGACTACCTGATCATAAATCGTGCAGAGGGTGGTGATGGAGGAAATTTTCCACAGGAAACTTTCAACAAAGGGGCAGCTTTCCTGAACGCTAATGAAAACCTTGAATCAGTGGGGCCGCTGAAGACTGGGAAGAAGGTGAGGACTAAGTGGACAACAGTAATATGTTATCTTGATCTTAATCTATTACGAACTGATGGTTGTTTTTAGCTCAAAAAAACATTCTCTAGCATTGAGACGTACCGCAACCAATCAGGTTGTCACTGGGACAACAACATGGGAGCATCGATCGAAGGTACAGACGCGGGAGTTGTGTGGAAGGCCTACGTTGATCAGCAGGTAAGCTATCATTATTGTACGTGTCTCATATACAGGGACTGATTACAATAGTGTCATGCTTCGGTGCGTCCCTTCCGGAACAAGGGCTGGGTGTTCTATGACAAGATGTTGGAGATCTTAGGGACGAACAGCGGCGCTTGTGGAAGGCATGCCTTCTACCCTACCTCTGCAGGTCCACCCCCCACCTCGTCAGCCAATGCACTTGAAGCCGAAGAAACAGGGCATATTATTCTAACAGCTGCCAGCATGGGTCCCATTGGGGACGCTGTCAGCACCGCCCCACATGCAAGTGATGACGTCATATTCCCACCTAGCACCATCGTCCATGAACCTCCTCTTTCCACTGTTACTACAACCTCTCAGTCCTCTGGCAACAAGCGCTTGCGCACCGACACTTTTCTATTCAACTCTACTGACTCAACATCTTATGCCTCCACGGCTGCTCCAACTAGTTACTCTGACAGTCCCCAGCTATTGTCCCTCCCGCTTTCCTCAACCCTGGTGTTGTCTGCACAACCAGCCATAAAGAAGGCCCGTGCGTCCAGACACAGTGGTCAGGAACTCATGAGCAGTGCTGCCAGGGCAGCCAAGATCACCCCTGCAGCCACTGTCATGGGTATGCAGGGTGCAATCAACCGCCTGACTGATGTTCTTGAGAAGTCATTGACTACCCCATCCACGTCTTCTGCACCATCACTCAACGCCAGCACAAACACCATGACCTGTGCCTTGGAGATTATGCATATCCAAGATGGACATCTGTCGGTCACAGAGAGAGCGACGTTGATGCAGATCTTCGGCTGTCAGGGAAATGAGAATACTCTTGCTGCTTACATTTCGCTTGATGGGGACTTTGAGACACGTTCTCAATATATCACCTTGCTCATGGCGAAGCCATAGATATCATGTACCGCTCGTGTTGTGTTTAACATGTCTCATACTCGTAACACCATGTAGTTCCTATATCATGTACCGCTCTCATATCATGTCGCTCGTACGCTCGTATCATGCCGCTCGTATCAATGCAATCGATTTCGCGCAAGTGCCAGTTACATGTACTTGATATCGTCTATTCTAGAACCAACCCAATCCATCCTCCTCATCCTCCGATAAAGCCTGGTCTGATAGATCATCGTCCGAACCACCTTCAAGAACACTTCTTTCTTGCAAAACTCGCTGATAATCTAACCACATCTGCTCCACAATGTGATCACGAGATGCATGAACATCTGCATCAGCAGGTTCATGGTCATCTGCTACTGCCAGTTGCTCCCAGTCTCCAGTGCGCACATCACCAAGGTCATTGTCTGCATCAACAGGGATGGGGCCTTCTGTAGGGTCATGGAAACGGATAAAGTTATGTAGGCTGCACAAAGCGGCAGGGATCTGTGCCTGAATCTCCATAGCATATGACGGCGATAGAAGGAGAATGCGGAAGCGCTGTTTCAAGACACCAAAGATGCGTTCGATGACGTTGCGTGCTGACGCATGACGCAAGTTGAATAGTTCTTTTTTGTTAGCTGGTCTGTAGGCAAAAATGAGTATGCTCCAGTGGCTGAAAAAAAAAATCTCACCTTATGCTCGCACAGCCCCATTCCGCGAGGTGGTAGCGGACACCACGATATGGTACAAGTAACTCAGGCCATAGAGGAAAGCCAGCATCTGCGAGAAAGTACTTTCCTGGAGGTATGCGAAGGTCATGAGCACGGGCATCCTCATAGATGCGGGCATCTGTGGCTGACCCTTCCCAGCCAGTAAGCACGTATGTAAAGTTCATCCCGAAGTCACAAGCAAAGAGGCAATTTTGAGATACAGATCCCTTGCGATTACGATAAGGCCCACGTTCAAACGCCCGAGGTGACGCGTGAATATGGCTTCCGTCAATGGCCCCAACGGTATCCTTGAAAAATGGCCAGAACTTGGGGTTCTTGCGAATTTTGCATGGGATAGATGCATCCGGCAAGTGAACATATTTTGAATAGAAGGGGGGGGACGAAAAGATAAAGAGCATCCTGCGAAAATAACTATGTACAATGAGATATAGCGCGCAATTAAAAATATCACCCTCACCGAGATATAGTCTCATTCGAGCGTTGAAATCTTTCACCGGTGTGTCTGATAGGTAAGCCCGTGACTACTGTGTAGAGGAAAATTGCTAGTTGTTCCTCTAGCGAGACGAACTTGGAGTCCGTGTGCCCAAGGGTACAAATCTCTGAGATGAGTTCTGCAAACACATGCACATGTACACCAAGCTCGCATTGTATACGCTCGGGGTGACCAGTTAATAGTTCTATGACCCACGCTTCTCCCGAGAGAGCAGATGTGTGATATGGTTCTGGATCTTTTGGATAGATTGAGTGTAAGATACTAGTTGTAGCGCTAATCAAGATGCTGATCAAAAGGATCGTGTATCGTATGAGACGTTGCTGAACTTTGGGACGATGGGGCATGAATAGTGGGACATCCAATCGAAGGTCGATGGGAGCAGGGACTGCTGGTAGAGCATCCATTGTCAGGAATATACAGTACATACATTGTACTAGTACTGCAACGGCTAGATAGTATGTTCAAGTTCCGACCCTCGGGACGGCCCAAGCCGACAACCTTCGCACGTGATGTTATTTTGCCAGATGTTTGTCAACATCTCGTTGACGAACTGGCTCTTAATAAACTTTTGCCGCTTTTTTGAATCATCGTGACTTGTGAGCTTGAGCGCACGCTGAATTGACTTTTGAGAAAGTCTATTAAGTGTAAAAAGCAACGCTTCGGTTTCATTTCTCAGAAATAAAGTGGCATTAAGTAATATAAGTCCAAAAAAGAAACCGGTGGTTTTCCTGATGCCACAAAAATAGATCAACTGTTCCACAACGCTCGGCAGCTCATTACTACAGTAGTGAATTTGTTGTTCTACAAGTAAGTTCAACATGCCATGGCATCGAACTGCACCCTACTAACTACATGGTGTTGGTTGTTGCTAGGTTCAGTCACAGCTCTATCATATTCCAGCTGACATTCTTGCAAGACGGTCCAATGTCTTTGCAAATCTATTTTCATTGCCTCGCACTGGAATCCGTCAGGATGAGGGCCGTTCGGATGAATCCCCAATCGTACTGGATGGACATTCCAGTGTAGATTTCGATTGTCTTCTCGATCACCTTTTTGGAAGGTGTGTCATTTTCTAGCTTCTACCTTACTACTAATTCCTTATAAGATTCAAGAATTCAAGCTGATACGGATGAACCTAGTCCTGCAAACACTGAATCTGTTCCCTTTCTGATCTCGCTCCTTCAAATGGGCACCATCTTCGACATCGAAGTCGCAAAGTCTCACGCAATCCGTCGCCTCGAAACCCATCCAGATCTTGAATTGACAACGAAACTCCAGCTTTGCCACCGCTTCAGAATCATTACGTGGCTTTCTCCGACGTTCAAGGCACTGGTGTCCCAACCCATCGAAAATCTTGATCCTTCAAGTTTGGGACGAATTCCTACTCATATCTTGCATGCTCTTATTCAAGTAAAGCATCAGATCATGACACACAGGTTAACACTAGCAGCCATCGCACCCCCTGCAATCGGAGGATTTTCTTGCCTCACGCCAGCAACATGTGCTCTTGAATGGGAGTCAGCTTGGAAGGAAGGGCCGGCAGAGATGTTGCGTCATCCAGACATCTTCTATGCGGGTCGTGATATCCTTGCTGAGCTTGTGTCTGCTGACCTGTCACCTGTTTGCCTAGATTGTGTGGAGATGTCCGTCTTTAATGTCAAGGACAGTGGCTGTCTGCTCATGGAGGAAAATTTTGTCGAAGACATGCTTGTAGTATTGACAACATGGTTAATGAATCAGTAGAGTAGGATCTACTTTTCGTTATCATGTCTGATATTATACATCGCTGCGTTACACGAAAAACGTTGAAGTGTCTGCGTGCGCGCGCGCAATTTGTGTGCGCGTGCGTGAAAATTGCGCGTGCACGTGATTTAATTATAGTGCATTTGGCCCACCATATCGCCAATGCCAAATTAAACGCGAACACGACTGCAACTGGCCAGTTTCACGACTAGTTCGAGTTCGAGTGCAGGTGGATAAATTATCAGCGCGGACTGATGTCTGTGATATGTCTTTCGGGATTGGTTGGGAGGGTGATGCTCGCATGTCTTGTTGGACGTACGGGAGGTGCGAAACTGTAACTAGGGCCGGTTGTTGTCGGTCGCGCCTTCCCGCTCTCAACGAGTATTACTTGGGGGCACTGACCAGGTCTCTTTCAAGCTACAAGCTTGCCATTAGTTTAACGATAGAAAAAGGAAGAGGTTCGTTCCCTTGGATAACACCATCAATGCAATCACTACGATTGCGCGCATCATAGTGAATGATGGTTGTTCAGATAACATCAGATGTAAGGAAAGTACATTGGAATGGTTCGAATACACGCATGCACATGGAAAAAGTTGATTATCGCAGCATTGTTATAAGGTTGTTTCTATTACAAGTAGACTTTAGTCTTGGAACGACGGTGGTATCTTTGCCTCTTCTGGTATCTTCTCCAGCAGCCACGTCTGAAATACAAACTCATTTTCCAGTGTGGGTGTTTGGCCCAAGAAGAACGAGGCGAATTTGAGAAGGCAAGATCGCGCAATTGTCCAGTTCTCTTGGTGTGATGTTGACGGACGCAGATTGTTGTCCCTGAGCCTCACAAACAGAAAGTCAGTCTTCTCCTTCCTGCACCGAATAGCGTCCACTCTCAGCCAGTCATCGAGCGGTCTGCCCTTGCTCAAGAGCTCGCCACCTTCATACCGAAGACAGACCCAGGCGAGGACCCACATGAGCGATTCAGCATCGTGCTGGTACAGATGCATAACATTGCCTTCAAGAGCATCTTCTGTGAGAAGGTCGATCGCCATGAAAGGTACTGTCCCTGTGCGCTCTCTGCCTCTGGGACCATCGTGTGTAGTCGACGATAGGTCGTAGTCGTTGAGGACGCCAATCCATCGACCATCCGAGGTCTTGTATACCATAAGATTGCTTGGACTGACATCGCGGTGGTAGACGTCGTTTTCCCAAAGGACATGATGGCCTGGTGTCGCGGGTATGAATGGACAAGAAGAAGCGTAAGAAGCAGGAACACCCACAGACAACAACTTGCCACCATGCGGTGAGGAACTCCATCCCGCTCAACTTCGTGATCGGGATAAGCTTTCTGAATACGATGATGTACAGGACCCGACTGCCTCGTTCAGCATCGTCCATTCCTAGCGCCTTCCGGATGTTCGCCGTGGATGTTCCTTCAAACTTGTGGAACCAAACCATATCTGGGACGTGACCCTTCACCTTCATCTCGCGTTCCGCAATCTTATACACCTTCTTGAGAATCTCGGGCTCGCTCTCACGCGACTCTTCTGGCCAATAGAGCTTGGCAACCAGGTCGCTGCTTGTGTTATGAGAACCCGATAGCAGACTCGATAACTTGATGCTCTCCACTGGAAAGACGGTGGTTGCGCGTCCGCGCAGACCGAAGTGAGTTGTGCGATCGTCTGACTTCAAGTCAAATTTGAGGTCGACTAGGCCATGTTTTGGATCCTCGACGTGGTGAATCTCGCCCGAAGATCCAGGCTCAGGCTCGAATACCGGATTATAACCCCAGTGCGCGTATGCCATTCGCTGCATGGCGAGCAGCAAGACCATAAAGCGGGGAAGGTCCTGAACGAAGTTGATGCCAGAGCATTGAATTGCATTTTGCCGATCAAAATACCAGAGGTAAAGCATGTCGTCTGAAAGGAGCGATCAATGTTATGTGAGGTCTGCGTCATCCCATCAATCAACTCACCATTCACCACACAGGAGATGACGTGCTGCCGAGCAACATGAGCCGCGAACATCTCCGCGACGTACACACCATTCTGGACGATGGGATGAATTCTTTTCGGCTCCTTCTCATTGCCTTGGTTCTCATTGTTGCTCTTGGGTCGCTTGCTGCTGGGCTCGCTGGAGTCTAAATGACCAGAAGTACGCTTCTTGTCTCCTTTGCGTTTAGATTGCCCAGACTGAGTCGGAGGTTCTGCTGCGGATGTCAGCAAGGAAGGAGGTAGCAGCCAGACATATGGAGTAGCTACTTACGTGTATTCGATGTTTCGTGTGAGCTCTGAGTGGGACCGTCGGCAGGCGCAGGCGTTGAACCTGCTGGCTCAGCGGGGTCGCTCGTTTCACTCCGAATGTGATATTCCATATACTTCTGGTCAGAGGCATCGTAATCCTTCACTGTGTAAGTCGAAGGCGGACTTTGCAGACGAGTCTTCGTCCGCTTGAACTCCAGTATCGATCGAACGCCCGTCCATTGAAAGTTGACATCGGGCTTGCGGCACGCCTGTTCAGTGTACATCTGTTCCTTGCTGCAGTCCTTTCCATTCTTCCGCACGTTCCGAGCGCTTTCGCGAGAGACGATGACGACGTCAGGTTTACGTCTGGCCTCTGCGCCTTGATGCGTTTGTTTCATGAACTTTGGGTCGTTTAGATGAAATAAGATATCTTTAGGGTCGTCGTGAGTCTTGGAAGAAAGTAATCCGGGCGCATCTAGGTCACTCAGTTCAAGGAGTACACGATTGGCAGCTCGGATGAAAGGCGCGTAAGAGGGCACTTCTGTAGTGCATTTGACACTGTGACAATGGCGTTAATCTCCTTTCGCACGATTTGAACTTTTGACTTACAAATCAGACAAATGTTCGTTGATGTCCTGAGCGGCGCTGGTCTGGTTGCAGAGGGGCAGGACGGCTTGTAAGGAATCGTTAAGTAGTGTCGACTTGTCAGTCGGAGGGGATTTTGAGGGATCTCTGCAGCGATAAAGGAGCTCCCGCAGCATTTCATCGAACTCGCATCTGCTGAAGTCCTGAACGTCCCGCGTAATCCATGGACGGATATCGTGGACGCTGCGCGAATGAAAGAGGTTAATACCAGTGTATGGTGATTAGAGGAAAGTGTACGCACTCGACACCTAGAGTACTGATATGTTCGCTGACAACAGCAGAACCGACTGCATTTGGGGTGGACTTGAGCTGGGGGACAGCGTTGACGCCGTGGGGAGGCGTCTTTGGCGCAGTGGCGCCAGGAGTATTGACCATGAGAAATCTGTTAGCGAACTCGTTGAAGACAAGCAAATGCAGATTGAGGCTTGCTTTTAAGCCAGGTCAATAGTACTATTGTTTAGACATTTCAAGGCCACAATCGATACGTTGATGTTGAGCCACAGTCACAGTTCGAACCAAACCATCATCATCACAGCCACTATCATCAACTTCTTTTGACGCCCAGCATGATCGCCGAGCTTCTTTTTGTTCAACGCCCGGAACCGGTTGTGAAATTTACATCATACGTCTCGGTGGATCATACGATATGACTCGCTGTGATGCATGATGCGTCTCGACGTCCCCCACCCTAGCTACCCATTGTGATTTCTCTAATCGTACTCTTTTTGTTGAACGCCCAACAAAATCAAATCTGTAGATTATCAGCATCACTACCATCATGCATCAAGTTTCGATGTCGCGCACATGATCGCCTACCGTGATTTCTCCAACGAGTGAGTCCATTGCTTCTCAGACATCAGACATCAATCTCCCAAATTACACCGTTGTTCATTTTTGCATGCATTGCTCAATGAATTCAGCAAGAACATGGACTGATTGATTCTGCGCTCAGCGGAACATGAGGACACAATCTCGCAGAAGAATTCTGCCCATGCAGCAAGTTGATGGTATTCCTAGACGGATGATTATTTCGTTACTATGGGCCATGGCTGGCAGATCGATGTCTGGTAATTTGGGCCTCATTGAGATCCTCGGGACATCACTCATGCGGAGGGTCTAGAGCGCTGGGCCTTCCAAATGGAACCCTCTTCATTACCAGGCGCTGGTCTCGAACTCGTTGAATGAGGCACAGTCTGTATAGGCGGATGAAGGTTCCCGGATTCCTGTACGCTTATTTTGAGCTCTTTCAAGCCGCTCAGCAATTTCGTCCTCTTTGACCCTCGTGTCTTCTAGTGTTCCCTGTATCTTATACCTGATGATCGCCTCGAAGACGCCTGCGACATTCTCCGGCCTCCATTATCTCCCCCGTCGGACCTGCATCTGAAAACGCATGGTGACATGTATGTCAAATATCGCTTTTGCCATGTTTCTCAGACCACTCTACCTCCCTGTGTCCTCCGTGTCATCTCATTCCTCATTGAAGGCGAAGTCAACCTCACAAGGATACGTTTTAACTCACTCAAAGCTAATTCATACTCATTTGATGGTGGCGTCGGTCCCAAAGTGACCTGACAACTGAATATTTGAATATGGACGAAACATACCTTGGGCGTCAATGCTCCATGGCGGGTTATTCAATCCCACGCGACGGGTGACGTTCAAACTCCAAGGGTACAGCCTTTGCCTCAAATTGCCGTGCCTGGTTTTATCGCAGATGATGGCTTCTGAGAGCCAGAGATGTGAGCGCTATTGCGCGCTCACTCCCCAGAAGAACAGGACATCGTTGCTCACCTCGTTTTCAGACACCTAATTATACTGGGCGCCATTACGAACGTACACCGACGATGGCCCATCAGAAGTAACATCGCTTCGTACTCACGCTCGAATCCGAACACAGCGCTCGTCGTCTGAATCGCATTTTTTTCAAGGACACGACGTTGGACTCCTTCATTGCATGCACGGAAACGGGCGACGCATGTACGATCGTCTTCTATTCCCTGGGCCTAACCAAATAGTGTTACGGTTGTCGTTCGCCGGGACTGCGTAGCTTACCAGCCTGTGGAGCATGAACTCGTTCAGCTCTGATCAGTCCATAGAGGTAAGTATCTGACCGAGTTTTCATATTCGTGCTGAATTTACCAAGGCAGCACCTGCATAACAATTATTTTCCAGACATGTACTAATGCCCTCCCCTTTCCCCGATCAGCTCATGACATGGACTGTAGTAACTCAGCCTCACCGCTGCGTATGGCGGACACCGGGGTAGGGCAGGTAAATAGTATGAAAACCGTACATCGCTAATTAAGTTTGCATGACAAGGATCCGCAGGTTAACCATGAGCTAGCACTTCATTCTCGCAGCATTTGCATTCCCGTTATAGTGCTATGCGGTTGCATGGGATGTTGATACAGCACCCTATGGATGCTGCTCGTAGTCTAAGGACCACCAAATGTAGCGCCCCCGCAGCGCATATAAATTTCGACACCTCTGGCACATTCACTATCCCTCCAGAAACTGCACAAGCATTGTCACTCGCCCGTACTCACAGTTACAATGTACTTCCCAACGAAAGCGCTGATTGCTACCACTCTCATGGTAGCGTCTGTATGTGCTCAATATGCCAACATTGACCAGCCTGCGCCTGGCTCCAATATCACTGCCGGTGCCAACTTTACTGTGCAAATAGGCATGGCGGTAAGCTTTCAAACAGCACATCCTTCAGAGCGTCATGACAATTAAGACCCGTGCACTCCCAGATCGCGCCCACAAACGTCGAGGAGATAGCGATCGTAATTGCTATCCAGTCTTGCCCAACTGGGTACTGTTACAACGTCAGTGAGGATATGGGAACTGTCTTGTACGAAGGCCCGTACAATCCACAGCTTGGTCCGGACGCATACGACCTATATCAGGACTTCTCTGTTCAAGTCCCTGCATCCTTCGCTACCGGGCAAGCACAGCTTGGACTTGCTCACTTTAGCCTCGTCGGAGTACGTTGTGCCTGACTGTCTTGATATGCATATCTGACGCACGTTGCAGGCGTCTTATCAGCCATACTTCCAACTTGCAAATCAGACTGTTTATGTTGTTTAATGGCCCTGCACCAAGTATTCTACGTGGTTGATGTAATGCATGATTCCGGAATCCCACTGCGTTTAAAGAGACTAGAGTTGTTGTTTGTTTGTTTTGTGCGGCCGGACGTTGCCGGCAGGTGGCACCATTGATGACTTGGACTTGTTGCTACGAGCAGCTGATATCCACCTGAGAAATTGCTAGTTTGGCATCCCTGTGGACATATATATACAGTGCGAAATGTCTGCACCAGCGTTCACCCTGGCGGTCGGAGGTACTCCATATTGGGCTAGCCAACTTGCACCACGAGGAGAGCATGAGTCCTTCATATCATTGACCAGAGATTACTTATTCGCGTAGTAGCAGCCTTAGCTGCTAGTCCGCCCAGCGATTGGTTCGTGACCGTAGAGTGATCAGACCGCGATGCCAAACTATGCCACAAGCATCGAGACCACAGCGGTTACCTTGTGCGGTGCGTTGCCTCTTCATTGCCACCGTTACATTTTTGTCTTGAAGGACACTGCTGACTAGATGGATATTATGCACGTAAGAGTATAGAAGCTCCTTTTTGTAATTCGTTGGCGCAGTAGCTTACATCTCAGCTGGTTGCATAGCATTCGGCCAATTCAATAGCGTTAGCACGCTCTGGTTATCATCGATTGACCCGCAGTGAGCATTGCCACTCCACATATCTCCGACTCCCGAGTATCTGACAATGCCTTCGCCTTAAACTAGGTCCGAAATGCAGACTCATCGTCTAGCCTAAATAGAGTGGAGGTAAGATAATGTGATTTTCCAGTTGGATTGGGGCAATGCCGAGGGTTTTATCTTGCGGTTGTGCTTGAAGAACAATAAGAAGCTACTTGCCTTCCTTGTTCCACTTTCGGTCATTGATCGAGCTTGCTCAAGAGCTCGCCTTCTTTACTTATATCGAAGACAAACCCAGACGAGATCGGGGATCCGAGCCCTATCCCGTAAAGCCCACGCAAAATCGGGACAACCAACTAAATATTTCGTGAGTTTCGGTACTCATAAATTACATCATCCCCTGCTGATCGTGAACCTTGGCATCCTACCACCGCCGCCGCAGCCGCCACCACCACACCTGACCAAGAAAAATGGATAGCCGTGCAGTAGCCAACCTTCCCGTTGACGCCGACTCACCGACGCTCGAACAAACCATGTTCTAACGTCTGATGCAAGTGTGTAAGTGTAAGTCGAAGTTCGACGCGTTTAATTCTTATATGGGTTGCGCATTACAGCTCTGTTCTCGAGGATGCCATCCACTAGGACACTATCCTTTCCAAAATTGGGGGATATGAAATTTCCCCTCATCGTGATTTCTCTCATTTTAGCACAAATGGAAGTATATTCAATCCTCGCTATATTGCTTCGAAGGTACACTTGCTTGGCTGCAGGGAACTGCGGCACCGCACGGCGCAACGGATAGTCTTACTTTATGAAAATAGAGTTTCTCCCTCACGCAGAACAGAGCATGCTTCAGAGGGTGCTTGATAACTACGCTGTCATCCATCGCTGCTGTGGCGGTGGCGTGCCGCATGTAGTCGACTACAGCTAGGGAGACTGGCTCTACATGGTCCTGCAAGACGTTAGGCCAGATCTAGCCACTCTTCAGCCTACGGGCACTCGACGAGTGGCTGAAAGTGGATGCTACAGGATGCACGGAGAAAAAGTCCTACTTTCTGTACAGGGTTCGGAAGGACGACGACGACATCAGACCCTCGTCGTCTCACCGGGCCCACTGGCTAATTGCGCTAGTTTGCCTTCGCACTATCTACTAGGCTACCGATGTGCCAGGCGATTTCGGACGTGGCTCTCGGCGAACGTATGGTCGTCACTTACGAACGCATTATCAGTAGTAGCAATCTTGGAGTTACTCTCTGGTGTGAACACGTCTTTTAGATCACACCTCGTGGATGTGCGTTTTGCCATAACGCTCATTACCGGTCAACACGTGAGTTTCGCCGATCATCAATATTTGCTCCTCGAACCTCCACCACGTCCACTTCTTTAGTATTTGCCCCTGTTGCACCGTCTCTCAGATACTCGGCGCAAAATGCAAGTCACACACCTGTATCATACCCACTTATCAGCATTTGACGAGGCTGCCGCCATTTATCCACCACCGTGTTCAGAAAATTTCTCCCGATCATGAAGTTGAGCAGGAAGGAGTTCCTCAGTACATGGTGGCTAGTATAGTCTGTGGGTTTTCTTTCATGCGTTCTCTATTGTCCATTAAATGCGGCAACAGGTCATCGTGTCCTCCGGAAAAATGGTGTCCTATCACGGCAACGTCAGCCCTAACAATATGATGGTAATTGGCGTCCTCAATAACTATGATTTATCTTCGACTCTCGAACGTCATGGCCAAGGACAATACCATTCATAGCGATAGAACCTCTCGCACCGAACGCCATCGAGGGCAAGTTCGGACACCTCTACAGACATGAGGCTGAATCATTTATCTGGGTCCTCGTCTAGGTTTTTCTTCGATTCTTGAGTAAGGTCAAACCGCTCGATGACTGGCTAAGAGTGGATGCTATTGGATACCACACGAAAGCATTCGAGGATAACCGCAAGATGACACTCGTCGTCGCATCAATCCAACTAGCAAATTGCGACATCTTGCCTTCGTTCTGTTCTCTTGTTATATGCGAAGGTTACACCTCCGCTAGACAATGAGTCTGTATGTCGGGCGTGGCATGAAGCGAAGGTATCATCTTCGCTTCTAGACTTGTGATAGTCACTTGACTTGCCCCCTTTGGGTTTGTCAGATACCTCATAGATATGTAGCAATGCTCACTGCCGGTCAATCGGTGACAAGTAGAACGTGTGTGGCGCTATTGAATAGGCCGAATTCTATGCAAGCGGTTGTGATCAAGCTACTGCGCCAATGAATTGAATTCTATATCCCCACGTGCATAATTCATCCATGGACTTTTTTCAGGTGGCAGTAGTCAGGTTCGTCAGCAAGCTTCAAGTCGAAGATGTGTGTCACAAAACGGCGACACTGCAGAGACAAAAGTGCCGCACCTTCATTGATGCGGCACAACTCGGCAGATGTCACGTTGGAGTTCATCCATTGTAATGAACCAGTCGCTAGGTAGACCAATATATATGCGAGAGACATCGAATCATCTCTCCTCATAATCCTTCAATTAAAATAAGCACGCTGCAAGGTACAGATGCATAGAAATTACGCTCTCCTCGCATTGAATGTTTACTGGCCCAATATGGAGTACCTAGGCTACCGCCAGGAGTGGGGTAGCGCTGGAGGAGGTCCAGCCCTATCATTGCAAGTCGATGACCCTGTAGCAGAAATCGCTCGGCTTCACGTCGCCCTGAATGTATCCTAAAAATGGATGTCTTGAAGCATTTGCAGCTGTTGTAGACACATGTCAGCAACGAGTCACATTCAAGCCGTCGATAGTCACCACTTCGCAAATCAGTTGCGCCTACCCACCTCAACTCAGGCAGCCTAAGGGCCGGTCCATGAGGGTGGTGATGTCGAATCTGACATCTTCAAGCACGAAGAATATCCATTCACCATCTTCGGTAGAGAATATTGTAGTCGCGTGCTTCTGTTGGGAGCACTCGCCTATCGTCGATCGAACAGGCTGCAGCGAGCAGATCGAAATGACTATATTTGGTCATCTTCGCGAGTCTAAACTCACGTGCATACTCACGTGATAGGCCTGGGATAGTGGACGTGGAACAAGTTGAAGTCCAAGATCTCTAGAGTCAGGCTCCTCTGACTCGCTCACTGTCTCGTTATGCGACTGCACCGTTTCGCTGGACTACTATTATTGTTCGCTGGTCCCGTTTTATCAGACAGCTCGTCATCCGGGCTCGCTCCACCAGGGCTTCATCCTCTCGTAGTCCGCGGTGACGCCTTGCTTTCTGCTGGTCAATTTAACGATGCAGCGAAAACATACACAGACGCCATCTTACTATCCCCTGCAGACTACTTACTGTTTTACAAGCGAGCTACAGCTTACTTTTCGTTAAGTCGCCATGCAAACGCGCTGGATGACTTCACCAAGGTTCTGGAGTTAACTGGCGGAGAATTCGACCGTGCTATTATGATGATGGCGAAGATCCATACCAAGGATGGAGACTGGGCTCGTGCCAAGGAATTGCTCGCAACATATAACATGAAAGTTGCTGGTGATGAAGCTGCGAACGACATGTTACATGACATCAAGGACGCCGAGACAGCAGCTTCCAAGGCTCTTAAGGCAAGACGCGCTCAGCTGTGGACAGTTTGCTCAGAAGCCGCAACTCAAGCTCTACGGGTAGCTAGCCATAGTTCCGAGCTCAGGCAGACAAAAGCAGACTGTAACTTAGCCAGTGGTGACGTGCAAGGAGCTGTGCTCGACTTGACGTGAGTTCTTGTTATGCATTCACGTACACATACTAACACGAACTTAGTCGACTTTCGTACTTATCCCGCCCTACTACCATCTCTCTTATGCGTATTTTCCGCCTCTCTTATTTCCTGCTCCCACCTTCACATTCGTCCTCACATCTTTCGCCTCTTAAACAATGCCTCCATCTGGACCCCGACTCCTCTTCGTGTTTACCCGCCCACAGACTCGCGAAATCTCTTGACAAGGGTTTCTCGAAATTGGCGAAGCTTATGGATGCCAATGATTGGAAAGGCGTTCTCAAGCATGTCGTTGGAAGTGCGAAAGACTTTCCTGGCAATGGCTTTGCCCGTACTTTCCAGGACGCACTAGTTGAGAATGGCGCTCCAGACTTGCTGGTACCATCTTCCTCCAAGCTCCCACTTCCCGATGTTCTCTCTTCAAGCCCACGTCGCGCTCTCATCCTTCGTGGAGCATGCAGTGCTTATTTGAGGCTCAACAATGCAAGGAAGGGCGAACCTTGGTGTGATGCTCTGCTTGCGATGTCTGAAGATACCCTCCGAGCCCTGAATGAAATGGGTGGCGATTCCAATGTGGAAGTCGACGCGTGGGTGGTGAAGGGTGAGGCATTGCTGATTCGCGAGGAGTGGGATGAAGCAGTGCGCTCTTTCGAACGGGCGTTCGAGAGTAGTGGTCGCAGCGACAGAGACGTGAGCTGCACCGCTTTTTCTAAATGTTCAGAACTCTGAATTGTCGCTCAACAGGTGCTAGGGCGCTTGCAGAAAGCCCAACGACTACTAAAGCAATCCAAACAGAAAGATTACTACAAGGTTCTTGGAGTCGCTAGGGACGCGGACCCGAAAACTATCAAGAAAGCCTTGTGAGCCTTGTGTTCTCTCTCTTGTTGCTTGTCAATAACTTTCCCAGCCGCAAAGCAGCTATGACAGCCCATCCTGACAAGGGAGGCTCAGAGTCAAAAATGGCAGAAGTGAATGAGGCGTACGAGGTGCTGAGTAAACCAGGCAAGCGACATGTCCAATCAACACATTTGCGCCCCTTACTCAATTTACGTGTAGAACTCCGTCAACGCTTCGACAATGGGGATGACCCAAACGATCCCAACTCTCACGGAAATTCTCACGGATTTGGTGGCTTCGGTGGTGGTGGAGAGCATCCATTTGCGCAGTTTTTCCAACAAGCTGGGCAGGGTTTCTCATTTAGAGGCCATTGAATTTAACTCGATACTTTCGCTGTCGCAGAGCACTGCAACTCCTCTGAATTGTACCAGTATTATATCCATAATGTTCTGCACGATGTACTTACCCGCTTTATTGCAATAATCCCACGCACAGGACTCTGTCGTGCGGAGGCAATGATGATTTCCCTTTTGTCGTTGATGGTGTCAGATAGCTCAACTTGTTGGACGTGTGATCGATATCATAGGGTGCCCTCAACACAGCTGTCTACTCAAGGTGTGCTCTGTAGTATGTACTCGTTGGTCGGTTACATCCTATCGTTAACTGCGTTAATGAACAGGCTGACGCACAACCTCGTGCGACCCGAATGAGTTGTTCTTCGGGAACAGTATGCTACTCCCCCAGGCCTGTGGTTGGCTGGACATTATGAACTCGAATCTGCTCCCGTCGAGTAATTGGTTGTGCGAGATAATAGGGCTGGATATATCCTCGCCATTGATGGTGAACGAATTTACGTATGGCTTTGAAGGTGCATCCTCTGAGATAATTCTAAGGTTGGTGACGTTTGATGACGGGAATCGGATCTCCACTTCATCGAAAAATGGACTGAAGGTTCCGAGATTAGTGGTAGAGCTTGAACAAACCCTACGTACTTACGACCCGACCACGTACAACCCCGACACAGGGTTCACAGGGTAAAATCCCAAAGCACTGAACAGATACCACGCGCTCATCTGGCCGCAATCTTCATTCTGTGATATACTAGTCAAATGGACTGAAAGAATGTTCAACAGCATAACGTACCCCAGATAGGCCATTGACGGAAGCGTTATAGTCTGACTCTGCAATCTGGCGGATACGTGATTGAGACCTTGATGCAGCTCCAGCGAGGGAATACAGATAGGGAATATGATGAGATGGCTACAAGAATGGGTTAGCAGCTTCGATACCACACGAGTAATAGGCACCGACCTCGTTGGTATGATCATTATGACCTAAAGCAACCAAAAAAATTAGTAAAAAAATACTATTCGGATCATAGCTAGAATTGACCTCCATCAAAATGCTCGTCCAAAAAGTTCACAAACGTCGCATTTCCGCCTTTGTGAGCAATTAGTCCCGGTACATCGTGTACCACGTCAAATGTATAGGCCCATTTATCGCCTTCCGTCCAGCCGTTATCAGGACCAGCCCATGCGCCGCTTGCGTTGCGCGCTTCCATAAAACCAGTCAAGGAGTTAAAGATCGTAAAGGGATTTTGCAGCGAGCGATTTCGGAAAAACTGTTCCTCGTCGCTTTTATTGAGGAGACCCGCGAGCACAGACACAGCAAAATCGTCATCTGAATGGATCAAACGAAGGGAAGTGGTAAGTGTTGACCATACAAAGAGTTAAACAAGAACGTCACAGGAATAATCTAATGTTCGAGATGCTGACTCGGAATGGATGTCGTCTGCAACCCAGCCCTTTTCCTCATAGACCGAGGTCAGGCCGGCACGAACTTCATAATCGACATTCTGTGACAATCAAAATCTCTGACATTGCAAGAGTTGAGGAATTCTCACCTCCTCACGATCAAAGTATCTATAAACATTTAATTCGGTCAATCATATAGCAGCAGAAACTTGTCAAAACTCACACAGTGGTCGTATCATTGACCGGAGGCACTGTTGCATCGCCATACACGGCATCCCATGCGGTCTCTAAATCAAACCCGGTTATTCCTTTCAAAACAGCCTCTGCGATGAGGGAATCCGCATGAGTCCCGACCTGTAGAGGCATGTTCACTGATCCGCGGAACAGCATAGTGCAACGAAAGGCGATACCATGATGTTTGTCTCTGACAAGAGAAGTCGATAAGTTTCATGACTGAGATCGAGATCAGCACCAAAACCTACCAATGATGTTCTTCCACATTGGAAGCCGACCGCCCTGTGCGCGCAGGTGAGAACAACTTTGATCGAACGAACCGTAATATAACCCACTTCTTTGTAGTCCTGCAACATACTCTGTACCATACCCGGTATCCTTTCGGGCGCAAATAAAATAAGCCACGCCCATTCGGCGCGATACGTGTCCTTGTGAAATACATCAGACCTCCGTCATGCCTAGAGCCTAATGCTTACCCAAATCGAGTATCCGGTATATGACACTCCCTGATGTACAGCATCATCGTATCCCGAGTAGTACTGACCATATTCACTCTGCTCGTAAGGATACTACAAGGAGATGTGAGCATTGTCCGTCCACGACGAATAATGAAATACTGTGCCTGCAATGTGTGATAAAACGCGGTATAGAAAGTTTGCATCTGATCCTTGGTGGCGCCTCTGATCTTGATTAGATCCAGTTTCTCGGCCCATGCTGATCGAGTCATCATCGCGGTGTCTTCTAGAGTATTCCCATCAGGTATTTCCATGTCCAAGTTCTTTCTAGCTTGCTCAATGGAAATGAATGAAACGCCGATCCTGACACTGACTTCCACCACTTCTGGAGAGAAGGTGGCATATCCTGATAGCAACGTGCCATTTCCGCTCGTCTGGCCATCGAAAAGAGTATTGTTTTGTGAGACGCCCCATGAAGCAAAGGGCTGGTCGAAACGCGCACAGAAATATCCACTCCAGTTTTTTGCAGGCGTTGAAACAGGCGCGATAATGAAGTCCTGGCGTTCAGGGTTGCTGCCCGAAATTTCGCGAGTGTCAGGATTAATGAATATGGACCCGTGAGGATAAGTCAATGTTATTGGGGTCTGAAGACCCAAGGACGGAAGCCCGAGTAGCCTCAACAAGAACGTAAGGTTGACGGGTATCCGTGAACGTGAAACGGAGGTGTCCGACGCGAGAAGCTCAACGCAACTCAGCATAATGGAGGGGCTGTCGATACATTTAAATAAATGACGTACTAGCACTTTGTTCAGCTAAGATTTGACCACCTTCGACGGCATTCAAGTCCACGCTGTAGTAACTAGCAGTGATAACTTCGTTCTCGTGAGTGAAGCTCATGCCTCGATCGCCGAATTTAGGTTGCACCTGGCCAGCGCCTGGAGATATTACCACCTGACCGCTCTCACCCATCCAAATGGCTGGTTGGTGAGTTGCTTGGAAGCCATGGATTGATGTCGCAGTGTAATTATACGGAGTGACAGATACGTAATTCTCGCGTGTTTGGGCAACCCAGCGTGTCATGGCAAACGGTGGAGCAGTTGAGGGAATCATGCCTCCGGATCCATTTGGGGAGTCCCCGCCATTGCCAATGAGCCTGAGAAGCATGAGTTGGTGAGACAGAGTAATGGGCATTGGGCAAGAGGTAATGCTGACGGATTAACATTGTCCACTGCTTCACTAGCCGGGCGTCTGAAGGCGTCTGGAACTTCTTTGTGTGTTGTGAATAAAAATTGGCCATAGAGAAGAAGAAGAAGCCATTGAATGCTACTAATCATACTCTGTATTCCTAGAAAGTGGAACAGGCAGACTCAGGATTTGGAGGTGCCAGTACTAGTCAGGACTCAGCTTATTCGACGAAATTTACGCGTCCATACGCCACAATGTGGTCACGTGAAGATCCTCCACGCGTGAAGCACACGTCGAAGTTCACCCTCACAAAAAGGATACGAGTCGCAGAACGACGCCTCACTCTCTCTTCTTCTCAACGCCCATCTCCTTTTACGCGTCGCTCACCAACTTTTGTCCACCCACTCACCTCCCTTCTTTCAATTCTAGTGTGTTTTAGTCTGGTTTCTTATTTCCTTCAGTCTGCGACTCTGCGCACGTCGATATATACTCCGAAAGTTTGCCTTTTTATCGATACCGAAATTTGTTCTCTCTGTCGAGAATCTGATGTTCTCGTACTGTCTGAGTGTGTGGGACGTATCCACAGACAGACTAAGTTTATTCACTCTGAGGAGGCGACCATCTTCTATTTCGGTAAGCTCCGCTCGTACTTTATGTATTACGTATAAATCCGATACTCAGATTCTCCGCTAGTCACTGCACGGGCCATGTCCACTGATTGGCCATTTGCCTCGGATCTCAACACTCCGGCTTTTTCGGGATCATGTTATCAGTTCACGTCCGTCTTAATGATCAGAGTTTTCTTTAGACTACGCGATCATACAAAGGTTACGAATAATTGTCTTCCCGAATCCTAGGTAAGTGTACCCAGGTTGGAATCGCTTGTGTATGCTAATATTCATCTCCAAGTATGGTGATGGTGAAGTTTTGTAGATTCAACGAGCCGTTGAGCAGGGTTATAAGCCTCCCAAGACGCCAGAAGAAACCTGTCAGACCGGTTTTGTGTCAGGGAGAGAGGTCAGACTGCGGATGGGCGTTTTCTGCCACACGAAACTTCGTCTAGTCAAGATCTCGCCGGGGATGCGCTGTCGATGCATCGTTTTCGCCGCATCCGATTCTTGCGAAGGCTTACCAACTAGCACGTCACCGGAGGAGGAATACAAGGCCATGAAGGAACTGCTGCAAAGGCTGGCCCGCCTCGCTGGTTCTGGGATACTTGAAGCTTCTGAAGCGCTACGTCATTAACTGTTCACATCGATGGAGGCAACTAATGGGTCTTTCGCCTACAAAAACAGATTCCTTTCCGTTTATCGTATTCTCATATATTGGTCTGAGCATGGGAATCCACAGCGCTGCTAGTTACCCTCCGTTGTTGTCATTGAAATGTCAGCATTGTCTCCACTGAGTACACCCGTTCAAAACGTGACGCACGATAGTGCAGATTCATATTTGCACCCTGACCTACACATTTACCGCAATCTCAATCGTGCATACGCCCTTTGAGTACTATAGCATGCATCTCGGACACGCTTACATATGCCACTAGATGAACACTGCGGGCCTGCGTATGCTGACCGTATTTACACGTCAAATATATCCTGTGATATTCAACTATTCGCCGACGGTTCCGACTGGACACTACCACCAGTTTCAACAGCATATACTCTCATCTCGTCCTGATCGAGGGCAGGATCTTCTCTACAAGAGGCCTAACGCTCCGAGTGAATGATTCCCGTTGAGAATGGTCGTGCAAGAGAAGGAGGCGTAGTCGGAAGTTGAGTACACACTGTATGCCTGTCTGGTCGCACTCGCTTTCAAATTCTAATGTGCAGCTGCGCTTGTTTTCACTACTTAGAATTCAGGGCGCATAAATATGACTGATCCGATCAACAATATGTGCCGTCAACTATCTCGTCAGTTGTCCCACGATATGTTTGTGCTGTCCTCACGTACCAGCACGTACCTCCATCATGCAGGGTAAGAGATCACAAAGCTAGAGGCATCTGGGCAGATATCTCGTACCGTGGGGGTAAAATATCTCCTCCTGTCATCATATATCCGGTAGCTCCGTGGCGAATTGGGGTTATAAGTTCCGATGCCCAGCTCCGTCGATCTATTTCACAATATCTGTCCTACGCGAGGGTGCCTAGCCAAAGTGACCCTTGAAAACAGTCTCAGGAAGAAGATGGGACCTGGAGGAACATATGCCTACCTCACATCACCAGGTTCGCATATTTACACGGATGTAGACTTGCATTCACTTAGCGATTTTTCCAAGATCATATTGTAAGAGCCGACATCGAATATGTCGATAAGAGCATCAAGATGAAATTACCCCAGGTTCTCTGAAAGCGAGTCAGACATTTTCACTGCAACATCGGTCTTTACCTCCTGTAGGTTGTCCGTATACGCTCCCGCCTCACAGACACAGGCTGCAATAGACCTTTACCAAATGGACAGAGAAGGCATGGCTCCTCCGGAGGACATAGGTAACGACCTTCCCTTGACCAGGATCTTGCACCTGTCTGTTCTCAGTCCGACAGTCTTTCTGTATGTGATAGGTTTTCACCTGAATTCCGATTACTGATGGTCTTCGAGCTCGGGGACATATAATATATATGAATATATACATAATACTTGAATGCACCTCTCCAATCGAGCCTAATTACCGAATTCCGAAATCCTTGGCAACATGCCAGCGGCGATCAACTTGATGGAGAGCCAGAAGCTTTGGTCCAATGTCTCAATGTTCTCCTTATTATCTCTGCAGCTCGAGAGTCGTCGGTGCTAGCCTTGTCATGAACGTTTTGCGTTTCGGTCACGAGACTCGTTGTGTACGCACGCTTGCTCATTGGTACTTAGTCAAAGTCAGTCGGATTCCTCCTTTTTCCTTTCCAACGTCGTGCTGGTCTTTTCTCTCAGGTACTATCTAGCATTAACGATGTATTAGTACTCATAAAGGTCTTTTCTCTCAGCATTCAGGTCATTGTTGGTTGTGTTTGAGTCGCGCTTCGATTCTGAGACGTCTGACAAGCCTTTGTCATGGTGGACGCCTGCGGGTACGAGAGGTGAAGGTTAACGTTGAACGTTGATGTAGCGAGATCATGTATTTGATTAGTGGCCATCACATATGACATGTCGAAGCCAAAGCCCGAATCTCCTTGATATTTGCGATGGAAATGAATCGATGACATTTCGGGCTTCAAGCTTTCAAGTCTTAGATCTTACTGTTCGTGATCCGGCAAGTACGATTGGCCAAGGTCGTCTGTAAAGTCGCTGAACCAATTGATCCTGTGAAAGCATAGCGATATATTGACAATGGTGTGAGTGTAACTGTGATGTAACCGAATGAAACAAGTATGGGATGATATTAACAACACTCATAATCCGTGATATAGTACCTTTGTATTGAACAACAGATATACCGATGGGTATAATAAATACGAATATTAATAAAGCCACAGAACATTGGACGAAGACAAGTGAAAGAGACAGGAAACCAACCCTATAGATGCGACTTCTCTGGCGTCTGAGATAGCTGTTGCGCTTTGACCTGTCTCATGTGGTCCCTGACATACTTCGTCATCTTGTACGTCTGGTACAAGCCCTGAGTGTGATCCGGCTTCCACCCTGCAGGTAGACGTTCATGACGCATCCACTCGTGTAATGCGCTCATGTTGACTCCGTTCGTCGCCGCGTCCTTGCCACCTAGGACTCCAATAGCAATGGCGATTTCACCCCGAGCTATCTCGGCATGTACAGCATCCAACTCTCCGCACTCTATTTCTCTCTTGATACGGATGCGCGCGGCATCCTCGAGAGTCATTCGGTTCGGGAGCACCTTTCCGCCCTCTGCACAAAGGGCTGCTAATAGCCTCTTGTCCACCCTGGTGGGCGCATATTCGGCACCGTTGGTGTCGTCTTTGTGTGCAAGTGATGCATTATGCTCGATCAGGTTATGCCGAGCGAGATCTGAGAGCGAAATGGATCTGTACTGCCCGAGTAGCAGCACACTGCCAAACGATAAGAGGCAGGCTAGCACTGTCGAGAGGTTGTAGCCGCTTTTTAGTCCGCGAACAAGGTCCATTACACCAATGTTCTTTCCATCTCGTGGCCTAGACGATAGATTATTAGTTCTGATGTGTCTTAGGTTCCGAAATGTAGTACTCACAAGTAGCCATGATTAGCTAGGGCATTCAGCGCCGGACATGGTGATCTTACGTCCCCAGTCTGCGCGGGACAGAATTCGTGCGTTTGGCCCGTGACTGGACACGAGCCTTGTGCGTGTTCATGATGCGAACTTGTAGAGGTTTGTGTGGTGGAAGATTTGGAAGACATGATGTGACTGCTCGTAACTGCTGCCATTGATGATCTGTGAGTGATTGGATTGATCTGTGGTCTGCTTGGCTTTATAGGTGTTAAACGAAGCAAGGGGAACGGTGGGATCGCAAGGGGCAAGGGAAATGGAAAGGGCAAGGGAAAAGGGGTGGGGGTAAACGAGTCTAGACTCTAGACAAGTTACAATCTTCAACGGGTGCAAGTAAGTAGCGACGTTTATCGGGCCCTGATAAACGCTATATATGTGTCTAGATGGCAGGGTTCCTGTAGTTCCTGTGTGACTTTGTGACTCTAACGTACGAGCACAGATAAGATGGCTTCCTCGGGGTTGATATGACGACTGGCCTGCAGGCTGTGGTTTTATACACTTGGCGAGGTGTAAAACATTTCGAGATCAACATATAGACTCACATTCTTCGGCGCGGTACCGCCAGTAGTAGACTTGATGACGTTGCAACTACAGCCACTGACCAGGGCGATGCGCGTGAAAATTGGTAGGAATGCAGCCACGCTTTGCTGTGAAAAGGGCTTCTTGAAGCCAAGACGCCCAGGCCTGGTAAAGCATATACACGAGCCTAGAGTCACAGAACTTCAAATGTCACAGCCTTCACTAATTTAGGCGACCGCCCATCGGCAGACTTTCGCCTCCACTGCCCAAGCGTTAACGGCCATGACTCATCTCCGTGATCAGTTGACCAAATTCCCCAGCCAATTGTATCGACCGTGGATGCATCGATGAGGTACGTATCGTGCAAATGAGAGAAAGTATCTACTATTGTGGAGGACTCGCGCGATACTCAAGGGAATACCTATGTGCTCTCTGTAGCACAGGGATTCGGCCCTGTTTCCGCGATATTCAATTGTTGTATGAGTGGTATGGAATGCTGTAACTTTGCAAATTTTGATGCGCTCAGCTAACGCCCGCATCGCCTCGCACCGCTTTTGTAGATCACAATCTCCTGGCCCTGCAGGCGCATCATTAATTATCAAAGGTCAAAGCCTCTGACAATCATGACGAGGCTTCATTCGGAGGCCACCATGTGGAGTAGGTTGTTAATTGAACCCCTTGATTGTCATACGTGTCCACACCGCCCTGTCTGCTTTCCCATGGCTGAATCTTGATTTGCGCTCATACTTATTAAACTTATTCTTACCCGCCCGGAAATAGCACCCTCCGATATCCTGATCTCACGCGATCAATCTTTGAAATGAATACTGACGGTGAGCAGCCTTCTCGAGAGCGGTGTTCTCTAGGCAGTGTAGGCAGCATATAACACTCTTGCTTCTTAGATACGGAAGTTTCCGATCGTTCTGTGGATTTTTACTTCGAACATGTCGAAGTTAATAAGTTTCTCGAATCTGGTACTTCTTTACGCACTAGAAAGTACTTATCGTCGCTTTATTTTGTGTGTGGTCAGTTCCCTGATCACTTCAGCTTTTGTCCAGCCTTGTTCCATGGCAACTCTGCTTCTCTTGCGCTAGATATCTGAACTCCCGGTTAGACTAGAGAAGGGAGAAATTTATGGAACTCGAACCCAAAACACAGACGTGATTCGATATTCACTTATCAGCTTGCGTCATGCGATGTTCGCATGCTCATAGATACTCATCCTTCAACATTTGACTGTCTGAATTAGTCTCCAGCTGGCCGCAGCAAGTCCAGATCCTGGTGTCATTGGGAAAGTCGAGTGTGATCTGAGAGATGCAAGCGCAAGGCGTAGTATGTCGACAATCCCCGATCATGGAATGGAAACTGGTGCACAAATCTTAAACATCATACATAATGAATGATTCTTGTGGGTGCCATCGTTGATACTGGGCGCAGATCTAGTGGTTCACCTAAGTATAACTTACGTAGCCGCAGTCAATGTTCAGTGCTGCTTCAAGCATCACAATCTCTCGTTGGAATATGTAGTCCTGAACATCGTTTGGGACCTGAGAATTTGTCATGTTCCTGTATAGGCTTGTTGGCACGGGGAACTACGAGGACGGGGTGCCCCGGATCTCGCATGAAAGATATGAACTTCGTTCACGTCTGGAGAGCGGCTCTTGCCGGTCTGATTCCCTTGATATGAATTTCGGTTTGAAATGCTTCTGCCCAATCATGCGCAATTCATATTCATAGTCAGGTATGCTAAAAGCAGTGTTAAAAGCGTGATTGGCAGGCCTTTAGGAGAAATCCCGGGGCTTGTTCTGCTGACAACCGAAACTATTGAGCTATGAAACACATCAGAAAGCATAGGGTATGTGAGGCGAAACACCGACATGGTAAATTAAAGCCCGACCAGAATATCCTGTCAATCTACGCACAGCTTGCGTATAGCAGCTGGTCCCCGGTAAAACATATTACTACTCTGTATCAGTCTCAACCACTGCCTTAGTCAAAACCCGGCGTCGTTTCTCTGGAGAAGGGTGTATAAGCAGGCTTCAGGTACGAGTAGGAAGTGTTCTCACTTGGTGGCCTTCGTATACGCACAGTGGGTTGCTGAAGAAAGGCGTCCTCGTGCCTTTCTGAGAATTCAGCCAAAATGGATGTACGAGATTCAATGCGCCCAATTCTTGACAAAGCTGACGGGCGGTGGTCAATATGAAACCGGAGAGAAACTTGAGAAATATTAAATACCGATATCAAGAGCCGTGGATGGGCCATATATTGAAGACAGGCGCTTGTGTGCTGCAGAGACGACGCTTGCGAAGAATTGTAAGTATCAGCGAGCCTCATGAAAGACGGTAGCTCACGATCTGTCTAGAGTCATGCCCGATATTAAGACTCTAAGGACCCCTTCCCAATTAAATGCCCACATCCTATTTTGCATACTATCTGCTACAGCTGGCCGCTGTTCGAGAATGGAGTCCAGAACGCATACCAGGACCTTGGTGGCTTGCCAGACCAGGGCTTGGAAGAGACTTGGTGACAAAGGATCCAATTCCTCGTCGTCAGCTTCCTCCGTATCATCATGAGATTCCGATTTGTAGATGCCATGTCCTCGAGATCGACACTTAGTTTTGAGCTGATGAGCGACCGTTTCGGCAATAGATTTAACTTCGTCTTCAACCCGCCATTCCGGAATGGAGCAATCTATCAAAGGCCAGGTAGTCCAAGTATCTCTTGATTTTGGCTTTCCCTTGCCTTGACGGGCATTTTCAAGATCGACACTGCGTTGAGCGTTACCATGGCTGTATAATTGGCGAGTGAGATTGAGGATGTGATTTGTGCGGATCGTCTTGATTAACATGGCGTGTTCTGTGAGTTCCGCATGGAGTGCAGCGGGGACGCGCCCCCTCTTCCGCGCACGCTGTGATTTGTTCTGCATATTTGCTGCATGCAACTGTCTCTATTTTTTAGACGTAATCACAGACAAGGCTTAAGTAGGTTGTTTTTCTATGTTTACCTTTAGCGCTCCTCGATGACATCACATCATTGATGCTTCCATGAACCACCGTTGTTTGCTTCTTGCAACCATCTACTGTCAACAACACAAGAGTTTTACAACGTTACATCCTGTGTCATGGATTCATTGCCTCTCGATATTTCTCATCCCGCAGTGAGGGATTACCTGTCCCTTGTGAGGTGTGTATCGTATCTCAGCCCCTCTGGACCACAATGGTAATGAATTAGTTGCACAGGCTGCAGGTCCTCACTCCTTTGTCACTTCTGATAAACATCGCGGCACTAGTTGTGTGCTCGGTTATTGTCAAGCCTTCAGTCGGCGAGCATCCTACTTATGCTTCGTTACTTTTGGAGTTCTCATTCCGTTGGTGTTTAGGGTCCATCATCAAGTTGCACCCTACATCAATATCTCCTTCACCAAGCCTCATCGCCGCTTATGTAGTCGCTATTTTTCTTGGACAAATAGGCTACTGCATATTGCTTGTCATGGCCAGGAAGCCGGAGACGAAGGTGAGCAACGCATTGTCTATGAGTGCTTGAGGCGTTCTTAGCATACTACAGACAACGCTTGTGAAGGGAGTTGGGCTTTCCCTCGTTTTTGCAAACTGGTTGATGGCTCTTTGGGTCATAACTTGGGTACGTTGTACATATACTTGATATAGAGAACCTTGAACCAATCCGCTATGCGCGAACAGGTCCTTGAGTTTTTCTTGCTCTCCACGATACTTCTTGGGTTTCTCGTTCTATGTTTATTGTATTCGAACATCACGCTTCTCATATATCATCCGCCCACGTACTCCCGCCCTCTTGACATGGCGCTGATTCACGCCCCACTACGTTTCTTCCTCGTTCTTCCTCTATCATTGCTGTTTCCCTATTCACTATTGTAGGCGTTTTGTCTTTGAAGGTGAGAGAAGTTGCATAACTGATTGTATATACCTTTCAGCATTACATTGGGGTTGTTCTACTCGCCCGGCAACCCCGAAGATTACGGAAGTTTTGCGTGGCCTGGGTTTGGAGTCACATTTGGTGCAAATCTCGTCGGCCTGATCGTAATACTGATGCACCGTGATGTTGTGTGGGCTGTCGCAGCTACTTGGATTTGTGCAAGTATATGGAGCGCGAGGCCAAAACCTGCACCTGTTTATGTGAGCCGAATTATATGACATTCTTGCTTGATTTTTGACTTTTTATTTAGATTACCGTTATTTTGTTCACGGTACTTCACCCCCTGGCCCTCCTTGGAACACTCCTCTACCGCCGACTTACCAATCGAGAAGGGAGAATTGCACTACCCAATGATGAAGAACATGATACAGCATCATCGGGTAGGCGTGGACCGCGAGAGGTGGATGCTGAAGTTCTCTGGGGTTCTAGCTGAGTAGTGAGTAGGACTTTTTTTTCTTCTTGGTCAGGACGCTATGTGATCGTTGCGTTTGGTTTCATTCCTGTTGGATTACATACATACTGCATACAAAGGGCAAACTGGTAGCGAGGCAATACTTACGAGAGCATTTGGCCGCACGTGATCGAGATGGTAGTCTAGACCGTCTGGCGTCACAACGTTGCTAGTCACCAACGTGAACCGCAGTTCTATCACCATCATTGATAACGATAAAGCAACGCGCCCACTTCCACCATGGCTGAAAAAGCAAGACCAATCATCCGTGCATTGCTCATAGACATTTCTGGCACACTGATGATTGGATCGATGCCCACGCATCGAGCTGTTCAAGCTCTTGCTGAGTTGCGGCGCGCTCGGTTCCCCTTCAGGTTTTGTAGCAACACCAGCAAAGAATCTACCTCAGTCCTTCAGAAGAAGATGCTAGATGCTGGATTTGACGTGCAAATAGGTGAATCGCAAGAACTGTGGACCAGCCTTAAGGCGGTACGGAATCTTATCCGGACAAGGGGTCTCAGAAGGTAGCGATCAATCCTGGTATGCAACTACTTGAAGCTGAAGCCGTTTCAAGGCCGTATTTCCTCTTGTCCTGAGTCCGCTAAAGATGAATGCATTTCCGCAGGACTGTACGATCCTAACGTCCCCTATGACGCGGTAATTGTTGGCTTGGCTCCTACGTTCTTCAACTATGATCATCTCAACTCCGTATTTCGCATCCTTGTTGGGGAACATGATTCGCAGAAGCGGTGCAATGAGGATCCGAAACCATCGATTCCCCTCATCGCCTTACACAAAGCCAGATTCATAGAATCCTCGGGCCGTGGGCTTGCGCTTGGTCCAGGACCATTTGTCGCCGCTCTGGAAAATGCTACTGGAAAAGAAGCCGAGGTGCTTGGAAAGCCGAGTAAAGCTTTCTTCCAAACGGTGATTGAGAGCCTCGATTGCGAGGTTGACGGTCCTGACGAATGCATTGCGGTGATCGGCGACGATATTCAAACAGACCTTGGGGGCGGCGCCATGGACCTACGTCTATGGAGGATCTTAGGTACTGACTTGAGCAAGTTGCCGTGCCAAGAGTTGATTAATGTGGATTCCCAGTGAAGACAGGAAAATACCGAGCAGGGGATGAATCCAAGGATGGTGTCCATCCTCCCGATGAAGTCTGTGATTCGTTCGCAGATTTTGTGGACAGCTTATTGTCTGCTCATGACGCAGGACCTTCGAAAGAGTAATTCTAGTGCTCTTTCCCTTTAAATAGAAAGTGTACCGCTCCTGCTTTGCTAACGCGGTACCGATGATGCCTAGATCAGAAGTGCTAAATGTGTTTCTAGTGTCAGTTACCAGGCCGAGCACATGGTCTCGCATGGTTCAATGATGGTTTTCCCACTGATTTTATTTTATTTTTTTGGGATGGGATTCTGCAAGGTTTTCATCGCTAGCTGTTGTCGGTATTGGCAACTGTTTGATCGATAACGCAATTAAAGACTTAATGCAGTGAAAATCCGGCCATCCAACCGGCGGCAAGCATGTGCCCTGTCGATCTCAACGGCGAGTTCCCACAATAGTAAGAGAATATTAAACATAGCAGGACTAAGAAGGAAAGCCACCGCGCCAATCCGAAAATCAGTGTCACAGTTGCGGGCATAGTTAATTTATAGACAAGCGGATCGGTTTATTTTCGGCGGTGGCCATCATCCTATTAATCCACCATGAATCCACCGTGCAACCCCCATGACCAAGAGTCCGCTTGGAGCGCTAGTAGATCGGAAGCTACGATTTTACATCCGACGTGTGCGTAGGACCGCGGATAAAATCCACTGGGGGACATCTACTTTGTTGTTGACACAGACTCTATCGTTAGTATTTACCCTGTGGTGTGCAAACTCTATGTCCACGGATGTAAGAGGACAGTATCACCTCGGAGAGGGTTGGCGCAAGTCATGTGGACGTAAATGGTGATGAAAGGTGACCACGATCTGTGGCCACTGTCAAATAAATGTATTAAGAGTGAGTCACTGTAGAACCGAAGGGGTGCAGGTGAGGACCAGTACCATCGTGCGAGAGTGGCCTGTATAGGTATAGCAGAAATGAAGACACGTACTGTAGAAAAATTGCGTTAGGTGTGCTGTGAGAAGGGGGAGGTATTAGCGGGCCATTTCAGGAATGAGAATCAGGATAGGTGTTGTACATTCTCAGCTGACGATAAGATCGGCGGATAAGTACATAAGTAAGGAGATTGAGAGAGAAGGTATATGCGGAGATCAGAGATCAAAAAGGGGAAAGGATCATCGTATATAATAATGCGGTAAGTAAGGTGCGGTAAGGCGGATTTACGAAATTAGCGACCGGCGGCCGATTTAATATGGAATGAACAAGTCTGAAAATGACAAGATTTTCAGGAGGGAATTGAAAGAGCTGAGACATGATATTTTCTCCTAGTAGTGGATGATATTGAACATCTATTAGTACTACCGAGTTGATGAGATCGGGAAATCCGAGGGACGTACCAAGCACGGTCACGGGAGGTTCCAGAGCTATGCAATACTATATGAAAAGTATGAGTCATGATACTAAAATCGGATGTAGTTGTACTACCACATGTAGACATGGTCAACCGCGCTTGCTAGTGAGCTGCCATCTCGTGGCCTATGCTAGTAGTACACGAGTACTTTGCGTGTGTTGGTTAGAATGTTCAGGGTAAAGTGTACGCGATATGTCGGAGGATGTAATCGGTTCGGTTCTATTTCCCTATTCTGTAGATGACAAGGCTAATCTTTCACTCCAGATCCCGTTCGCTTCAACGTTTCTTTATTATTATCTTATCGATATATACACAATATTTTATTGTAAACGGTATTTTCTATGAATCCCGAAAACTGATCCTGAATTCTAGGATTCACTATTCCTGCTGCGTCCACGGTGATGTCCATTACAACAAGCTAATCCTCGGCGCTCGCATCAAAGGGCGCTCGGCCCTTCTTTAGAACACCGCATTTCATCACCCATTTCAGGTTCTTCCCTCATTCGTTTATATATAAATATGGCCTCAAATCCTTTTAGCCCCCAAAGCCCACAGCAGGTGCAACCACCCTTGACTGCGCATCCGCTCGCCCTCGCAGTCTTTAAAGACCCTAACAATCAAATCATGTCCCACCAGAGTGTACCACTCCCTAGCATACGCGACATCTTCCCCGGTACCCCACTTTCTTATTCTCTAGTTTTATAACCCACTCACTCTTCTCCGATGTCTAGAAATTTCCATTCGGACACAGACTTTGTCTCAGGACTCTGATTTATCACTAACTTCTGTGAGGATACCGACCTTAGCTTTACACGGTCGATCTTAGCTCATACTCTTAATTATTCACCAGGATCAAATCCGCCGCGGCAGTATAGCTCGTCACCGCGGTCCAAAACCGTATCGTCCGGTTGATTCGGCACTAGAACATACATCCTCCGTCATTCGTAGTCTCCCATCTCCACCCCCATCTAGCTCCAGTTCAGAGTCTGCCCCGAATCGTCAATTATCATATCGTACACCACAGGGTTTAGACACTCTTCCAACTGCCGCTAGTTATTCCTTCAATGTCCTTCGTGCTGACCCTGTCACTTCCTCACTCGAGCATGTCGCTTCTAGCACTAAGTTGCGTAGTCGCGGATCATCATCCTCTCAGGGAAATCCAGGGGCGGGGATCGCTAATGGATCGACACCAGCTTTCCGCGTTTCTATGACTTCCTTTGTTCCCCCTCGGCAGTCACAACAACGCCATAAACACAGATCACCTGATGCTGTATATGCTCCCCAAAGCCCACGGAACGATGCCTTCAAGGTCCCTAGTCCAACCCAACATCTTCAAGACACCAGACCACAGCCTTCGTCTTCCGTCTTGTCCTTTTCTGTATCAGACCCTCCTAATTCTGCATCCACTGTCATGACAAATGACGGAAGGAGACCATACCTAAAATCATCTGACCACCTAAGCACGATGCTGCACGGAGAAGGGCGCGGTAAGAAGCACCAGTGTCCTCATTGCGGCAAGCGCTTCAATCGCCCCAGCAGTATGAAGATCCACGTAAACACGCACACGGGAGCAAAACGTACGTTTATATCTGATTATCTCGGCGTCGTCCGTCTTAAAGACAAATCGTGTTTGCCTCGTTGCATCACTTCTTCATTCGTCCGCAACGCCCCACGAAGACACAAGCTGACATCCACTTATAGCATATCAGTGCCCATATCCAGGCTGTGGCCGCGAATTTAATGTCAACTCCAACATGCGTCGCCATTGGCGAAATCACACGAGACTGTCTGCGGGCCATTTGGCTGACATGGATGGGCGTGGTCCATGTGACCAATCGCCGTTCCCTTCGGATAGGTTGGGGCACGGTCAATCGCTAGCCTCGCCACCCGCAACAGACTCGGAAGAATCAGATGACGATCTTTCTGACGACGATTCCCACTACGCAATGGATGTGTACGAGGGCTGCAGTAAAGAATTCAAGGAGGTTAATCATCGTGGTGGATCAGGGTCGCACAGAAACTCGTTTTGGTCGCGATCGCCTTCCCCAACCCGAAGAACTTCCACTTATAGTTATCCCCGCCCACGTCCGCCTTCTCATCTCGGCCCGTCGCCACCGCACGCCACAGAGTACCTTTATAGACCATCAAACCCAGCCTACGTTCGCTCTTGCACAGATTCACGGGTTTCCACAGCTCTACGACCTGCATTCCCGTGTGACACGTCGGGTCGCGCCGTCGGAAGGCACAATGGTGTCTTGACTCGTTCGTAATATTTTAGATTGGCATATTTCTTGTTTCTCGTTGGTCGCCGCCCATGCTCACTACATACCAACACGTGTATCACTTGATATCACCACCATCATGTAGCATTTATCTTGGATTGCAAACAAAGTTCACTAGTTTCATTTGACCGCGTGTTACATGACAGATAGTACACATTACAAACGTAGGTAGTAGTAAGCATCAGGAAGCGCAGCACCACCAACGTGGTAGCTACCAAAGCTGTTGCCTATTCGCCCTCCTTTGCTCCGCTTGGATTGCCGGTGTCTGCTCCTCGTCCAAAAATCCAACAACATCGTCAAACTGCTCTGCTTCGTCCACGGCGAGCTTGTCCTCTTCTGTCCAACCATGCCATAATTCCGTGCCTTCGTCGCACGGCTCATCATCGGTGGGAGGCGTATCGATCGAGGGGTCAGTGGCGTCTCCGCCCCTGGACGTACAGTCATCCACAACGTCATCATCTGGCTCCATTCCCGGGAACACCACATCTTCATCATGCTCATCAAACTCCAGAGGAACAGATGCCGAGACTCTACTTTCTGGTCGAGAAACAAGCTGTGGAGAACGAACTCGATTGATCTCCCTTCGGATGCGACCAAAGCTTTCCCCGACGCCCTCGGTGATGTTCGACGTCATGGCGCGGATGGGAATGGGGTTCTTGAAGGACCGTGGTTTCAGACCTGGCGCCCCGTTCGGAAGCATGGGGATAACAGACCGAGATGAACGTGGGTAGTCCATATCGGCAGATATAGCAGATGCGATTGGTTCGTCAAAGGAAGATGCCGTTCGTCCCATATCGCGGGGAGAGAACCCCTCGACAAAGGACTCTCCAGTGCCTGCAGAATATGCACTAACTTCGACCTCCTTGCGCACTTCGATCTTGGTCCCTGTCATGTCTAGTTGATGGCGGCGAATGAGAGCGTGGTAATCTTCACCCAAAGTGCAAAAGCTGAATTGGTGAGCGAGATAGATGCAACGAGGTACCAAACTCGGTGATCTGGAACATGTAGACAGCTCCGCGTGTGCAAGGGAGCTAACACTGATACAATCCGCGTTAGAATCTGAGTGACTTGTTGATAGAAGGGCATACTTGGCATTGTGCGTTCGTCCCGGAGATCTTGCGCTCAAATGTTGCACGTGTTTAACTTCGCTCCAATCTCGGTGCCGTCTGAGCTGCCAAGTAGCGATCATAGTGTCCCGCCCATGTAATTCGCTAGCTGCTTCCAACATCATCTGGGTTAGACCAGAAGTCTTTGTCGATGTGATGCCACGATTCTGTGGCGATGAGCTGAGACGACCAGTGGTGCCTGTTCCGGGAAGTGACATGCTCGTCGGCAAGTTGGCCAATGAATACGAAAACGTGCCCGCATCCCGAGGACGCTGTTCAAGCATGACACGTCTCAAAGATAGCACACCATCGGAAGGATCAAATAGAAGAAGATCCTGGAAGTTGGCTGTCTTTCGCGTCCGAAGCGGAGAAGGCAGGTCAGATCGACTTGAGGACGTGCTGGGAGATGAAGTAATGGCAGAAGGTGGAGGCTGAAGGCTGGTAGGCAGTGGCGTGTCACTTGGAAGGAACGTAAAGGTGATTCCCGGCCAGACGCCGCTATGAGCGGACAGCTTGACGGATCTGAGACGCACAAGCGATGACAATTCAACCGATAATGGCTGCTAATACAATTTATGGGCCAAACCGAACAGGTCAGGAAGAGAAAGATTGCTTACGGCTTCGTTTGTATTCCGAACCCTGTTCTCCATATGGCTGCGCAAGTCAGGCTTACCGCCATATGGATTGATAGCAAAGACGTGAACTGTCGGTCTCTTAGTCCCGACAGCAACCCACCGCCCGTCCGGCGAAACCTCTATCTCATCAATGATGGCGCTTGTTCGACCTCTGCGTAGATTGTACATGTGCCATGGTGAACTCGGTTCGGCATTGGACTGTCGACCGACGAGTGCGGTTTCACGCTCGCCAGAATACTTCTTGGAGTCGACAGGGAGTAAAACACTAGGCGTAGGCCGGATCTGGAAGGTGCGAACAACTTGACCATCCCTAGGAGATACGAGCAAGGAGTTCCCATCAGGAGTAAACTTGAGAGCAGAGAAGGGCTGGTGCTTAAATGCGATGAATTCGGAAATGGTGCGTACGGACGGATTGTCTCTGGCCAAGAGGGAAGCCAGATCCAGTACTGTAATATGATGGCCCGGGGATAGGGTCGACGAATCTGCCTCCTCTTGTCGGTCTTGGGTATTTGGAAACAGCGCCGCCGATGGAGACGTAACTTCGCTCGTGTCTGCATGACCGCTGGTTGCCGCAGGAGCACTCCGTGAAAAGAAGAGGTTACTGACGCCACTCATCACTGATGACTGCCCCTGAGCAACGCGCGACTGATCTCCTCCCGCGCCCGCGCGAGATTTCGCATACTCCGCAGCAGCGGAATATGCCATTCCACCAAGGGACTTCACCCCGCTGAGGACGGTTCCCCCGACCTTGAGCGCAGTGGCATGAGATATTCCTAGGGTACTTGACGGGGAGCGGAGGTGCGTACGAGGCTGAGAAACGGCTCCGGCATGAGAGTCTGCTCTAGGGGGTGGGGAAGCATATGCCAAGATGCGATGAGAAAGGGCAAAGATAGGGACGGGGTGATCGTGAGAAGCGTTGTTAGTGTTGATGGAGTCTATCGCTGATAATGATACAGTGTTATTGGTATTGGCTTTATATGGAATTGATGATTGGGTGTAAGAATGAATAATAGCGAGAGAAGAAATAGTATGTAGCTCTGTAAAGGATGCTGAAGAAAGAATGTGTAGAGTTGGTGGATTTGTGGTACTCTGTCGTTCGTTAGTGAGCAAAGTCCGGTCAGTAGACAAGGTAAACACTTACGATAACAATGAAGTGTACACTTGAAGCAAAGGTTGACACATTATGAAACGGAAGATGCTTGATGACCTTGTGGGCCCGCAATGAATAAATAGACATCGTTGACTGATCTTTCGACCTAGAGCTGCACGTTCCGTTGATCAGAGGTGTATGTTATGTACTTAGCAGAAACTTGACGCACACTACACCAATCAAGGACCCGGAACTGTCAGAGTCACGCTCCCTAGAGGAGTGCGGGGTTGCAAGCACACCAGCAAAGGCAATAGACCCAAAAGGATAATCAGTAAGATTCAGAATCTCGGACACTGATCCCAGGATTGTGCAGTCCCAAATCTGAAGACCATTGGTATAGCCAAGGATAAGTATACGCCTGAATGATGACACATCTGTTACAATACCGTCTTGGCCTGAGACAATTGACGTACCGAGGTCGCGAACCATTCTCAATGAGGGTGTCCCAACGGGACCACATAATGGAGTCGCCTTCGGCAGCCGTAGGATAAGTCGTCAGGGGCTGGTCCGAGAATGTAGTTTCAGAGTCCTCGTCCTCAGAACCGAATATAGCAGGTTCATTGACGTCAGCTGAATCAAGTTGACCACCTGTTCTCATTCTCCAGGTCGACCGATTTCCGTCTATGCCAGTACCAAGAGGTTTTCTGGCCGTTGGGGAAACGATGGGTATCTTGGGACCTGGTGGAGACAGACTTGAGGGACCAGGAGGGGCCATGAAGCTACCGAAAGAAACAGGTTTCGATACCCGCGGCGGAGAGGGAGCAGAGGCAGGAACAGGAATGGAAGTCGGCACATAATTGCGCACAGTACGGGAGAAGGTTTCAAGCATGGTTGGTTCTCTAGAAGTATACAATCTCAGCTCTTTTGCCTTTTGTGTCTAATGAAAGAAAGGAGTCGGGGAAAATGAATGAGAAGTCAATGTATGGAATATAGGCGCACGTGGGTGTTTGCTGTGCTTGTCGATGGAATGTGTTAGGACACAGGAAAGTTGATGGGGGCATTAAGCGAGGATATAGTGTGACATGAAAGACAACACTAGGCCACGCCTTGCATTTCCTTCAAGTATGAAAGAGCTGCGGTGCCCCAAAATGTTCCGGTACAGACAAAGAAAGTGAAAGGGCTCACCGGGCAAGCACAGGAGATCGCGTGTGGCCAAGCGTTACTTGCTGAGATGTAAAATTGTCTTCTATTGGGGGAAGCTTAATAACATCTGAGCGCACAGGCGAAGGACGAGACTCTGGGGTTGCCAGAAGAAGGCCACCCTCATGTTTGATGGGTGAAATTTCGTCTTCTAATGCTACCACTGGAGGAAGGTCGAGTTGAATTTGAATAGTAGGATCAGGTGGTTCGTCTAGTTCGAGAACTAGAGGAGACTGTTCTGGAGACCAACTTGAAGTTGGAGAAGGAGAGTCGATAGGGAGGAGAGCTGGAGAGTAATTAGCAGGAGGACGAGCTGATTGACGGGTTGCATTTCGGTTCTTCCTCGATGGCATTAAGAGATGTGAAAGAAATAGTCCTCAGAAATGCTTTAGAAGATAGATAAGCAATGAAGTATGGACGGAGGTGGCGGCTTGGATGTCTTCAATGTTCTTGTAAATGAATGCAAGAACTAAATCAAAGATATACCAGAGATATATGAAAGAATATAAGAAATGAGTATAGTTCGAGAAAGACACTTGTTGTTGTTGATGGTGGCTTCAATGTACAGGAGAAGCGGATACCCTTCTTACCCAGAACCTGACACGAGTCACTATACCTGACTTTGCCTTTTCTGGTTCTGACGCCATGTACTGGTCCCGGGACTACCCGTCATTTACATTCGGTCCACGCGTGACTAAGTACCCTTGCTCAGTCGATGAGCTCGTCTGTTACTCCAAGTCGTCGTTCTACCTTTTCACAGCTTCTGCGCTCGTATGCTTATACTCCAATTGATCCTTCACCAAAGAGGAAACGTGCTCTCACCTTACCTGGAGATAGTGATACCCTTCCAGCTACTAGCAAAAAGCCTCGGGCTTCGAAGAAGGTATCTGAGCAGCATGTCTCTCATCCAACAGCAGGCCAATCCAAGCGTCCCAGGAGTAAATCCGCAGCTACCGGTCAGCAGGTTCACGCAGGAGAGACTTCTATCTCAGGCAAGAGTGTTTCTGCCAGTGAACGCAGGCGCAGCGGTCCTCGCAAACTGCTTGATGCAGTAGAAATTGTTGTCAAGTCTGAGCATGCAGACCCACCGCTGTTGATGCGTGACGAATTAGTAAAGGTGCGGAAGAGGGCGAACAAGAAGCGCAAGCTCCAACCTACTTGTGTCCGTTGATGCTTCTCGTCAAACGCACCAGCCTCTCGCAAAGGACGATGTATGTGTCGAGCCACCAGACGTGGAGATGAAGATTCCAATCACCAGATGCTACCTGACGCCTATGCCTGGTGAAGTGCGGTCTACAATCCCTACCATGACACCCTCTTCCCAACCTCGAAAACGTCGCAAGGTCGAGACTCCTATCGTATCACTCCTCCAGTCTACCACTTTAACCAGTAAATCAAAGACGATAAAAAAGGTGTCTACGCAAACAGACGTCATCCATAGAACCAGCCCAGATACCACCACCCCGATAACTTCGAAATATTTTTCTAATGTCACACAACTTGGCAAGTCATGGGTGCCTTCTTTTTTTCCGTCGGAGGACCTCTTCACACACAAGAATATGTCCGCGTTTCCGACTTACCATCAAGATCTTTTCAACGATCTCATTGGATACATCGCAAATGCCAAGCCGATCTTGATACAAGGTGCTTCTTTCGCGATGTCTCTTACCAGTATTTTTGATCTGTCCTGACTTATCATTTCAGAAGCTGTTTCTGATAATCCATGGCAGCTCTTGATCGCCGTAAAGCTACTGAACGTGACTACTGGTCGATACGCTATTCCTGTCTTTTGGAAGCTCATAAACCATTGGCAAACTCCTCGGGACATGATCGAGGGTAGGCTCGATATTCCAAACTCTAGTATGAATTCTGAATTCGTAACAAGCTGATAATGACGAGCTCGTGAATATTCTACGTCCACTGGGCCTTTACAACAAACGGGCAGCATGGCTAAAGGAGATGTCCCAACGATATCTAGATGATCCTCCTACCGACGTTCTTCGTCCATCCAACTGTCGCGTAGAAATTCCTGCAAGACGTAAAATCACCGCTCCGACCTATGTGAATCCGAGAAAACGTAAAAGTCCTGGATCCGCGAAAAGGACCCGCAAAACGACCATACCATATCCGCCCACGCCCGTCTCACATTATCCAGGCGTGGGCCGGTACGCCCTGGATTCGTACCGAATATTCTGCACGAGCTACGAGAGCGAAGAGTGGAAAGAGGTCATGCCTGAAGACAAGGAACTGATCCGATATCTGGTGGGTCATCTTTCTATCACCACGTGGCTGACTTCACCTGATCTGTATTTATCTACAGCGATGGAAGTGGGCCTATGATGAGAGGAAGATATGGTATCCTGATGGCGTCGGCGTCGTTAAAGATGTCGACATCCCTTATCTGCTCATCCTGGTGGATGAGTTAATGGAAGAACTTGAGCCTGATGAATTTTGGGGCCCGAAAGATTTTATTAACGGCTGAATGAGTGATGGTGTGATAGAGATGAGTTGATTCGTTGCTGTATATTTTGCTTAATCTAGTGTATAGGGTACAGCTACTTATTGTATATTCACATAGTCTTCGGAACGCGAACAGGGATGATGATAAGGGATGATAGCAAGCGAAAGTAAAACGCAATACAGCCGTAAACGAATTTCTTCCGCAATGGCGCGATGTCGTATCTGGCCGAGTGGCGACACTGTCACGCTGCTGGCAAAGACAACACTGCCAAGCTGTCGCTGACAGCCGACGCCGCTGCCAGACCCTTCTCTGAGGACTCAAGAGCCCGACGAGCTCAGGGCCTTGTCACATCGGGATTACTTCGCCGAGGAAATAAAAAGGCGAGAGCGCATTTCAATTACAAATCGAACAGATAAGAACAAAATGAAAATCCACGACATCCCAATTAATCAACAAACTATCATTAATTTACGAATGAACGAGGATTGGTCGACTGATCTCGAGCCCCCCCTAATCCAAGCGTGAGTCGATTTTGCGAGTCGGAAGAGGGTACGCCAGTAATACACAGTTCGCTGGAAGATCGCCTGCCCGTTAAGTCTCGTCGATATGATCTCTCATTGGATATCTCAATTTAGGACCTAGGTTTCCCGGGAACTCTGCATTAGGAGTCCTTGGAAAGGAAATGGGTAGACGACGCTGCCTGAGATGTTCAGGGGGTGGTGGAAAGCACGAGGTAGTCCTGGGACGTGGCGCACAAACTTGCTAACACGCGCAGGACACGAGGCTCTTCGACACAGATTTGTCTCAGAGCGTGTAAGATCGAGGACATGCACGACGTGCGAGACGATGGCAGTGGAGCGCTCAGGACCGCAGTCATAACGGAAGCCTATCGCGGGGGGCCGGGGCCATCTGCTTGGGCTGCATATGCGTTGGCATGAAACTGCATGTCATGATTTTTCGCTGTTTGATTACTTCGTTCAGCTGAGCGTGACTCGTGATATCATAACATCGCATAGGGATGTCAAGGATACACGGAAATCTATCAGATCTCGTGATAATCCGAGTCATCGGCTGGAGCTTGATACTTTGCTTTGGAATCAAACTGCATTCGATAATCTTTTTAGCTGTTCACTTACTGCGTTCAGCGGTGTGGTACGACTTGTCAAATCCTGATTTCGTCAAAGAGGGATGACAAAGAACAGACATTGATGATATCAGTAGATCTTCTGATCGTCGTCATCATCATCATCATCATCATCATCATCCAAGAACCTGTGAACCAGACCAAAAAAACTAATCCAAAAATCGACTACCGCGCCCTTGACCTGGGGTTAATCAAAATTCAGCGACCGTAGAACAAACAAGCAACCGAAGAAACAACGACTAACCGAGAAGTACCCGCCTCGTAATTACGCCCTCCCGCGAATACGGCCTAAAATGGTGTTGCATCTAAACTGGCGGATATGCAGCGGCCGAATAATGAATCACGAGAACAAGAACAAGGCGCAAAAACGCCCCATCGAGGACAATAATGTCAAAACAATAGTCAAGTCAGGGAGAACCAAAGATGTAAAAGGAAGTTTCAATGGATGAAGTGGCCTATTAGGAGCGTTGCAACCGAGTACCAGTAAGGCAGGCGAAGGCGGGACGAGTCTCATCGCTAGGACTGCCATCACGGATCTCTGTCACTTGGCAAGGTTCGCGGCTAGCCGCTAGAGCCCCTTTCGCTTCGACAGGGGATGCTGTCTCTTTATGGCGTAGGTATGGCAGCTGAGATGTCCAGAAGTGACCTCTGGGAAAGCCAGTGACGAAATGCCAGCGAATACGATGATGCTAGGCGGGATACTCGGCTCGCATCCCTGTCGAAGTCCAACCCCTTTCCCATTCCACCATAGTTTGTTACAAAAAAACAACGGACAGTGGCGTTCCGTCACTCGAGACGTTAAAGTTCGAGTTCTGGAGAAGCAATCATATACGCCTCGATCGGGCAGGACTGACCTTCAGCCGAGCTTCTACATTCGGCGATGATCGTGTTAGAAAAACTATCGGGAGGACGGGTTCTTGACATCCGGAGGTCACTTGATGAGGGCTGTATTACTTGACGTTTCGATGTCTTCGGAGGTGTTCTATGTTCTCGAGTTCTGGTGAGAGACCAGTGGACAACTTGAAAACATGATGGATAGAATTAAATCTTGATCATTCGTAGAAAACTTGATGGAGCTCTGGATCCCATTTTCTTTAAAAACATTTCCTCGTTTCAGCCAAGCCAGCCAGATAAATCGTCCACGAATCGTCCAGCACCAACGCACCACACGCGCAGCCACAGTTGATCAGATAACACAGAAGCAGACGAGCGGTGGGAAGTAACACCGCACGAGCGCCCATCCCCACGGGCCACGGCCCAGGTGACGTACATGCGCCGAACACGAGGCAAACGACGTCACGCCGAAGTCCCAGCCCAGAACAAAATCCGCACGGTGGCAGGTCGGATTATAAATTCAACAAACCAAAAACAACGCCCGATGCGTGGTCTGATAACGAGTCCTTCCACAAGAAGTAATGAATCATTCTGAGCGTTGAATTATAAGAAGTCCGGTATGAAACGTGATACATGCGGTGTCTGGATTATGAACTTACTTATGTCATTGGCAGTGATGGGAGGCGTGAGTTAAGATGAAGCCTTGGGGTAGTTGCATATAGCTTGGGCTCCACGGCGCACCGAAAGCGGGCAAGCGTTGTCTCAGCGTTCTATTACTTTTGTGCAACGCGCGTGCGGCGATGCAGCAATGATGTGCGTGGCTGCCTGGGCTTGCCGAGATCGGAGAGAAAACGGGTTTGCTGTGAGGCAAACAGGATCGAAAAGGCGAGTCTGAGGTGTGTTGCGCAACTTGGATAGCTTGATGCTGTATGTAGATAGAAGGCACAGGAAGTGCAGCTGGGAGCGAGTGGATGGATTTGGTGAGCTCCGGGATCCTCGATCGAGCTTAGGGGTCATGTGCCGTGCCGTAGTGGGTCCACGATAATGTTCGCGGCTGAGATTGTTGTTTTTAGACGTAGAGGTTTGGGGGTGGAAGGTACGTATAACGTACACATAGTGAGACTACACATGGTCAACGCTATTGAATGTCATCAAGTCTGCCCCACAAAAAGTCTAAACGTCGAGATCAAAACTTTGGAGCAATAGCGACCGCTTCTAAAACCCTGCACTTCAAATTCCATTCGAGCTGGACACGCATCATATCGAGGCCTGTCAAGAGAAGCCCGGACAAATAGATTGGAGTGGGATAATACGTCGAGACGAGCGTGGCTGCTAGGCGTGCGACCCCAAGGTAACTCCACATGTCTCTAAATGAAATCATAACGTTTCGTAATTCCTCGGGTTGATTGAGCGCCAGAGTATCTCGAGGCACACAGTAGCAAAAATCAGAGAAGTAGCGACGACGTCGGAGGCTTGGTAGTACATCCAGTGCGTGCGCTTGCGCTCGGGGTGCACTGCCCATGAATAATCCAAGTCAGCTGAGAAACGCCTGTTTAAGTTATATTGTCATGCGCTCACATCGTGATTGTGGTGTGTTATTATCAGTGTTGAGGCGTCAAGATCGGCGAAGGCATTGTTATCAGAAAATCATCTAGGGCAGAGATCGGATACCGGTTGGCACTGTGCGTGTCGGTGTGTCATCAAGTTGTGGATGGTGTCCATGACCGCGGTGCCGTTGAGGTCGCGTATTTGAGTTCATTAGAGACGGGGTGTTGGAGGCCGCATCAACTATCGCCTAAATTCTGCTGTTCACATGCAGCACGCGCCCAAAATTACATTGGCATCTGAAAGCTGAACGTCCCTGAATTCTAGACAGTCTTCTGGCCTGGAGAGGTGGCAACTGCAAGATACAGCCGCTCATTCATCAGTATGCCATGCCACCAGAATCCAGTAAAATGGGGGTAAAAGCTGCGAGTGCAGGGTTGATTGAAAGTTCAGTGGAATGATCGTAAAAGCTGCAAGTGCAGTGTTAGTTGACGAGAAGTAGAAAATAACCCCATTTACTGCGGGAATCGATGCGACTCTAACTCGTTGGGTTTGTCTGCTGCATTCGGCTGCCGCTAGCCCCCTACACGTCGGGTGTAGCCATGGAATACAAAGCACATACGGCATTTCATATATTGAACGGAACGTAGATCGAAGGGCACAGTGAGATTCTATTGATTGTACTGAATGGCGTACATAGCGGAGAGAACGCAACGTCACCGGTATAATTCAGTGCAAGCTATGTAACTTGCCGAATCCGTAAAAAGGGATTAGAGCTGCGGGCTATGTAACCATCCTCGATGGCAGCACAAGTGATTGAATGTGTCGAGGAATACGTAACCCGAGGTTTGAGGACGGTGTACCGGCGAGAAAAAGAGTAGATGCAAATGTTATCGCCGACGAGCGGAGAATCGAAGCCAGAGTAAGTTCGGCGGCGTTGTATGTAGGGTATTACGGGGTGTCAAAATTACATGCGTTACGCAGGATCACCGTGACAGTAGAGTTACACAGCCGCCGATAAGTCGAGAACGGCATTCTGCAAAGAGGATGGTGAGCAACGTTCGTAGTTGAGGGAACCTCGAGGATGACACGAGCTATGAAAAATGAGTTTGGACATCATAGTTCTTGGCGTCTCGAGGACATGCGAATTAGGGAGGTTGTATGCTGTGCCGGTTGAAGGAAATGAAAATTCGGCTGAATATGAATGATGTCAACACTGGAAATTGAGCCCTGATGATGATGAAGTAGCATGCGGTGAAAACACTGGTAGAATCAAAAGTGGACATGAACGGACCGCTGAGGGTAGTAACGCTGGATACGACCCTGTACGAATGAGGATTGGAAAAGAATAACTTATTGATGAGACGCCAGGCACAGGATGTGACGAATTGGGAGTGAGGAAAAAGGAAGTTGAATGGGAAAGCGAAGAGGGGGGGGATAGCAGCAGGTCAAAAACAAAGTTTAAGTTATTGAAGGGAAGAACTTCTGGAATTCGTCGGGCACGCTGCAGTGGTGCGGTGTCAATGTGTGATTCTCTTCTTAGTGGGTGAGATGGGCGGATTGATTATATTGGAATAAACGGACCGAACATCAAGGGCGGGTGTAAACATAGAACATACGTGGAAGCGGGATGGGCGGTGCGGGGCCTCGTGTATTGCCTCGTGTCATTGCCGAGGAAAGGAGAGCGAAGATCGGTTAAGATGAGAGACCGACGAGTAGGGGCGGGAAGAATCGGGAGTAGTGAGACTTACACGAGGCGGGATAGTACCGAAGAGCGCGGGAGGTAAGAGTAAGTAAGTAGTTAGTTAGATAGATAGATAGATAGATATGCATAGATATAGATATGTATAAAAGTATACAGAAGAGGAGATACGGGGGAAAGATTTATAATGGGGGCCGCGGTCGTGAGGTTCAATGAGCGCCGACACGAGGCAAGACCCCAGAGGCGCACGAATCGGCGGGATGAAATAAGTGATCGGGGTCCATGGCGTTAAAACTGAATTAGGTAAATGGGTTTTACTTTAAAAGGAAATGATGTGCGTCGGCAACGTTTGTTCTGGGAGTTGAGCGGGGGCATGATGCTATACCTACGCAAGATTAACCCGGCCGAGACTGCTACCGGGATAACAACTGTGAGAGGTGACAAGTGACCGTAAGTGTGACAGGGAAGTCGTGTTCACCGACAGTCTCTTATCAACCCAACTCAAATCCAATAATATGAATCCCATCATGCCCCACTAACGCGACACCCACCCACTAGCTATGTCTGTCTCACCACAACCTCCAATGAACTCCCCCACTCTACCATCTCCAAATGGAATTATAAATAATCATTCCAACGCTCAACTAGCAAATCTACTTCATCAAAGTTACTGCGACAACGACAGGCTCACAAAAGAATTAAACAATACAAAGAAACGTTCCGAAAAAGCAGAACGTCTACTCTCAGAATTTCAAGCTGCCACCGTTAACGGTGCTCCACTCACAGCAGAGGCACGCCGTGTCATCGAAGATGCTGAGGCACGTGTTGCCCATGCTGACAGACAAAGAGACGAGGCAGAAGCACGCAGACGCGTTGTTCTCGAGTCTTACGAAGAACTTAACAAATATCTCGCAGCCATCGAATCTCGAGCTGCAGATGCACGGGCTGGCTTTCAACGAATTCTAAGGGATGCAGGTGGTCATCTCGTCTTAACCCCAATCCCAAATCAAATTCAACAAGAGCCCATTCACACACCCTACTCTGCCAATCCTAGCATCACCGTAGAACCCCCACCACGTCCATATCATCGATCTCATCGCTACACTTCATCACTTAGTTCAACTGCTCTTCCTCCAGGTCCACTCCCCCCTCCCCCCTCCACTCGAGGAGTACGTCCTCGATCAGGAAGCTTCGATGACCCTTCTTATCTCATCGCACAAGTTCAGCCCCCTTCCAAACGACCACGCAATGACCGTGGTGAATATGACCACAGGCCCCCTCTCTCCGTAAGTTCCCCTTCCCTAGCACCTATCTATCTCCTCATATTCCCCAGGCTATCTCCATGTCCCGCGGTCGCGTTTCCGACCTCGATCCCCACCCTCAACAGCTTCCCCACATACAGCACCCCCAACACCCTAATCACCACCTCACCATCCATCCCACTCATAAATCTCACTCTCGCTCCAGCAGCCGCTCTAGTGTCCGTGCTACTTCACAGGACATCGAGGATCTCCTCCTCGACGCTGCTACTGATGAAAGGAGCGCTCTCAACTCACGTGACCAACAGCCACAGTCTCCCCGCGCAGTATTGGCTGCTCATCAGTCCAGAGGTATCCCCTGTAGGTCCATTGGATCAACCTGGCGAACTCAGGACTTATCAGACCCATATTTTTGCGCCCCCTGTAACGGGTGCCCCCCAAAAGAAGGGCAAACCAGGTTCCAGCGCAAATATCGGTGCGTACCTTTTTTTAATGACCGGACATCTTCCGCTGATGACGCAGTGCCAGCTCACAACGGATCCCCACTAACACCCCCCAATGCGATCGTCCCTACCATCGCACCAGTACCCCCGCCCGCTATCCCACCCACTACCTCCTTTCCCCCCACCAACGCTGTCGGCCAACGCATCTGCCGCCAATGTGGTTTACCAGGGCGCTACAAAGATAGCAAGTGCGTCGAAAAATGGGGCCCAGGGCCAGAAGGCCCCGGTACCGTATGCGACCGCTGCAGAAAAAAAATGAAGCGGGTCGAACGGCGGGGAACGACCGATGCCAATGTGGGTGGCAGTGGCAGCAGCGCCAGTGCCGCGCGATTGCACCGTACGGATACCATTCCTGTCGGTCCGATTGGTGGAACACAGAGACAGACGCAGACGCAGTCGCAGATCTTTACAGGCTCAGCCTCATTTATGGCGCCTTCTGCGCCTTTACAGGACAAGAAACGCGGTGGTGGATCTGCAAAGGACCGTGAACGAGAGAGGGATCGGAACCGAGAACCGCCCTCTCCACCTGCGATCGCTACTCTACAGACCACGGACGACGAAGATCCGGGACGACGACGACGGGGTGCGGTGTCTTCTGGTGGGTGAAACCTACTCCCTTCTATCACCCCCTAGTTGACACACGCCTCTCAGCGCAACACCTCCCTTCTCCCCACTCCGACCCTAACCCCGACACAGATCCAGACGCAGACGGTGAAGGTGATGCAGATGTAGACGCGGAATTGAGAGAAGCAGCTGATGCTGCTGCTGACCACCGCAGTTCGTCTTCGAACGGCATGAAAGAGGAGGACATAGAAGTTGGCGAGTAAGCACATGTCCATAACAGCGGAGGCCGAGAGAACTCGAAACAATTCGTGAATGCTCGACGGCGAGAGGATGAATGCTGATCTATTCATGCGTGGCTTTTTTGGTTCAATGCTTCCTTGATCGGCGGCGCCTCCTCACTCCGTGGACTCCGCTGCCTTTGCTATCTCGCTGTGGGCTCTCGCTATTGATTATCGTCTCATCCAATCTCTTCACATCTAATGCAAACAATCGAATCGGATTACCCTACAATTCCAATTTTACGTTTTCCTCTCATGATCGTCTCGCTGTCTGCTTGCTGTGTATCTTTTGTTTTGGTGCTCCGTTTTTCTTTTTCATCTTTCGTTTTTCGTTCGTGCGGTTTATCGTTTCGTGCTATCTGTATCAATTAAACCAGACCGTGTGGAGTTGATCAGTCCGCGTCAAGGCGACCAGTCCGTGTCGAGTCAGTCAGTTCGTGTCGAGTCAACATATCTTCATCGATCGACGATCGTCAAACCAGCCTCAAATAACGCAACTCTTGCCCCCGTGCTTCATCGACGCTTATGTGCTACGCTCTCGACTGCTCTTGATAACTTCATCCACCGTGCCACATACGCGTAAAGTAAGAGATGTAAATGTTGTTTATTTGATGCGTACGTTCGTGCGACGTCTGAGGGTTATGCTTGAACTTGACTATGTTGCACTAGGTGTAGTTATGGACGTGCTTCACCCTGGACCTCGTGGGTCCTACGTCGTTTCGAATCTCGATGAACTGCGAGTGTGTATTGATCAAGGTGCAGCACAATTTACAAAGAAGACCCTAGTATGTAGTAGTGCGCTACTGTAACATCATGTATACGTCTATGGACTGATAGGTTGTGCTGATCTGGGTCGGGGGGAATATCGACCTCGACCTGTTCTTCGCCAGGCCTGTTCGTCACAGAAGCAGCAAATAGCAGGTCCAGGAACAAGGTCATTCGGTTTCGTGACAATGGGCTTGTGGGTGTATTGACGGTGCATTAGAAATCGCGAATGCCAAGAAGCTGTTGGTCGTAAGATTGGATCGTACTCACGCCGTGTCTCACCGAACAAGTCATCCCTGGCTGAATCAGTTGGTCCCGTCATCAGGCGCCCTACCTTGCGGTGGATCAGACACATCACCGTGGTGAAGGTTAAAGCCTAGGCGACAGGTTGCTGTAAGTCACTGGTCGTACTGTGGGAAGTAAATACCCTGAAAGTAAACGTGAGAAACCCTGAATGACAAATCCCAGTGACTACGTCACTGAAAAAAAAACCCGTTATTTTCAGTGTTCACGTGAGAGTCACGTCCATCAGTACTTGTGACACTGACTAATCGAATTGATTTTTCAGTGTTCCCTTGGCCAGTGCTGCAAGTACTGAATAATTTCTTAATGTTCAATGCACTGCATTTCTCTATACTGCACATTCCATTGCATTGTTACAGACTTGATCCGCTCTATCACAGATCCTGAGCATCCCAGCTGTCTCGAAGAGCTCATACTGTGTGTCCTCAGAGCTCTGCCCACCTTGCCGTGTAACTCCCTTTGGTGTGCTGGGGGGTGAAAAGCATAAAAGGCAGAGCTGGTTTACCTCAGTCAGTACCACTGGGATCCCGCTCATTCCAGCTTTTTATTTTGTTCTTATTTTTCATGTTTTTATTCTATTCTGTTGAATCGGTAAGTCTCAATCTAGTATTTGCTCCTTTGCCTCCCCTCCTTACCATGAGGCTGGTATGGCCTGTTTTGCCCCAAGCAGAATGGTGGAGTATCATGCTGTTGTTCCCTCACCCATCACCAATTTTTTTTAGTTATATTTATTCATTGCACTAACGCACTTGACTCAGGCCAAATTGCAACATGCATGCAGCTGAAGCTCTCTCTTCTGGCATCTCACACCTGTCAACAACCTCTCTGTATCACTGACTCTCCTGGCATCTGAATATTGTAGGATATAGACCTACCATCACACTGTTGACGTTGACTCTGTTTGGTGACATAGTCCATTGCCATCCAGCCCTTGTTATTGGGCCACATTTTCAAGGCCATTGCACTCTGCACCAACGAGCAGCTCTGGGATGTGACAGAAGCTTTTGATCTTGCTTTCATAATTTCTGATTGTGATCCAATGACCATCCATCTTTTATTATTGATCAAGGTACTCTCCTAACTGCTTTTATAGTCAGTCTGTCATACTAATACTTCAATGTCATCTTGTCCAGGCTGTTGTACTTTTCAATGCCGGTCGCCATGATGAGGCGATGCAGTGAGTTCAAGACCTTGCCACCGCTTGTCATCACTTGGATACACTTCCGTGCAGTGTTATCAATGTGAGCTTTATGCCATACCTGATGGATTTTCTTACTTTCGAACACACTCTCCAGTCATATCTACGCCTGCAGCTTGCAATAATTGCTTTTGATGACGGGCAGGTACAGTGAAGCTGTCGATCAACTGAATGATATCACACCTAGTATAACCGACGTGTCCTCTCACTGAATGCCCTTTGAACCTACATTGAAGGTATTCACAGTGGTACATCATTATGAAGCCCACAGGACACTTAATGATTTGCTGCTTTACAGCTCTTTGGCTGGGACTTGAATTCACTATGGCAAAGTGCCAAACAAAGGAGGTGCAATGCACTCCTTCACGCTGATTGAGTGATCGAAGCGGTCAAATCTCACCAATACACTATGCGCATGACTGATGAGGATGTGAAGGACAGCTACCTCGCATGGTCCACTGGTGGGTACTTTGGTCCAAGACTTGCAAGGATGTGGCTGCCATACCCTACAAGTTTGTTAAGGATCAGATGGTAGTAAGCATTTATGGTTTTGCGATCATGAGTCGAACATTTGACAGGCTGCTGGCATTGCTCTAACGTCTTCAATGGGCAATACAGCTAACTCAACCTCTGTCTCCCACCGATTATGCACACTCGGGGCATTCCATGTATACACGTCAGCCATTTTGGCAGCTATCGCTTGAAGGATTTTCATCAGGTGAGTACACTTTGAATACATCTGATGTTGTACTCATTTTGACTATCGGTTTGCTATCCTTTCAGCTTCCTTATTCCCCTCTGGTATATTACTATCTATTTACCTGGTACAATATGTATACTCCTTACCATGCAATAGATCTACTCGTTAAAAGCATCGGACCACCGGTGACTACATTTCTTTCTTTGCAACTTCCTTGAGGCTATGTGTACTTGACCTGGAGTCTTGACGAGTTCAAAATTTCGGTTGCAATGATCACGTGACCATTAACACAACCAAACATTGGCTTCAGTTGATGCAAACAACACATAAATAACCCCTACTGCTTACCACTAACCATGCCTCGCACATGCACTAACAAGAAGCCTACTCCAGGAACCAAGAAGAAGTTCCAACCACTACAGAGGCAAGTCAATGCCAATGAGCGGGAGGTACAACATGTGATGTTACGGCTGTGCTTATCTTGCTTCTTTTTCCCTCGATCCACGCTTACTACACATGTCTCTTATCATGCTATATTTAGTTTGGTATTACTCAGACGCCTCATTGCTTATGCATGTGCTTACTGATACATACCTATTATTACGTCACACCCTGTACCCTGTATACTATATAAACCCTGGCCAGGTGACACTGATTCTTCAGCTTAACCTACACTGGTTTTCCTCTGAACATTCTGACTTGATTCTAAGTTACCTCTTCGGTACTTAGTCTTTACTTGAACTTGGACGTTCTTTAGACAGTTGTCTAGAACGTAGCGACAGACCTTTGGTCTTATTGGTTATTGCTTGCCTGCGTTATACTTCTGCATAACACATGATGCATAAGTCATGTTAGCATTACTAGTCAAGTGTTCTAACTGCAAAAAATCTAGGTGAGAAAGAAGCCCGCAAGAAACTTAAGGCCTGTCAGAAGAAGGGCGCAATTACACGTCCCTGTTAAGGTTGTGCTCAAGGGAAAGACAACTCAAGGGGCTTCAGGCTTCAGCTCATGCGCTGCACCCCTTACCCGAGTACGTGCCCTTAATTTCTGAGAGGCAGAGGGGAAGTCCAGAGGTCAGACGTAGGGGGAGTTCGGCAGAACTCCAGAAGGCTAGGAATGAATAGAGCAAGGCTACTACGGACAAGTCCGGAGTAGAAGTGGAACAGAGTTAGACTACCCTAAAGTAGAGCCGGAGATTTAGTCCTAAGGTTTTAACCCTAAGACTCGGTGTTAAGGTTGTGCTCAAGGGGGAGGTTACTCAAAGGGCTTTGGCTTCAGCTCGTGCGCTGCGCCCCTTACCTGAGTATGTGCCCTTAATTTCTGAGAGGCAGAAGTCTGATGGAAGTCCAGGAAGTCTGGAGGTCAGACGTCGGGGGGAGTTCGGCAGAACTCTGGAAGACCATGAGGGAATGGAGTAAGGCTACTATGGACAAGTCCGGAGTAGAAACAGAACAGAGGTTAGACTACCCTAAGGTAGAGCCGGAGATTTAGTCCTAAGGTTTAACCCCTAAGACTCGGAGGTAGACAAGAGATGAGACTCAAGTCCAGAGAAGCAGGAATGAGCAGAACTAAGATGATATTCGAACTGAGGAGTTCTGGAGTACTACAGGAGTTTATATACTGTAGGTATCATGTAAGTAAGTCAGTCAGCAAAGTAAGGGCTATGTACGAAGCATGTGGAAAGTCTATTAGTAAGTGTATACGGATCAAAGCAGTGAGGTCGGAAATGAAGTATGAACGGACAGATCAGTAAGCATAGCGGAAAGGATATAACCAGTAGCCTGGAGCAATAGCTATTCTAAAAGGAGATAAGGGTGAGTCCGGAGATGAGAGTGGAGCGCCAGGTGAAATTACAGAGCGGAGAACATGGACTTTACTGGAGTGGATCCAGAATTCCGGATCTGGGGGTACAGGATATGACACTTGGAGGTAGACAAGAGATCAGACTCAAGTCCAGAGAGGCAGGAATGAGCAGAACTAAGATGATATTTGAACTGAGGAGTACCGGAGTACTACAGGAGTTTATATACTGTAGGTATCATGTAAGTAAATCAGCCAGCAAAGTAGAAGCTATGTACGAAGCATGTGGAAAGTCTATTAGTAAGTGTATAACATATCAAAGCAGTGAAGTCAGAAATGAAGTACCAATGGATGGATTAGTAAGCAAAGTGGAAAGGACATAACCGGTAGCTGGAGAAATAGTTATTCTAAAAGGAGATAGTTGAGAGTACGGAGATGAAGGTGGAGCACCGGGCGGACAAGAGGATGGAGGATCTGGACTTTAGTAGGAGAGATCCAGAATTCTGGATCCGGAGGTACAGGATATGACAGTCCCAATGGTACTGCCAGACGACATTTTAATTTGCAGCACGCTATGAATTTGGATGATAAGGATACTGTGTATAAGAAAATTTGGGTAAGCACATTTTTTCCTATCTATATGGAATCTCACAGATGTTCTGAAGTACAAGATAATTGAAATTGCCAAGGACAATGGTTTATGACTCAAGACCACCATCAGATACCAGCCACCAACACTACTGGGCACCATAATTACATTGGTACGTGTTTTTTGTGCATCATACATGCATATATGCGCTAATAATAGCTAGGCCATGCTCGAAATCCCATACCTAGCACACTTTAAGGATGGGTGGCCTGTCAAAGATTTTTTGCAACAATTCTTGAGAAATCATGCCAACTATAGGAGAAGGATAGGATACAACAAGCTGACTCAGAGCTCAAACAAGGTATGTGATGATGTCCCATCATTTGACCATTGACTATCTGATTTGTAGATCACGCTCTCAAAGTTGACCCAGGCACATATATCCACTAGCCATGCTAAGTTACCAGCTCCCGCAGCTCACTCTGACTCAGATGATAGTAGCGAAATGGACCCCAGGTCAGATAAAGACTCAGACTCGGAGGAGATTGGGCCAGGGAGTGAAGGAGGGCTGCCTGCTGATATTGCAGAGCTCTTCAAGAAGCAATTTGAGGATTATTTGAGTGAGTTTGCACTCCAATACACATTACCTGCACTAAATATTCACTTCCAGAATCCAAAGGACGTCTCACGCAAACCTCAGCACCTACTGACCCTAACCAGACCGCCAGAGTATCCAAGAAGAGTACTACACTGAAGTCGCAGACAGCAACAACTTCCAGCAAGAAGATCACCACCGCTGCCATCACACAAGTGTGTAGCAAGAGGGCCAAACCACCAACAGTTATGACACAACAACTGGAAAAGGTGAGTGTGGCACAGTGGCTGTGTCTGCTGGGGATGAACTGGAAGGCCCCATCAGAAGAAAATGCACCCGGCACTGACAGTACTGACCTTTTTTCTTCAACTTGTCTTGTCTCACGAATGGAGGCCACATGCACCTTGGATTGCTGGCAGCCTGCTATTTGATATGCTCTGGACTCATGTTCTTGCTGGACCCTCGATGCTTCGTTGTCTTTTTTTTGGACCGCATCATGTAACGCTTGCCCACTCCGAGTCTGATACCAATGTACTATTATTGCAATCATTATTGACATTGTGCACAGTGAATTTTCAGTGTCCTGAGAAGTGTCTGGAGTAGAGAATCTTCAGTACTACAGACTCTTAATTTGCAACGTCTCAAACACTGTTTTTCAGTACCGTGAACATCACAATGTCAGTGTTCTATCAACTGCTTTTCAGTGTGCTGTCAATCTCAGTTCAGGATTTATGACACTGAAAAATGTCACTTTCAAAATTCTAGACACTGAAATCTAGCCCATCCTATCTTCTGGCTCCGATGTTAACTGCAGTTGAAAGATGCAAAAGCCTGAAAGTCAGTATTTTGAACCCTGATTTTCAGTATTCTAGACACCTATTTTCAGTGTTTTTACTTCCCAGTGTCATGCACACACAGTTGGAAAACTCACACTGTTCCATCTTACCAAACAACTAATCTCTGGCTGAATGGGATCTTGTCACCAGCCACCCTATCTTGCAGTGGGATTGAATGCCAGACATATCATCGTAAAGGTTAAAGCCTAGGTGCCTGATCACGGCCAATATGTAGTATTTGCACTTGTATACTTCACTCTCACGCAGCACCATGGCAAAGCCTGGTCCTTTTATATTGCTTGGAGGTGGAGTGTGATGAAAAGAGCAGTCTGCCTTATTCTGGGACTAGCGGACCTTCAACATATGATTACTATTTGTCCGTTTGCAACTTTATTCCTTGCTTTCGTTCTTATCTGTTCTATCACCACAGTATAATCTACTTAGTTCCTTCCATCTGGAACTTCACCAGAACTCTCAGATCTAACTTAGGGTGTTGCTGACATTAGAACAAAAGCAACCTTCATCATTAAATCACCTCCGTATAACAGCCCCTATCATGTCTTCTACCAACAACTCACTTGATACCAACCAAAACATGGCCTCCCCTAATGGAGGCAATGCAGGACGGGAGTCTTGCTTTAGCAGCTTCTCATACAACTCATACAAGGACAACAGGACCTTGGGCAAGTGGTAGCTGTTAAGACCATGCTCAGGGGTAAGATGGAGTCTGAGGGGCTTGGCTTCAGCTCGTACGCTGCGCCCCTTACCCGAGTATGTGCCCCTAATTTTGGATTGTAAGTTCGACTTGAGTTCTACAAGCTCTGACAGGACGTTGGAGTGGAGGTCCTCTGAAGGAGGACCAACAGACTACTAGGTAAGCGCAGGAATGTTGGGTGGAGATTGGTCCGCCCTACAGGGGAGAGTCAGAGGGCTACTGCAGTCAGATCTAGCAGTAGGAATGGAGTGGAGGAGACTGCCTGGATGAAGTCCGAAGCAGAACAGAAACACAGAGGACAGAGGTACAAGAGTATTGGCTACAAGTCCAATGCACAGGAAAGGTGGCGGAGGCGCAGGAAGTTGGACAAGCGGAGAAGGTGGCCAACCTAGGGAGTCAATCCCCTAGGCCGGCAAACAGGAGTTGTCAGGGGTTTTGCCCAAGAACAGGGACAAGAGAGCAGGGCTTAGAAAACGTAATATTCAGACTAAAGATCTACAGACAGATGTAGATATGTTTATATACTCTAAGTAAGTAGCATAGCATAGCATAGCAGAAGGCTATGTGCTGAGTGTACAGAATTACTAGAAAGATGACTGAGACATATGAGAAAGGGCTCAGAGAACAGTATGTACGTGACAGATCAATAATTGCTTGGGTATATGGATTACTGGCGATCTGAAAGGAGGAACTATGATACTAAAAGGAGATAGGACCAGTTGAGTGGTTCTTAGTCTAGGAGTGGACCGGTGAGGTGGTTGGGTGGACTAATAGTTGGGTGGAGCAACATGAGTGGAACTGAAGGAACCGAGTGGGTCGGAAAAGCAGAGGTGGTGGAGGGAGTAGGAGTAGGATCGGGCGGACCGATAGGGCAGAGGAGCGGAGCTCCAGATAGGGTCAGATGGTAGGGATATAGTGTCGGAGGATATAGGGGTAGCATTGGAGGAGCGGAGCAGAGTTGGGTGGAGGTAGCAGGGCTAGTCCTGCTGAGATGCACTTCATGCATTGTCAGAGAAGGAGGGATGGAGCAGACAGGAAAACAGGGGGTCGGACCAATAGTAGGGACATCTATGAATGATATTGGGAGTGGCTGAATTGGGTATATGACAGTAGCCTAGGTCTTGGCTCAGCCACAACCAGCAGTGCCCCCTAAAGCATCAGTTGCGGAACCTGATGCCTATGATGGGAGATATGACACATTCAATCCCTTCTTGAGTCAACTCTATTTATTATTCTCTGCCAAACTGGGTGTCTATGTCAATGATCAAATGAAAATTGTCACCACCTTATTGTTCATGAAAAAGGGGTTTGCAGGCACCTTGGCCACCAATATTACAAGGGAGTTAAGGGAGGGAGAAGTTACATTTGCGAGTTGGGGAGCATTCAAGAGGCAGGTTGAAAGAAATCTTCGACAACCCGAACAAGAAACGAGCCGCACAGGTCAAATTACACACATTGAAAAAGAGCCCTGGACAATCTGCAGATGAGTACTTCGCGAAGTTTGATCAACTTGCAACTCTTGCAGGGTTCAATGACAAGGCTTTGCTTGACGTGTTACAACAAAACCTTGACAAACCAATCTTTGAGGCAATAGTAGCTGCACTGCAGGTTGATTGAACCTTGATGGCCTGTAGGGACTATGTAAAGAGGTATGATAGGAATCGAAGAGCAAACAAGAGAGGTGATGTGGGAGAAGCGTTGGGTGCTAGGCAATTCAGAGAAGGAAGGGCGGGACCAGGATGGTTCAGACCAGGAATCCCACTTGGTGGACAAGGTGCTAATCCAAACATGGGGGTGGGTCCGACGGCAGGGGTCAACACAAACATGGGGGGTCAAATGAGCAGTAGGGGTGGACATACCTTTCCTGGACAAGGTGAACCCATGGACTTGGACCAGGGTGCGTGGACGTGCAGGGCCAATGAAATGTTATAACTATGAAGAATTAAGTCATATTGCATGTAACTGTGCCAAGCCAAAGGGGTGGCAGACGATGAGAGTAATGTTTGAAGGACTGACCAAGGAGCAAAAGGGGGAGGTTGCAGAGATGTTCATGACTGAGAGAAGCTGAGGAACAGAATGAGATGGGTTTTCAGGAAAGCTGGGAGTAAAGGATGCTACCTCACTGGCCAAGTGTATGATTAACGAGCCTGTCAATAACAAATCCTGTGACTGTGGCTCATGAGCATCCAAAGAACAAAGTCGTAAAGAGAAAATGAAACAAAAGTACCAACAAAAGAAAGAGATGAAACAAAAAAAGAGGAATGAGAAATGAGAACAGATGGAAAAGGAGACAGAGGAAAAGAAGAAGAAAGAATCCCTTCAGTGGGTTCAGGAACACTTGCAAGGGGCAGATGACATGGTGCTTAAAGTGTTATGGTGGTGGGCCAATCGTCAATGGTCATTGGAGATACAACCCGAACTACTTCTCCAACTCCAGGCGATGGACATGAATGTACAAAGGGGCATTTGAGGGAATTAAAACACCCTCAAACCTGGATCCATCGAATCAATCAGAATGCAGTCGTCATCCCAATCCTTGTCAGCACCCTAGACAATCAATGTACCTTTGATCTTCAAGCTCTCCTTGACAGTGGTGCAACTGGATGCTATATAGACGAAGGCTTTGCAAGGGCCAAAGGAATTAATCTCAAAACACTTCCTCACCCAATTCCAGTATATAATGCTGATGGCTCCCATAATGGAGGAGGACCTATATGAGTGGTTGCAAAACTACATCTTTAAATTGCAGACCACATTGAAGTTTTCAATTTTGCCGTCACTAATACTGGAAAAATGGACATTATTATCAGATATGACTGGTTTTGCAAGCATAACCCATTTATTGACTGGCGTTTGGGGCACCTTACCTTTAATTGTTGTTCATTAACATGCTATACAAGCACTTGAGTGGAGGATGACTCGAAACCAGAAGAAGACACTAGGAGGAAGCAGGGGGGCAAGAGAGACAATTGGGCTTGAAGAGGGGGATTGTGTGTTTGTAATGAAGATAGAGCCGGAAACAGCAGGGGATAATTATTGGAAAGATGTACATGGACAAATGGAGATGTGAGCAGTGGAAACACGATCTCAAAAGTTGGCGGAAGAGGCACTTTGGAAAGGGGAGAAGATGTCATTAGAGGAACTACTCCCTAAACACCTCAAAGATTTTCTACCAGTATTTGAGAAGGCATCTTTCAATTGTCTACCCGAACGACACTGATGGGATCACACAATTGAACTCAAGCCAGGAACTGAGTCCTTTAATAGCAAAATTTATCCAATAAGCCTAGTGGAGCAAGCTGAACTCAATAAATTCATCAAAGAATATTTATGTACAGGATGAATCCAACCATCAAAATCTCCTATTGCATCTCCCTTCTTCTTCATCAAGAAAAAAGATGGAACTCTACACCCAGTTCAAGATTACCACAAGCTGAATACCACCACTATTAGGAATCAGTACCATCTTCCTCTGATTTCTGAGGTGGTACACAAGCTTCGTAATGCACATTACTTCACCAAGTTGGATGTTCGATGGGGCTACAATAACATTCATATTAGAGAAGGAGATGAGTGGAAGGCAGCGTTTACAATGAACTGTGGCCTCTATGAACCGTTGGTGATGTTCTTTGGTCTCACCAATTCTCCTGCCACCTTCCAGATGATGATGAACGACCTATTCTGTGAGCTCATCAGTCGCGGAGTCATCATTGTGTATATGGACAATATCCTTATCTTTATGGAATCCCTCAAAGAACATCAATGAGTCACACGTGAAGTCCTTCAAATTCTTTGTGACAACCATCTATATCTCAAGGCAGAGAAATGTGCTTTTGAGCAGACGAAAATTGAATACTTAGGCTTATAATTCAACATGGTGAAGTCTTCATGGATCCCACGAAGGTACGAGGAGTGCAGGAGTGGCCTCACCCTACCATGAAGTGAGAGCTCCAACAATTTCTTGGCTTCGTGAATTATTACTGTTGTTTTATCCACGGCTTTCCACAAATTGCCCACCCTCTGCATCATCTGATGGGCAAAGAGCAGTGGCACTGGGGAGTGGAAGAAGAAAAGGCATTCCAAGGACTGAAGAGAGCAATCACTATGGCACCTGTACTCATCATGCCCAAAGACGACTCACCTTTTTGTGTTGAAGCTGACAGCTCTGACTACGCTACCAGAGCTGTTCTATCTCAACTCCAAGATGATAACAAATGGCACCTTGTCACATTTTCATCCTGTGCGCTTTCAGATGTCGAACACAATTATGACATCCACGACAAAGAACTGCTTGCCATCATGCATTCCCTTGATGAGTGGCGCCACTATTTGATGGGAGCATGACATACCTTTGAGATCCTAACGGATCACAAAAACCTTGAATATTTCACATCTGCTAAAAAAACTGTATTGCCACCAAGCACACTGGGCCTTGCAACTCACCGAGTATGATTTCACCCTTGTTCATAAACCCAGCAGTGCTCACAGCAAACCGGATGCTCTCTTCGAGATGAGTAGATCATGGAAGGGGGGAGGAGGATAACAAAAATTGAGTTCTACTGAAGGAAGAATGGTTCAGAGTGGTGATGACAGAGATTGAAATGGAAGGAGATGAATTTTTGTCAAAAATTTGAGCATCAAAAAGGATTGAGAAGTTTGTGAGAGAGGCAGTATGAAGAAACAAAAAGAACTGGAAGGTCGAAGAATGCTTGTATTTGTGGAAGAATTGTGTTTATGTCCTGAATGATCAACCCCTTTGAGATCAAATTATCCATGACCATCATGATCCTCCTGTATCTGGTCACCCAGGACAGTTTAAAACTGTGGAACTCATATTATGAACATACTGGTGGCCATGGATTCACATGGATGTAATACATTGTGTGAGTGGCTGCAAAAAGTGTCAGCATACTAAGACTTTCCCTGCTAAGCCATTCAGATTACTCTCACCCAACCCAGTACCAGACCATAACTGGGAATCCATATTGGTGGATCTCATAACCCAACTTCCTATGAGCAAAGGAAACAACACTATTCTCGTTATCGTAGACTGGTTGTCCAAGATGATAAGACTTACACCAACAAATGGAGAGCTCTCTTCTGAAGGACTAGCCCAATTATACTGGGATCAGGTATGGTAGGATTTTGGTGTTCTGGAGCAGGTTATTGGTGACCGAGGCTCTCAGTTTGCCTCCAACTTCATGTGTGACCTTAATCAACTCCTCAGGATTCGAACTCATTGATCAACTGCATATCATCCGCAGACAGATGGTCAGACAGAATGAATTAACCAAGAAATTGAGCAATACCTTCATTTATTCACCAATTATCACCAAGATGATTGGGTGGAATGGCAACCTCTTGCTCAATTCAACTATAACAATAAAATCCAGTCTTCTACTGGGTATTCTCCCTTTTTCCTCAATTACGGTCACTACACTTGTAAAGGTATTGAACCTCAAACAAGAGTCAAAGTGGAGGCTGCAGATGTTTTTGCTTCACATATGAGCAAGCTCGCTCAAGAAGCATCTGCGGCTTTAAGGCAGGCAGCGGAAAGTATGAAGTGGTACTATGATGAACATCATCAAGAAGCTCCAGAATACTGACCCGGGGATTTAGTCTATTTGGAAGCAACCCACCTTAAGTCTAATTTTCCATCAAAGAAACTCAATGACCATCATTTCAGACCTTTCAAAGTCCTTCAGAAGGTCAGAGAGCATGCCTACAAACTGAGCCTTTCTCGTACATGGAAACAGATTCATCCTACCTTTCCATACTGTCCTTCTCCAGCTCTTATACATCACCCAAATCCCCATTACAACAACAACTGCCTGCACCCCCACCAATAGATCTTGGAGGGACACCAGAATATGAAGTTGAAAAAGTATTGGATAGTCGAGAAAGACGAGGAAAGAAAGAGTTCCTGGTAAAATGGAAGGGTCAGCCATGGGAAGAGAGTACATGGGAACCAGAACAAAACCTAAAAAATGACTATGGGATGAACGAAGTGTTTCAAATGTTTTTAAGGCACAAAGGTGGTCATCAACCAGTCAAGATTTGTGTTCCACAGCTGCGAAGACTGGATCTATTCAATACTGCAGAGGCAAGGAATATATGATTGGCAGATAGGTAGCTTTCAAAGGTTCGAGAGGACATCGGCCTCAGAAGGGGGGTAATGTGATGAAAAGAGTGGTCCACCTTATTCTGGGACTAGCGGACCTTCAACACATGATTACTATTCATCTGTTTGTAATTTTATTTCTTGCTTTCGTTCTTATCTGTTCTACCACTGCAGTATAATCTACTTGGTTCCTTCCATCTGGAACTTTGCCAGAACTCTCAGATCTAACTTAGGGTGTTGCTGTCATATACCTGATCCAACTGCTCCAATATTGATATCCACTCCGCCTTCCGACCACCTCCACCCCATCCATCCTCTGCTCCATCCAATCACAGTCCGCATCTGCTCCTATGCTTCCACTAATATCCCGTGTAATACGGGCCAGCGGATTATGGGCTGATGTTATGTATATTCCTGATGTTGACGGGTGGGCCGGGAGAAATATTATTTCCGATGTTGATGGGTGGGCCCATCTATGCTGATGTTATATATATCATCGACAATGGCGGATGGGCCGGGAGAAATATTATTATGGAGATGGGTGGGCCCATGTGGGTAATATGTAGAGTAGGATTGACATATATGATAGACCTGAGGAGAGATGTATAGCAAATATTATTATATAGATGGGTGGGCCGATGTATTAGTATTATTTTGTAGATGGATGGGCTGAGGGAGCGGTGGAATATTTATTACATAGATGGGTGGGCCGAATGTAGGAAAATATTAGATAGACGGGTGGGCCGATGTGGGGTATTTTACTTAGACGGGTGGGCCGATGTGGGGTATTATTAGGTAGACGGGTGGGCTGAGGGTGAGGCGAATTATTTATTACATAGACAGGTGGGCCAACGTAGGGGTATATTAGATAGACAGGTGGGCCGAGGGTGAGGTGAATTATTTATTACATAGACGGGTGGGCCAATGTAGGGAAATATTAGATAGACGGGTGGGCCAAAGTGGGGAATTTTACCTAGACGGGTGGGCCAACGTCGGGTAATATTAGACAGACGGGTGGGCCCAGATATGTATCATATAGACAGATAGGCCTAGGTATTGGTATAAGTACCGAGTACCGAGTTCTGGGCACTGAGTGCCAAGTTCCAAGTTCTGGGCATCGAGTACCAAGTGCCGAAACCCGGCACTCGGCACTTGGTACTTGGTGATTTGTTCAATTTATGAAATGTTTTATTTTAGTTTCGTGTTTCGGTGCTCGATGCCTGGAACTCAATGCCCAGAACTCGGTGTCTGGAACTTGGTACTCGGTACTTGGTGATTTGTTCAATTTATGAAATACCCGGAACTCAATATTAGTTACCCGGACGTTGATAGATGTTACCCAGAACTCAATGATGTCATTCTTTGGGTATGCCGGAGGTACAATGCATTTCAACAACATTTACAGAAATCTAACACTACCAAATTATGTAGACATTTCAACCTCACCCAGATGACCCTCATCACCACCTTCAACTTCAACCTTGACCTCAACATCCATGTCATCAGCAGAATTGTATTACAGGAAAAGGTTGCATGGATCATCCGGCACCACAATGTCTCCGGCAGTTGGGGGAGTAGGTGATGGGTCCAGGGCTAGTTGAACTTGGCTCAGCTCAAATATGAGACCCTCGATGGCAGAGGGATCCTCAATTTTCGAGGGTGTGGGCTCCATCCCTGCCATCGAAAGCTCCAAGCACTGAATACTTGGTACTCAGTACCTACTTGATACTCAAAACTCAGTACTTGGTACTTGGCACTCAGTTCCTAGTACTTGATACTTGATGCTGAATATATTGGTAGATCTTAACCTATTGATGTCATGAGACTACGGATAGACTCCCCTAGACAAGGGCTACAACTGTGGTTTTCATCGAAAAAGTTCCCACAGGTCTAGAATATCGAGTACTGAGCTCCAAGCACTGAATACTCAGTACTCGATACTCAAAACTTGGTACTTGGTACTAAGTTCCCAGTACTTGATACTCAATGCTGAATATCTTGGTACTCAATTGAGCACTGAGCACTGAGTACCAACTACTGAGCACCAAGCACCGAGCACCGGGCACTGAGCATCAAGCACCGAGCACCAAGCACTGAATACTTGGTACTCGGTACTTAGTACTCAGTTCCCGGTACTTAATACTTAATGCTGAATATCTTGGTAGATCTTAACCTATTGATGTCATGAGACTATGGATAGACTACCCTTGACAAGGGCTACAATTTTGATTTTTATCTACAAAGTTCCCACAGTCAAAGTGCTTTCTTGAACACTCCATTTGCAAGTATTTTGCTTATATCTTACTAGGATCTTAACCTATTGATTTCATGAGACCATGGATAGACTCCCCTAGACAAGGGCTACAACTTTGGTTTTCATCGAAAAAGTTCCCATGGTCTATGATATTGAGTCCTGAGCACTGGGCACCGAGTACCGAGCACTGAGCACTGAATACTCGGTACTCAGTACTTAGTACTCAGTTCCCGGTACTTGATACTCAATGCTGAATATCTTGGTACTCAACTGAGCACCAAGCACCAAGCACCAAGCACCAAGCACCAAGCACCAAGCACCAAGCACCAAGCACCGGGCACCAGGCACCGAGCACCGAGCACCGAGCACCGAGCACCGAGCACCGAGCACTGAATACTCAGTACTCAGCACTCGGTACTCGGTACTTAGTACTCAGTTCCCGGAACTTGATACTCAATGCTCAATATCTTGGTAGATCTTAACCTATTGGTGTCATGAGACTATGGATAGACTCCCCTTGACAAGGGCTACAATTTTGATTTTTATCTACACAGTTCCCACGGTCAGTGCTTTCTGTATTTTGCTTATATCCTACTGGGATCTTAACCTATTGATGTCATGAGACTATGGATAGACTCCCCTAGACAAGGGCTACAACTTTGGTTTTCATCGAAAAAGTTCCCATGGTCTACAATATTGAGTACCGAGCACCGAGCACCGACTACCGAGCACCAAGCACCCAGCACCGAGCACCGGGCAGATATTTATCTAAAAAGTTCCCATGGTCAAAGTGCTTTCTTGAACACTCCATTTGCAAGTATTTTGCTTATATCTTACTAGGATCTTATCCTACTGATGTCATGAGACTATGGATAGACTCCCCTAGACAAGGGCTACAACTTTGGTTTTCATCGAAAAAGTTCCCACGGTCTACAATATTGAGTACCGAGCACCGAACACTGACTACCGAGCACCGAGCACCAAGCACCAAGCACCGAGCACCGGGCACGGGCCAGATATTTATCTAAAAAGTTCCCATGGTCAAAGTGCTTTCTTGAACACTCCATTTGCAAGTATTTTGCTTATATCTTACTAGGATCTTAACCTATTGATGTCATGAGACCATGGATAGACTCCCCTAGACAAGGGCTACAACTTTAGTTTTCATCGAAAAAGTTCCCACGGTCTACAATATCGAGTACCAAGCACTGGGCACCGGGCACCGAGCACTGAATACTTGGGACTCGGTACTTGATACTCGATGCTCGGTACCTACTCAATACTCAATACTTGGTACTCAGTACTTGATACTCGATGCTGAATATCTTGGTACCTACTCACTACTCAATATGTACCTTAACACTTTTGAACCATTCATTGTCGAGTATTTTGCTTATACCTCACTAGGATCTTAACCTATTGATGTCATGAGACTATGGATAGACTCCCCTTGACATGGGCTACAACTTTGATTTTCATCGAAAAAGTTCCCACGGTCTATAAAATTGAATACCGAGCACCAAGCACTGAATACTCAGTACTCAGTACCTACTCGATACTCAAAACTTGGTACTTGGTACTCAGTTCCCAGTACTTGATACTCAATGCTGAATATCTTGGTACTCAACTAAGCACTGAGCGCACTGAGTACCCACTACTGAGCACCAAGCACTAAGCACCAAGCACCCAGGTATGGGGTCTATTTCTATGTATATTGGTAGTAGATACATCATATAGATAGACCAGGACACCTACATGATCCTTCCACAGGAACAACACTTGACAAATCACAATTGTGACATTTTGATATGTTTTACCACCCTACCCTTACACAGATTATCCAAGTTACTCATAGACTGGAAATTTGAGATCTGATGTAAAGGGGATATTTCTACTGATCAAAAGCCCACATGGTAAATGATAGCCTTAAAGGCTTAGAAAGATCCATCCAGGATTGAGTGAATGACAAGCAAAACAATATATGTGTGAAAAGTGAAAATTGACATCTGTTCACACAAAGTCACATTTATATATGATACAGGTTGAAGATTTCATTAAAAATGTGTAGGATACATGGTGGACTACCTAAGGAACCTATACTGCATACTGCCCTGAGGGTAGAGTGTTGGTGGGAGGGATGTGGCATAGAAGTGTTTGAATTGGTTGCCCATAGCCAAGGATACACCAACTGACCATTTTCGATGTTTGGGGCATTTGAGCTCTGACTGTCATATCCCATACCTCCGGATCCGGAATTCTGGATCTACTCCATTAAAGTCCAGTCTTCTGTCTTACTATTCTGCCCGGCGCTCCGCCTTCATCTCCGCACTCACCCCTAACTCCTTTTAGATTAGCTATTGCTCCGGTTACCGGTTATGTTCTTTCCGCTATGCTTATTGATCCGTCCATTCCTACTTCATTTCCGACTTCACTGCTTTGATCTGCTACACTTAGTAATAGACTTTCCACATGCTTCATACATAGCCCTTACCTTTGCTGACTGATTTACTTACATGTTACCTACAGTATATAAACCCCTGTAATACTCCGGAACTCCTCAGTTCGAATATCATCTTAGTTCTGCTCATTCCTGCAATCTTCGGACTTGAGTCTCATCTCCTGTCCACCTCCGAGTCTTAGGGGTTAAACCTTAGGACTACTTCTCCGGCTCTACCTTAGGGTAGTCTAACCTCTGTTCAGTTTCTACTCCGGACTTCCGTAGTAGCCTTACTCCATCCCAGTATAAACCTCCCAGAGTTCCGCTGAACTCCACTGACACTAAGTCCTCCGGAACTCCCCGGACTTCCGTTGGACTTCCCCTCTGTCCCCCGGAAATTAAAGGGCACGTACTCGGGTAAGGGGCGCAGCGCACGAGCTGAAGCCGAAGCCCTTTGAGTAACCTCTCCCTTGAGCATGACCTTAACACTGACGTTTCCCACACTCGATTTCTTATCTATTTCACTTCCCCAGCTCTCAATTCCTGGTGGATCTTTCTGTAATTTTAGATCCATCATACTGAATATATGTGAAATATACTCTAGGTGTCTGATCATTAAAGTTCAATAATTCAGAGATATGGGCCTTTCATCAGTAGAAATATCAAGTATATACACTATCTCAAAGCAACAGCATATTTTGAGCTGATCCTGGTCATGAAAAGCAAGTATATATGCTATGCTAATGATATATGAATATATTGGATTATTTATGCAAGGATAGAGCAGTCAGAAACATGAGAAATGTGAAACACATGATTTATCAATTTTTGTTGCTGTAGAAGGATCGTGTAGGTGTCCTGGTCCAGTGATATGATGTATCTGAGGGAGGGTACACTATACAGGTACTTGAGTATCAAGTAGGTACCAAGTACCAAGTATTCAGTGCTCGGTGCTCAGTACTTGATACTCAGTACTCAATACTTGGTAGTCAGAACTCAGTGCTCAGTGCTCAGTGCTGAGTACAGAGTATTGAGTATCAGGTAGGTACTGAGTGCCAAGTATTCAGTGCTTGGTGCTTGGTACTCAATACTCGATACTTGATACTAAATACTAAATACATGGTAGTCAGTACTCAGTGCTTAGTGCTCAGGTGAGTACCAAGATATTCAGCATTGAGTATCAAGTACCGAGTACCAAGTATTGAGTATTGAGTATTGAGTAGGTACCGAGTACTGAGTATTCAGTGCTCAGTGCTCAGTACTCAATATTCAGTACTTAATGTTCGGTACTCAATACTCAATACTCAATATACTAAATGCTCAGTAGTTGGTACTCAGTGCTCAGTTGAGTACCAAGAGATTCAGCATTGTATACTGAGTACCGAGGTCTGAGTATCAAGTAGGTACCAAGTACCGAGTATTCAGGGCTCGGTGCTCGGTACTCAATATTGTAGACCGTGGGAACTTTTTCGATGAAAACCAAAGTTGTAGCCCTTGTCTAGGGGAGTCTATCCATAGTCTCATGACATCGATAGGTTAAGATCCTAGTAAGATATAAGCAAAATACTTGCAAATGGAGTGTTCAAGAAAGCACTTTGACTGTGGGAACTTTTTAGATAAATATCTGCCCAGTGCCTGGTGCTCGGTGCTTGGTGCCCAGTGCCTGGTGCCCGGTGCCCGGTGCCCGGTGCTCGGTGCTCAGTGCTCAGTGCTCGGTAGTAGGTACTCAGTGCTCAGTTGAGTACCAAGATATTCAGCATTGAGTATCAAGTACTGGGAACTGAGTACCAAGTACCAAGTTTTGAGTATCGAGTAGGTAGCAAGTACCGAGTATTCAGGGCTCGGTGCTCGGTACTCAATATTGTAGACTGTGGGAACTTTTTCGATGAAAACCAAAGTCGTAGCCCTTGCCTAGTGGAGTCTATCCATGGTCTCATGACATCAATAGGTTAAGATCCTAGTGTGATATAAGCAAAATACTTGCAAATGGAGGGTTCATTGAGTATCAAGTACCGGGAACTGAGTACTAAGTACCGAGTACCGAGTATTCAGTGCTCGGTGCTCGGTACTCAGTGCCCAGTGCTCGGTACTTGGTGCCCGGTGCTTGGTGCTTGGGACTCAATATTGTAGACCATGGGAACTTTTTTGATGAAAACCAAAGTTGTAGCCCTTGTCTAGGGGAGTCTATCCATGGTCTCATGACATCAATAGGTTAAGATCCTAGTAAGATATAAGCAAAATACTTGCAAATGGAGTGTTCAAGAAAGCACTTTGACCATGGGAACTTTTTAGATAAAATCAAAATTGTAGCCCTTGTCAAAGGGAGTCTATCCATAGTCTCACGACATCAATAGGTTAAGATCTACCAATATATTCAGCACAAGTACCGAGTTCTGGGCATTGAGTACCAAGTGCCGAGTGCTGGGTTTTGGCACTCGGTACTCAGCACTCGGTGCCCAGAACTTGGTGCCTGGTACTTGGTGATTTGTTCAATTTACGAAATGTTGTATTTTAGTTTTGTGTTTTGGTCCTTGATGCCCAGAACTCGATGCCCGGAACTCAGTGCCCTGGAACTCAGTACTCGGTACTTGGTGATTTGTTCAATTTACAAAATGTTGTATTTTAGTTTCGTGTTTCGGTGCTTGATGCCCAGAACTCAATGCCCGGAACTCGGTGCCCGGAACTCGGTACTTGGTACTTGGTGATTTCTTCAATTTATGAAATACCTGGAAGTCGATATTAGTTACCTGGAACTCGATATTAGTTACCCGGACATCAATAGATGTTACCTGGAACTCGATAGATGTTACCCGGCCCAGTGGATATGATATCAACCATCTCGGCCCACCCATCTATATAATATACTACTACCTCGGCCCATACGTCTATATAATATACTACCACCTTGGCCCACCCATCTATATAATATACTACTACCTTGGCCCATACGTCTATATAATATACTACCACCTTGGCCCATATGTCTATATGATATGTATCTGGGCCCACCCGTATATGTGATATCCAACTACCTCGGCCCACCCATCTATATAATATCTAATAAATTGCTCTCTCAGCCCACCCATCTATATTATATACCCCCACGTCGGCCTACCCGTCTATGCAATATACAACTACCTTCGGCCCACCCGTATATATAATAAATATTTTACCGCTCCCTCAGCCCACCCGTATATATAATAAATATTTCACCACTCCCTTGGCCCACCCGTCTACAAAATAATATCAATATGTCAGCCCACCCGTCTACAAAATAATCTTAATTTGTCGGCCCACCCGTCTAATATGATATATATCTGGGCCCACCCGTCTATGTGATAACAAGCACCCTTGACATACCCAGCTATTTGATACACATCTACCTTGGTAAACCCATCTACATAATATCCAACTACCTTGGCCCATCCATCTATTGAATATTCATGTCCATCGGCCCACTCATCTACTCTATATATTCCCTACATGGGCCCACCCATCTCCATCGGGAATAATAACACTCCCAGGCCCATCCATCATAGTTGAGGATATATCTACCTTCGGCCCATGGTCCACTGGCCCATATCATACAGGATATTATGCACGTCCATTCACTCATATAATACGGAAATATGTTATTGTAATATGTGATCCTCCGCTCCTAGTTGGCCTGCCACTATTAGCACTTACCTCCCAACCCTCAAAGCGGACCAAAGCGGTCCACTCATCCTATCATTGGACAATGTCGGACCCGCTCCCAATTTGGGGCATGTACTCGGCTAAGGGTGCAGCAGCAAGAGCTGAAGCCAAGCCCCGACCCCTCCACTTCTTGAGCCTGGCATGGTACCTAACAGTTGCTGACATGGAGGCAGAAACCTTCAAGCACTCCATCATGGGTCTCTTGCTAACTGATCTGCCTCAGGACGTACTGATTGCAATTTTCATATGTTTGACTGTTGAGGACATTCTCTCTTTGAAACAGGTGAGTCATGTTCTGCGACTCTAGCAGTGCAGACACTGAATACACATGGCGAAACACGTAAATGTGTTGTGGTTTGCATACTATAGGATCCACAGACTATATCTGGCAGTGTGGGTACAACAATTCTGCTGGGTGCAGAAAGTGTTGGGTCTTGCTGCCTGCTGCTATACCTGCAAGGAGGTGCATTCAACCCTAGAGGGTTTCTGGACTAGAGCTAGGTAGTGCTCAGAGAGAAAGTGAATCAAAAGAGCACTGCTCATGGTGGTGGCTCAAGAAGATTGTTTGTTTACATAAGCAGTAAAATGTGTACATAAACTAAGGAAAGTAATGGTAAGTGAAACTAGGTAAAAACCATCAATACAAGCCCAGAGTAACATAACTCCCTACAGCAGAGATCTGTTAGGTACCATGCCGGCTCAGGAGGCAGAGGGGTCGGGGCTTGGCTTCAGCTCTTGCAGCTGCGCCCTTAGCCAAGTATGTGCCCCGAATTTGGAGCAGGTCCGACATTGTCCGATGATAGGATGAGTGGTCCGCTTCGGATCCACTTTGAGGGTCAGGAAGTAAGAACTACTAGCGGTGAGCCGACTAGGAGCGGAGCGGAGAAGGCAGGGAGTGATGCAGGAGGGTGGATAGGAGCAGGGGGAAGGTTTGGTAGGAGCGGGGAAGGCGGAGGGTGGGAAAAGGGACAAGGGGAATATTGATAGGGGTGGAGGAATAAGGGAAGCACTTAGCACACAGCTCTAAGTTGGAGCGGAGGGTTGGAGGGTTGGAGGGTCAGAGGCATATCAAGATATGACCTTTATATGTACTTAACCTTTTCCTTTTTACATACACAATCACTCCTCCTACCATGCGTCATACACATTCCTCATTGATTCTCCGTCTCAATCAATGTATTAATTCCTCTCCTCGTTGAATAATCTCCCTCAGTCTTTCGATCCAAGACTGAGGTGAGCTTTCTCGTTTACGGTTCTACTGTACCCTTTACTAACTACTACCCTACTCAGTCCATTCCCATCCTTAGGTATGATCCATAGTTAATATGAGTCTTTCAATCCAAGACTGAGTCCGTTCCCGTCCTGAGTTCCTAGTCCGAGTCTCGTCACCTCTGATAAGGCGACAACAAGTTGAGACTTGTGTCCAGAGGAGGCAAGGTCCTACTGAGAATTCTCACAAGTAGAAACTGCAAGAAGACAAGTAATATTAAGACTGGGGAAAATATCTAAGTACATGATATGTTATATACTTCTATGTATGAGGCAGTGATCAGGATAACTATGTTGTAAAGCTATGTACCAAGGATATAGTTTGTAAGTACTTTACACAGGTGAAGACATAAGTCGGAGCAGATATCAATATGTACGCGTCGGATCAGTAATCGGGCAGTAATAGGAATTACTGGTGATCCGGAAGTAAGGGTCTATGTACCGAAGGGGAAAGTATATATCTAAAAGGGGAAAGAGGTCCAGTTGAATGGAGAGGTTATGGAAGGGGACCGGTTGAGCGGTTGAGCGGAAGCATAGGGGTGGATGTGGTCGATGATTGGACAGAGCAGAGGAATAGATGGAGTGGAGGTTGTCGGAAAGCGGGGCGGATATTGATATCGGAGCAGTCGGATCAGGTATATGACAAGATCAGTCATCTACTTTGACTTACCATTGGATCTCCCAGGGGATGCCATTGTTGCTTTGCTCTCAAGCAATGAACTGCGTGATACAGTCATGAATGCCTTGAGATTAGATAGGAAGTGGAGAGATTCCAAGCTCTATCCATGAAAAGCATCATGTATCATTTCCCAATGTGATGCATTCATAGAGGCTCTGCAAATACTCCCAGGCAGAAAGTGGTTGATAACTTCTCAGGTTGAACACAGCTCGTGGACAACAGTTATGAGCCTCTGGTCATTACATAATATCAGTCCTGCTGCAATCACATTTCAAACAACATTGGGTGGCTGTGTTAAATCCCATTATGCTTTCCATGATAGGGTTTGCAAGGAAATCAGGATTGCTGTTGGTTTGAGGACTGGTGATGGTTGTGAGTAAGTTTGGTACTCACTTTTTCACCATCTCATGAACATAAAGTGCACACAGTTCAGTCAGGATATACAAGGTCTCAACTTGTGTACCTGAGAGCTTGCCTTACTCAGCACTTGTACTGGAAACACAACCCAGGAACTGGCCGATTTTGGGCTTCTATCAGAGGTCAAAATTTGCAGAGATATCATCACCATTCTATTTGACAATGGCATGAAAAGAGAGACACAAATATTATGTTTCAATACCTCTATGTGGGCTAGGATTGTCATCACTGGGCTCAATTTGGTGAGTCCAGCGTACATCTCTAGGCCACTGCTGACAGCTGCTGTCAGCTTCATGCACCTTCAGTGTATTTGCTGTTCCCACAACATTTTGCGTTGGTCGGATCTGGTAAATGTCAAGAATTAACATTGTACAACCTTCCCAGATCAGTTCTAGAATCATCAAATATTGACGATTCCCTGTGCAAAATTGGGGAACTGAGGGTGACATGCCACCTGATTCAGTATGTTGGCTCGACAATAAGTTTACTGCCATCAGATGGGCCTACTGACAGTAGTTCACCCCAATCCTCCTTCGTTCTTGCTGGGTTTCCATTTTTCAGTTATGATGATACATCAGAAACCCAGATGTTCATACTGCATGTTGCATTTCACAACATGATGAACTCAGGGCCATTGTTCTCTCCAACTTATGCATCCTACAAGCCATCTTTCACCAACCAACAAGTCAGGGTTGGCAGCAGTGGATGCCATGCAGTATGGATAGTGAGAGGCCTAGATGTTGAGGGCTGCACATTGCAGAAGTTTTCTGCTGCGTGCGTCATGCGTGAACAGGTGTTTCCTGCAAGCACATCAAATTTGATTCTGGCATTCTCTGGACTGCTGTTCAATCTATAAGATTGCCAGTGTCTTGCATTTGATGAGGTCTCATGTCAACTTTGTGCAAGTCTTCTGTCAGGGCAGGTTTTTGTTTGAGACTATTGACAGATGAGCCCTTTTCTTTGCATCCAATTTCTGTCTTTGAGAGAACACTATGTAAAACAATACAATCTAGTCTAGGGACCATGTGTCCCGCTGTGCCTCTAGATCCATGAATGCCCTGATGATCAGTCTGCTGTTCCCGCTGGCTGTTTTAGACATGCAATCTAATGAAGGTGAGGTAACTTTATAGGTACACACATCTAAGTATGACTGAGGTAAGGGGGATCAACTGAATGCATACTCAATTGCAGAAAATGTGAATTGAGATAGCAATCATGTGAGGATGCTGTGGGTAATGTGAGGGAACAAGTTGTTAGTGACAACAAGTGTTGTTTCCTATTCTGACTGACCGAGATTGGTGTTAAGAGGTGATTCCATATAGGTGAGTAGAGTGTTGGATTAACTGGATTAACTGGGGAGAGTATGAGGATTATTTGTGTTAAAGTGGGTGGTGAACTAGGTGGGGATAGTGTAGGGGATGGATTAGCATGTGTGGGTGAGCTTGTGAGATCCAAAGCATTGATCTGCAGGACAATAAAGCATACTATCAGCCTTGGTGTTTGAACAATGTAGAAATTTCACTGAATGTTGCTCTGAATGTCCTGGTGGCATTAACATAATGGATTAGGTGTAGGATAGCATCTGGGTCTGTCAAGAAATAAATCAGGAAAACCCTCCCCCTCTAGTTAGAACTAGTTGTAATTGATTTGCCAAAATTATGTGAATTACTAGTAATTAGATAGATCAGATAGTTAGGAAAAGTTTATTAGTGCCTTTCCAATTACCATTAATTTTCACAATCCTAGAGGCAACTGGTAAGTCTAGAGTCAGTTAGTGAAAGTTTGGGAATTCTTAGATGGCACATTTTCATCACACTTAGCAATATGTGAGGTAAATTGAGTGTTATTAAATTTGGGTCTTGAGCACAAGTGAAGTAAGATGTAAGCTAATCAAAGGTGTAGCAGATACTGTTGGATTCCAGTCATATACTGACAAGTCTGGGATGCTGCAGGACAACTCCAACTGGCCCTGATGAACAAGCAACTGGACCCATAAGATAGTTTAACTCTGGAGATGCTAGGACACATCCAGACTAGGTGTTAAGACTGCTCAGGGGTAAGGTGGCATCTGAGGGGCTTGGCTTCAGCTTGTATGCTGTGCCCCTTACCTGAGTACGTGCCCCTAATTTCAGATGTAGTCCAACAAGAGATCTATGAGTTCCAACAGGATGTTGGAGTGGAGGCTTTCCGAAGGAGGCTGACGAACTACTGGATGAGTGCAGGAAAGTCGGGCAGGGATTGGGCTGCCTGACAGGGTGTTACAGTAACCTGAGCATTATGGTTTATTTCATTCTTCATTTTGCATAACCAATGTCACATAACCACCACCATATGGCTAAACTGTGCAGAGCAGAGCCAGATTGCTCTAGACCTGGACCATGGTTATATTTTCATTTATATCTTTCTCTTTTGATTGTGTTGCCTTAAAACATAAGAAGTTCTTGCTTCTCCCCCTTATCCTTATACAGATACCCTGTACCCATGCCCTTTGCCCTTACTGTTCCACTGGTACTTACCCTGTACCCTTACCACTCAACCGGTTATGACTCATACGTACCCTGTACCCTTACCGCTCCACCAGTACCCTGACTTACTTATATATATCAGTCTTCTCATAGATAGATTCTCTAACTTAAATCTACTCAGTTCTCACCTGATACTTGACTTTGGGTCTGAACCTCTCTTACCTAAGAGAGCTCCCTTCGTGCAAAGAATTATCTTCTGTTGAGACAACACTCTTCAGTCGAACTCCGATCTCTTGGATTGTATCCTTGAAAATCTTCAATTGACTCTACACAAGTAAGGGCTTCAACCCTTACTCAGACCGTGCAGGCAAGCTCCTTGCTGGGCTAGCACTAAAAGCCATGCTATGAACACCCATTGCTGGGTCTAGCGCTGCCGGATCTCATCTGAGAAAGTTTCACATAACACAGGGGAGAAGTGAAGGACTACTGTGGTCGGAACCAACAGTAGATGCAAAGTGGACAAGGCTGCTTGGACAAAGTCCAAAGCAGAAAGAAAACAAAAGGGATAGAATGACTAGAGCTCTAGGCTCGAGTCTGAAGGGCAAGAAAGTTGGCCAATGCGTGGGAAGTCCAACAGGTGGAAAGGGTGGCCAACCTAGGGAGTCAATCCCCAGGTCGATAAACAGGAGTTTCACAAGGGCAAGCCCAAGTCCAAGAACAGAAGAGCAGGGCTTAGAAAAGGTAATATCCAGACTGAGTAACTACAGACAATGTACATACGTTTATATACTCTAGGTAAGTAGCATAGCATATCAGGAGGCTATGTGCTGAGTGTACAGTATTACAAGAAGGATGATTGAGACATATGAGTTGGAGGCTTGGAGAATAGGGATTGGCATGGGTAAACCCATGGGTGTCGAAGGTCAGACCCGCACCCATACCCACCAGTTTTTTAGAAATATAATCTCAACAGCTCTAGTGTAGCTTACATAATCATGCAGACACAGCGCGTGTAGGTAGTCAACACAGTTGCTTTTCGCCATCGTTGTTGTCGACTCAACCCATTAAACATTACACAGTTACCCATACCCATACACCCAAGGGTACAAATGGGTACGGGTCTCACAATGGGTAGTGGCAGGTAGTGACGGGTAGCAATGGGTATGTGAGTACTTCACGGGTATGATATTAAAACATGCTGTAGATAGTACATAGGTCAAGTCAATAAAATGTCATCCCAGCCAACCTCGAGATCAGCCTCTTCTCCCTTGAGGTCTGGCAGCCTTGCAACAGACATAACATCACCATCTTTCACTAAACCTTTCAAGCTCCAGCAGCCTAGGCAAAGTGCAGTGCATGTAGTCTCAGCAGAAAGTCATGACTGGACATGAGACAAAAGTAAGTGGCCCCACAAGAAAACACATTTGACATCAACATGTCAATTGCAGCTCAGTACTTGATCGCAAATTGCAACATATCAAAGGTTGAGTTCCACCACATTGAGACGTTGCGGAGCATGATTCTTTCTGATAGCTTCAACTTGGCCAAGGTTATTTTCCATTCTGAAAGAATTAGTGTCATTGAATAAATCATTTTGTAGGCAAGTTTTCGGAGCTGTTTATTGTGGTCAGATGGTTGTAAGGTACATGTTTGATTGTACAAACCTTGATGAGGAGCAATCTAATGGGCTGTATGTTTGTTTGTAGCTCTTCATGCTTAACATCCATCAACTCAGATGTTGTGTCAACCCACCCTTCCATGTTATCAAATTTGTTGCTGTTTGGGTCCCCATCCCCATTTTCAGCTACTGTTATCTGGTCCTCCCACTTGATATCAGTTGTGAGTTCTTGTATATCCTCTTCAGCACTGCTAAGGACCTTGTCAGCCTTCTTCTTGGGTAAGTTGAACTCCTTAATCAAGCTTTTTGCAATGAGATTGACCACATGTAGAAAACAATATGTCCATGCAGATTTGTCACTGAAATGTGCTACAAGATCTTCAAGTGCTGTTGGGTAGGTCAGAAATAGGGGTGGAGGTAGTAGGGCTAGTCCTACTGAGATGCACTATACTCAGGTAAGGGGCACAACACATGAGCTGAAGTCAAGCCCCTTAGATCCATCCTTCATTGAGCACAACTCTAACAATAGGCTACTGTACTTGCCAGCTTCAGGAAGCATAGCAGACATGTATCAGAGCCAGTCAATGTGAAACAAATCTGGTTAGAGTGTAATGGGGCTGGACAGAGTGAATCAGAGTAATGGGAACAAGTGGAAACTTCTTATGCTAATAGGAGAGACAATATTTCAACACCCTATCCAGTACATACAGTAATACTCTGTACTTATAGTCTACAACTAATGCTATGATAATACTGCTATTCCTGAGTAATCCAGGATACCTTTCATCCCAGTATGCAATGTAGAGTGCTTTATGCAGTAAAGCACTACTCTGCAGTGAATGATTTAAATAGGGTTTATAATGCTAACCTAGTGTCATATCCCAGTTTCTGGCACTCTCACTTCCACTTTCAGAACCTTCTCCAACTGGACCACTAGTTCTGATCTCCTATGGATCCATTCAAGTGGTTACTTCTTCATTTAGCTAACCCCTTTGTTTCTGGCCCACCAGCTATGTATATTCCCATCTGCTTACCAATCTGGTAGACTATTTCATTTCTGGCTCCATTTTACTTATGATCTGTCTTACTTTATTAATGATCTGTTGTATTTATCAATGTATGTGTTAGGTACCATGCTTGAACAGAGAAGCAGAGGGGTTGGGGCTTGGCTTCAGCTCTTGCACTGTGCCCTTAGCTGAGTACATGCCCCAAATTTGGAGCAGGACCAATGTTATCCGACAATAGGATGAGGGGACCACTTTGGTCTGCTTTGAGGGTCAGGAGGTAAGGGCTTCTAGCAGCAGACTGACTAGGAAGTGGGGTGGATGGAGTGGAGGAAGTGTGTTGGAGCGGAAGGGGTTAATAGGAGAGGAGGTAAGGGTTTACTGGTTGGAGGGAAGTGAGGATGCTAAGCTGGCTTGGCGGTTCACTGAGACATGAACTTGTCTAGAATGGAGGGGTGGCTATCTTACCATTGATGGCTTAACTATAGATGTTTTTATCAAACCTGCTTATTTTGGTAAGACATTTTATAATACAAAATCCAACTATTCCCTTGGCTGTCAAGTAATGTGTTTTGATTTATTGTCATGGACAATTAGTTAATTTATTCTGGGCAGTCATTATGCCCCCCACAACCTCATGATTGTGGATTATTCTTTTGGCCAACCTAGAAGTGTCTATGATGCATATGCTTTTTTATCCACTTGCCTCTATGAAGAGCATGCCAACCTTCTGCCAGATGGTCACGGGTGTGGGCAGACAGTGCATATCCATTGGAACCATGGTGTATCCCTCCTTCCAAGAAGCCTCACAATAGATGGTTGATGAAGAACCGGAAGACATTTAATTATCATCTTTTCAAGGTATTTTTTGTATTTTTTTTTTGCTATTGATGAATTTAAAGATCTGTGTACATATTGAACATGCATTTGCTGTTTTGAATGGGTGGTTCCAGTCTCTCCAAGAGCTCTGGTTCAATATTCAGACAGAGAAGGACCTGCAAATTGTTGTGCATTGGATTAAATGTTGTCTTATCCTGCACAACATGATCATCTGCTTTGAAACCCACCATCGCAAGCAGGATGCAGACTATGAGAAGTCTCTGGAGTGGGCTTGTGTAGAGGGTTGAAGCTTTTGTTTCTCAAGAATTTGAGGATCTAGATGGTGATGAAGTAGTGGGTGACAGGTTGTCACGAGTTCCATGTACAAATCATTTTTCCTACCTTAATGTTGTGTCTAAATCTAAGTGCCCAAGTCACATGACCACTTCACCTCTTCACACTCATCACATCTATCACACTTCACAATGACCACCTATCACAAAGTCACCCGTGCCTTACACTCATATCTCTCCCTTCACATCGCTGATTCCATCACCGATCAACGTAGTGATTGATCTTCCCCCTCAACCCTATTCTCGATAGATCTCAGATAGATCTTCTATTTAATCTCTGTCTCCTCTCTTCCATTCTCAGATGCAGATATCTTATCAGAACCCTTATACCTGAAGCTTCTCTTTCTCATGCGCCTTCCTATTTAGTCAGTTACCTTTTCTGATCTTGGTCTGTGCACAATTCTCTTAGTATATAAACCCTAGTCAGTAGTCAGTAGTTCTCTAGTTTAAACTGCTTGTACTTTCTGTAGAAAATCTACTTGATGTTTATCGCTCACTTCCTCTCCATATGAGACTCTAGACTGAACCCCTCTTGACATTTGTCTTAATGGCTACGTCATGACACTTCTCCTTTATCCTCTTGTCTATTGTTTGAGTCCTGGTCTGATTACTTTGAGACTACCATTGTCAAAGAGTCGTCAAACAGGTCATATGAGGTAACTCTGGGCCAGGCCACCCGTGCAAGGCTTATGGATGAGCTCTTTGACAGTCCTCATTCAAGGGCACAACATAGGGAAGGATGAGGACTAACTATGCTCACATTGATCAAGAATGCATGTAACATGTGGATAACACATGTAACATCAATCTAACAAATACTATGATAGCAAGAAAGCATACATGTAATCAGATAGTGATAGCGGCAGAAAAAACATGATAGCAAACAACAGCAATGGTGACAAAAAAACACTCTAGCAACAATAAATGACAATAGCAAACAAGTTAGGTACCTCCACTAGATGTAGAAGCTTTACTGTCACTTTGTGTCATTTGGTGAAATTGAATCTTGAGACACCGAGTCTCCACCTCCTTGTCAAGCACTAAGTAAGGCCTGTGCCTTATACACTTGAACATTGGTCTCATGAAGCTGAATTTCAGCATCCTTGGTCTCTTGCTCTTCTTAATGGTTGGCAGCAGCTTACATGGCCTCATATGTATGTGCATCATGAAGCCACTCATATTTCTTTGTCTTATGATGGTAGTCCTGCTTCATGTTGAGCTTTGCAAGGAAGCATTTGTGCTTGTAATCATGGTGTGACGCAGCATCAAACTGAATGCTCTCAATCTTACTATTGACCCTCTTAACCTGCTCCTGAATGTCTGATTCTGCTTTCTTCTTCCCTGTGCTTTTTGATTGCACTGATAATGAGGTCTGGGGTGTTAGAGAAGCAGGAGAATCTGACAATGAGGTGTTATGAGTTATTGATGAAGGAGTTGATGTGCTGCAGGTCATTCCCAGCGATGACACAATAGATGATGGTTGGCATTGTGAGCCACGGCTGGAGGGCCTCTGAGCACCAAACGCCACATAGCTGTCATAGAAAGGAGTAGGAGACTTCTGTAGCACTTCAAAAGGGATAGGGGGACAGGAGGGGGAGACAACAATGATGGGAGTTGCTGTTTTTTCCTGGCAGCTTTTGGGGGGCTGTTGAGTTGAAATCAGGGCCCTGCTGGGTATCATTGTACCTTATACAGTTTTCATTCAAATTGCCCTGCATATTGCTAGGGTCATTATCCATATCATCCTGTGCAGCCTGTGTATTGCTAAGGGGGGCACAGAAAGCAACAGAATACAAATTGATGTTGTAATCAAGGTCAGGAATGTTGTTGTTCATGGTGATGTTGGTGTGGGTACAACAAGTCCTATGAAAGGTAGGACAAAGTTGGGTCTGACAACATCTAGCTGTTATATCTAGAGAGTAGACAATGTTTGACCCAAAAGAGTTTCTGACTAGGCTCTCTGGCTCAAGAGATAGAGGGAGGATAAGGATAAGGAAGGAACAATCACTGCCAAAACAAGGTGCAAGAATGTATTTCAGGAGCTAAGTGGTGAGCTGAAGAAGCTACCACTAGAAAGTTGCCAAGGGGATGCTACCAAATAACCCAAACTAATGGGGAGCAACCAGAACTGGAAACCAGGTATGTTAAGTAAAGACAGGTATAGAGTTTAGGTAAAGAGGAAGATCCTTATGTAAGCAGTAAAAGTGCGAACATAACCTAAGGAATGTAGGTATAAGAGTAACTATGGGAAAACAGTCAATACAAACCCACAGGGAACTAGTTTCTCACATCTCATAGGGGCTTTGAACACTGACTGTCCTCAGTCATCCCAATCATAGTCAGAATCAGCATTTCCAAATGCTTAACCTCTTCATAAAGCTTGTTTGTTCTTCGACTGGTCTGCTCCATGATATTATTAATGATAGTTTGGAGGATAAGATGCAGGGTATCCTCAGTCAAGGGCTCAGAGTCAGAAGGTGACAGAGAAGGAGGGGTAGGATGGATAGAAAATGAGGTGGGAGTGTCCACAGTGAGAAGGGAGACAGAGTGAACAGGTGGTAAGGGTACTAAGGGGATAGAGTGATCATGAGCTTGAGTAGCACAAATATAATGTCCAGCACAATGAGTCTTCTTCTTCCTAGGCAAGGGGGGTGAATGGGATGATGAGCAGTAGGTACATGTGATGGGGGAAGCACAGGGAACAGTCTGGGGAAGTGGGGTAACAGTTAACATAGCTAAAGTTCGAAGAATTTCAGTAAAAAGTTGAAAAGGTTGAAAAAGCAGATTACAAGTGAGGTATTAAGACCATGCTCAGGGGTAAGGCAGAGTCTGAGGAGCTTGGCTTCAGCTCATGCGCTGCACCCCTTACCTGAGCACATGCCCCTAATTTTAGATATAGTCCAACAAAAGATCTATGAGCTCTAACAGGACATTGGGGTGGAGGCTCTCTGAAGGAGGGCCAATGGACTACTGGATGAGCATGAGAAAGTTGGGCAGAGGTTGGACTGCCCAATAAGGGAGAAGTGGAGGACTACTATGGTCAGAACCAATAGGAGAAGTGGAGTGGATAAGACTGCTTGGACAAAGTCTGAAGCAGAACAGAAACAGGAGGACAGATGTACAAGAGCTCTAGGCTTAAGTCCAAAGGGCAGGAAAGGCAGCTGATGTGCAAGAAGTCCAACAGGCAGAAAGGCGGCCGACCTAGGGAGTCAATCCCCTAGGCCAGCAAAACAGGAGTTGACAAGAAACAAACCTAAGTCTTAAGAACAGAAGAGTAGGGCTGTTAGGTAGTGTGCTCAGACGAAGAAGCAGAAGGGTTGGGGCTTGGCTTCAGCTCTTGCGCTGCACCCTTAGCCAAGTATGAGCCCCGAATTTGGAGCAGGACTGACAAT